ATAAGAATATAAAGTTTTTCTGATTCTAATTAGATTAATTATATATTTAAAAGAAAATCTACTTCTAGTTATGTATTCTTTTTAAATAAAATTATAATAAGCTAGAATAATAACTTATAAAAAAGCCCTACTACTAATACTTATAAAGCTAAATATATAGCTTCAAAAGAAACTACTAAAAAAGCTATTTATTTAAATAATATTCTTATTAATCTTAATAATTTATTAAGGTTTAAATATAACTTAACTACTCTTAATATAACTACTAATTCTTCATTAGCTTAATATTTAGCTAAAAACTTAGAATTTTATAAAAGAATAAAGTATATAGATATAACTTATCACTTTACTTATCAGAATATTATCAATAAAAAAGTACAATTAACTTATACTAAATTAAATAAATATATTACTAATAGCCTAACTAAAAGTCTAAATATTACATAATATAAGTAATTTATTATACATTTAGGCCTATATAACCTTACTAGTTTTTGATAAAATTAAGTAAAGTTTAAGTAAAATAAATATTACTTAACTTCTAAGGAGCTTTAAAACTACTAGGTCCTAGCTAAGTACCTCCCAAAAGAGAATTTAAATAAAACTAAATATAACTAATACTATAAAAAAGATATAAAGCTAAGATTACCAATACTAATATAACTAGTAAAACTATATTCAATAATTAAATAATTAACTTTATACTATTAATTATATATTAATATAACTAAAATAAATAAAGTAACTATAACTTTATTTGATTAGAATAAAGAGTATGATTATATAAACTACCTATTATAGTAATTCTTGTAATTAGCTAAAACGAATAAAAACTATATATTAAGCTAGTCACTATAAAAAGTATATATTAATAGAAAACTAATTCCTCAAAATTTAGTAATATAGTTATTACTAACTAAAGTTAATATTAAGTTAATATTCAAAACTAAAATAATAGAAACTAACAATCTATAATAAATCTATAAACTATAACTAGAATAATACTATAGATCTAAAATATCTAAATTAGATTAAATAAAACTATAATAATTAACTTTATAGTAAGGTTTTTATAATTAATTACCTATTATAGTAATTACCTAACTAAGTAAAAGCTTATAAGGAAAAAATATATTATATATATAATAGATTTTTCTACTCAGAATAGCTTATAAGGAAAAAATATATTATATATATAATAGATTTTTCTACTCAGAATAGATTTTAAACAAATAAGTAATTTAATAGTTTTATCTATTTAATTACTACTACTCATTACTACTACCAATTATTACTACCTACTATTTTTTATTATTATTATTTTTATTTTTATTATTATTATTATTATTTTTATTTTTATTTTTATTATTATTATTATTATTATTATTATTTCTTGTATATTAATAATAACTTAATAGTAGATAGTAAAATAGTAACAGAGATAGCATTTAATAGTAGTATAAGTAATATATAAGAAAGAGAATAGGTTAATAGTTTAATAGTTAGTAATTAAGTAATTATAAACTATATTATTACTAAAGTAAAATGAAAGGTAGTAAAGTTATCCAGTATAATATATATATATATAAATATAGCTGAGGTTAGGAGAGAGATATAGTTAGAAATTTAAGAAGTTATTAGGTTATAATTATATAACTAAAGGCTGTATATATTATTGAGAGGCGTAGAGTTAGGAGGTTTATTACTCTAAAAGGTAAAAATTATAGTAAATAGCCAGAGGCCTTAAGAATATAGATATTTCTTATTAAACTATCTTTATACTTTTTATATATTAATAAAGTTTATTTTTAAATACTTTAATAAGTTAAACTATTTAATATCTTCTAAATAGAACCTTACTTATTTAATTTATTTGATAAGTATTAATATAAACGTTACTTAATACCTATATACTTTTTAATTTAAAAATTAGTTTGAACTTCTAAAAGTAATAATATAAAAGTTAAAGTATTTCTAATATTATTTTAGTTATTGTTATATTATAAAACTTCTTCAATTAGCTGGTATTCTATAAAAGCATATACAACAGAGGTAATATTATTAAGAGTAAAAGTAGTATTTAATATAATAAAAAGAGGAAACTTTTTTTTAGTTATTATAATAAAATTCCTTATATTTAATAATAACTATTTATAACTATTATATATAGTTATTATTAATATAAAAGAAAAAATACTGATAATAGTAATAATAAGGAGTAAGTAGTAATAATAAGTATTAGTAATAAGTAATAGTAGTTAAATAGATAAAACTATTAAATTACTTACTTCTTTAAAATCTATTCTAAATAGAAAAATCTTTTATATATATAATATATTTTTTCTTCATAAACCCTTACTTAATTAAGTAGTTATTTAATTAAGTAATTACTATAATAAGTAATTAACTATAAAAACCCTTATTATAAAGTTAATTATTATAGCTTTATTTTATCTACTCTTCTCTAATTTAGATATTTTAGATCTATAGTATTATTATAATTATAGTTTATTAGCTTATTATAAATTATTAGGTTCTATTATTTTAGTTTTAAATATTAACTCAATATTAACTTTAGTTTATAATAACTATATTATTAACTTTAGAGAATTATTATTCTATTAATATATACTTTTCATAGTAACTAACTTAATACATAGTTTTTATTTATTTTAGCTAATTATAGGAATTACTATAATAGGTAATTTATATAATTACACTTTTTATTCTCAATAGATAAAGTTATATTGAGGAAGTTTAAAGCCTACCTAATAGGGGTTTTCACAGTAGGGGAAAAAGTAGTAAAAGCACCTCAGTTAGTGCCTAGTCTAGTAGCTTCGCAGTATACGTACCTAAGGGTCTAGAATAACTGCCTACGCTTACTGGGAATCGCTATACTATTGTGGCTGTTAGCCTCGTTGACGATGGCTTCGTTGCTAGTGAGGTCGATAGCCTTGCCCGCGTGACTCACGCTCACAGTGAGACATATACTAGAGATAGCTTCATAAGGTCTTTAGCTATAGAAAAGCTTGTCTTGGCTACGTACTTAAGACGCTGCTTGCTAAGCCTTGAGCTTATTCCTCATCTTCAATCCTGTGTTAATACCACTTTTTGAAGCAAACTACCTAGATCCCTGTAACTTCACGATGTGTTTTATCCTGCCTGATCTATAGGGCCTCATGCTGTAGGGCTTTGCCTGAGGCACGCCCTAAGACATAATAATTAATACTAACCATAAGGCTAGGCTCACTGTAATCAAAATAGATAAAGTTATAGTTACTTTATTCCTTTTAGTTATATTAAGATATAATTAATAGTTATAGGGTTAATCATTTAGTTATGAGGTATAGTTTTACTAGATATATTAATATTAGTAATCTTAGCCTTATATCTTTTTATAGCGCTAGTTATATTTAGTTTTACTTAAATTCTTCTTTAGAAGGTACTTGGTTAGAACCTAGTATTTTTAGAAAAATACTTATTTAGAAGCTATTAAGTTTATAGTCATGATATAGCTATTTTATAAAAAACTATAATAAGATTTACTTTATATATATAAGTATAATTTTAGAAATACTATATAAGTATTTAAGCTTATAGTTATAACGCAGCCCCTCTATAAAAAGACTATAGTAAAACCTTAATATACAGTTAAATATATACTTTAGCTAAATAGACTAAACTATATAAGTATTTTAACTTATATCTACTTAATTAGAAGCTATAAATACTAATAATCTAAATATTAAATTTATAACTTATAGAGGAGATATTATATAATAAGTAGTAATAAGTAATATAATATGTAATTTAACTAGCTAAAGTAAGCTACTTAGCTAGAAACTTAAAGGAAGGCTTAAAAAGCTTTACGCTATATAAGCTACTTAAGGTATTAATAAATAAGTATTACAATATTAATTAATAAATTAAATTAAATATTATATATGTATCCGTTTTTAAAGACTAGAAAAAACTTCACATAGTTATATAAAGCTTATTATTTCTATTAAATAAATTATCTATTTATTTAAGCTACTTCTAATAGCTTAAAACTATTTTAAACTTTATAATCTAACTAGTCTTAAATAATTTATACTTAGCTATTTTAGCTACTATTCTACTTAAAAAGCTTATATTACTAACTATATAAATAGTTTCAAATATAAATAAAATAAATACTTAAACTATATATAAATAGTACAGTAATAATTTTAATAAATATTTATAATTTAAGCAGGTAACTAATATATAATTTAACTTAAATATATAGTTAATAAGTATAAGCTTTTTATATAGAAGGCAGCTATAATAGCTAAAGAGTAAGTCCTTTAGTAGCTATAAAGGCCTTTAGAGGGGTAGTTAGCGCTCTAAGAGCTCTAAGAGCTCTAGGGCCTACTATAGGCCCCTAGAGGGCCCCCTAGAGACCCCCCAGACCCCCAGCGCAGGCCCAAAACCCCCTACCATAGCCCCTCATACGGGATAATCTAGGAAGCCGTATGTAGTATGCAGATATGCACTTTTTTGTGGTTTGCCCATATAAAATAAGGCGGGCAGCTCATGGATATGCATTTTGACCCGATTATCCAGTTCGAGGGTGATGCATTTGCAGGGGTATTTACTGTACTATGCAGTACACGGTTGTAAGGACCAGACAGGGGCTGAATACCGCTACTCCACCTGACCCCACCATCTTACGTCTTTTGCCAGGGGTACCGTGGGAAAAAAAAACGTTCAGCCAGTCGGAAACAAGGGAAGTGTGGAAAAAAAAAAAAAATTCACGAGAAGGGAGCCTTTGGTTCGCAGCGTTTGTTGCCCAGCAAACATCCCGCCCTCTGAAAAAGACCCTGAAAAGTATCCGGGGAACTCCATCTGGTCTATTCTAGCAACAGGCGCGCTATTTGTTATCGAGTGTCTTGGTCGCAAGACGATCCATCTACAGTCAACTCCTAACTCAGCACCAGCCCAACCGTCCAAGCAAACAGAGCAATCCATCATTCAATATGCCGTACAACACTCGACGCAAGTCGCTTTCTTTGCCATCTCTGGGAATTCACGTACCTGGAAGCCATGCCCATCGCAGTCCCGCCACCGCCAGCTCAAATCGGAACATCTCTGAGTGCACACCGAGTCGCATCACCATCATACCCCCCGTGACACTACAATCGAACAAGCGACAGAAGCGATTCCATGGTGACGAGACTCAACGCAGAGGAAACTCGCTCAAGCGCCCCGACGAGAAAAGCATGCTGGAGCACACGCCACCGCCATCCCCGACGGCTGAGGATGTCAAGATCGGAGACTGTGGCAACACAATATCATCAATAAACATCAAGCTGGAAGGGATTAATGACGAGATTGTGGAGGCCGTCATCGTCCAACTGCAGGCGACCGCGAACAGGCCCCATCTGGTTAAGGAGCTGGCGACTGTCTTGTCGCAGCAGTTGCCTATCGTCCAACAGTACGCATCATTGCCACCTTCTGACCCCATGCCTCTTCCCTCTCATATTGGTTCTTGCTCATCGTCCTCGACTCTCTTGCCATGCGGTATGCTAACGAATTGAAGCTCTGCCAATCCTTGCGCCATTGTATCCTCACGTCTCGCCGCCTACGTCAAACGATCGTGCTGGAGCACGCTTTCACCCTGTCCTGTAGCCAAGGAGTCGGAAACGGTACATCCTCGCAGAACTTACTTTTACCTCACAACCTGCCCGAGACGGCCCCTTCCCGACTCAACAATGCCACTCCTCGTTCAGCGGTCCGTCGTCTCTCCATCATTGTCCAGTGTAGCATCTGGGTCTGAGGACGGTGATGACATGGATTTGCGCCGAAGAGAGCTGAGTCCATCACCAGAGGTGGATTTGTCATCTCCCGAATTTGACGATGCGGATGACGACTTCGCGATGCCTTCGACGCCTGTTGGGTCACTTCCCACTAGTTTGAGGTATGCCAGAAGCCACCGGAGTGCCTCACCTCCCCTCGAAAAGGACGAGCGAGAATTCACGCAGACCGCCGATGTGCTCCAGAAGCGCAAGCTCGCTCGCGAACTCTCAATAGCTACTGCTGACCACTCGACGGCCAATACGTATGAAGGGTCACGTGAGGATACCATGTTCGAAGAGAGACAAAGTGTTGCCGCCAATGGCAATGTTGTCCCAGTCCACATCCTGACAAGCCCTGCTATCAAGGCAACTATGCCTCCCAAAAAGGACACTGATGGGGACAGCTGGCTGAAGCTAGGTGCACTCCTAGAGTGGGATCATAGCCCGGAAAACATTGAACTCGACGAGCTAGATTGTTTACTGGACTCATGTTGAGCGGTGTGTGATGTGCAAGGTGAAGCTGAAGAAATTCTTCATGTTTGTCCGTGCCGAGATCTCATGTCTAATCCACAGTTGCTGCGTCTTGAAGTGGTCAATACCTTAGAACATTGATCATTTCAAGATCAGTCATGTGGTTGTGGTTTGCCGTGAAGAGCAGATGATGGGGCACAACAACTTGTAGCCACCGACATCATGATTTCAAAATCGAAGGACATGTTGTGCTAGTAGATGTATTACAAATGTAGGATGGATGCGTTCACGAAGGCTAGGTTTTGCGGGGGTTCATGAGCCAGGGAGACGGAAAACAGGGAATACGGAAGCTCTTGGGTATGATTGAAATGAAATAAACCAACCTCTCCTGTCTTAAACCTGCAGCGCACTTCCATTTCCACTTCTTGATGGCCATCGAGGCTCTAAGCGCCAGCATCGTCATCCTCCCATCGGATGGGAAACTCAACAGGTGTTCTTGACTCTCAGTTCAATCCATAAAGTGGTTCCCAGTTGGGTCAGGTAAGGGCGCTCGATCTTGACGACCTCAAGGCCGGGCGTGGATTGAGCGGCGTTATGGACGATTTCGGCAATATCTCGATTCCACCAGCATCCGTACTTCTGAAAGTGGGCTGGTGCTGACCTGTCTAGTAGGCCATTGACGATGCCCCACGACCCCCTTCCGTGCTCAACAAGAATGATTTTCCCAGTGTTTGGTTTCACCATACTGGCCAAAGTTCTAACCACTTTCTCCGGGTCTCGCACACTGCAAAGGCCAAACGTCTGAACGACAGTGTCGTACTTGGCTGTTTCCGCCGTACCTTGTATAGGGGCAGGCACAAAGATGTGTACGTCAGAGCGAAAGAATCGTAGTCTGCCCGATAAATAGGAGAAGACACTATGTCCATCTTGAGTCAACTGTTGCGTTTCAATTGATGGTGCGACGCCCTTCAGGTCGGGGACAGCTTCGGATACTTTATTCAAAGCGACCGTCAACATTTCTTTGGAAATGTCCACACCCGTGAAGGACAAAATGGGCGCAGGTGTCGTGATCCCTTTTTTTTTATCGTTCATGGTTGCGGATTTGGGTTGTTGAACGACGTGGCTCCAATTGTAGAAGGGCAGATTGCGGCCAGTACCCATTGCGACTTCCAGGACATGCCCCGAGGCTTCAGCGGCTAGTTTCTGCCTTAAAGATGTAATCCCCATCATCCATTCCGACCCATCGAGGTACTCATCAAATCTTCGAGCTGATTCTTCCGTGAACACGGCAATCTGGCCCGGCGCACACGCGTCTGTAGCAGGTTCTGGGCCTTGACGGCCAGAGGAAAGCCAACATGAAGTGAGCATGGTGCTGAAATAAACGCCCATACCCAACGCAACTATGCCACAAGCCAAAAGAGACGTTTTTCTGGATCTAAATATTGCGTCGGCGGTCTCGAGATCGTTCGTTATCGACTTTGGCGTTGTTGCATGGGAAGAGCGAGGAGCAAACGGTTTGATAGACTTCCTAGTACAGTTAGTGCTGCAGGAGCTGCTCCGTCCGGGCAACTTACCTCAAAGAGATTTCCTTCTTCCACTGTATCCGAGACGATGTGAAGCGCCGGAGAGCAGGAACATGAGTAGTGGTAGACAGCACTGGGGCGGGCAAGCGACCAGCTCGACCTCGTAGCCCGTGGCGTGGAACCATGGCGCTTCTTCTGGCCGACGTCAACGGCTGGAGGGAATGGCGCCGGTTTATTTTACAGCAAACGCTGAAAAACACAAATCGCTGCGAGCACCGCAGTTTCCAAGGGTCCTGGGAAAGGGTGCCGAGAGGCAGGTAAGATTGAGCTTCAAGTCTTGTGCTGGAAGATAATTGTCGCAAACCCGCTGGTCACTTTGGGCACCGGGTGGGGCCGTGGTTTGGGACCGGATCGGGGTGCCCCGGTGCCGAAGGATTAGGACTTTCGGCGCACTCTATTTCAGCTCTCTTAGACCCTCCATCTAGATGTGATCGGTATAATAAGCCACTTGTTTGATTTCATCAGACGTGATGCCGGCCTTTGTTGCGGGTTCACAATGTTTGAAGATAGATGAATGACTGACCTCTCACAAAGCTGGAGCAGCAAGTCACACATTCAAACTCCTTTGTCCTAGTCAAGCCTTATCCGACTTTTCCTGGTGACGTAGCTGTAGTATGGAGTTTAGGTTGAGCCAGCCCTTTGCACCCCAGCCTGATGGCCCCGATTCTACTTCGGGTCTTACTCGCACGTAGAACTGCCATGCTCTTCGGTCCATTTCTTGCGGTGATATCTGGGGCGCCCAACTTTCAAAGAGGAGCCTCAGGGCACCTAGTAATTTCCCAAGGTTCTGGCGCAGTTCAGCTTCAGACTCTTCCCTGACTGCAAGTCTTGATTTGGAACCGGTCTTGCCACCTTTGCTATTCCCCTGCGAACTAGGCCCGGAGGCGAAGCTTTTCAAGAGGTACGCTCTTGCCGACTCAGGCCTGTGTATTGCTACCCCGACGCTGCGATCACAGCCATCGTGGCCTTGGGAACTGTTGCTGTTCCTGGCCGGGTGGCTGGCTAAGTGCTGAAGGTCGAGAGCCCATACAGCGGCTCCATCGTGTCCAGCAGAGCTCAGGGATAGCCTCAACCGGTCCGACAGCGCTTCGATCACGCAAGTCCTCATCAGTCTCCATCTGTCGGGCCCCAACATTTCACCTCCATACCAGCGAGTCAGTACCACAATAGCCCCAGTCGCTCCTGTCTCCCTCATAAGACCTAGAATGAACTCCCCGCATCCTGTTTCGCCGTCGTCTTCGCAGCCTTCGCAGGCACCTCCATTCCCATCCCCGTCTCGATCACCCTGGTATAGCCTGTAACCCCATGCATTGTGAGTTGCGGTTCGTAAGCTGGGCTCAGATGTGAGTAGCGAATGGAGAATACTAGAGACTTGCGAGGGTTGTTCTAAGGTCGAGACTCGCGCGACGAACGTCGATGACTTGAGCGTCACCTGTGTGCTTGTAGCCCATCTGGAAGGCCCAGTCATGGATTTATCCACGCTCATCTGGCTTGGCGCATTCTTTGTCAACCTCGCATTGGCCGTGGCAATAGCGGTTGGCACTGCCGCCTCGTGTACCGAGCGGGCATGGTAGTCACCCCGTTTAAGAACGGTGACACTTCTGCCCATGACTGTCACTTTGGGCTGACCCTCACCCCAGGACACGCCTTCGGGTATACTGTCGGTGAACCCAAGACTGGCGGCTTTGGACCTGGAGTTGATACTGACAACAGCCTGAGCTAGGCTGAGGCGACTGGAGAGGGGCTGCTCAGGCATGGTGAACCGCAAAAGCTCGATCGCAAAGGCAAGCATCACCGGCGCACGATTGGTGTAGATGGTCACTCCCTCAATGCCCTCTTCATCGGTGATGACGGGCAATGCCAAAGCATCTTCCTGGCCTGTGCTCTGCTGCTCCGACTCAATGCTCGAGCTAGCACCAGGATCATTTCTCGGCCGCTTTTGATCGGGCCTACTGGTTGGCGCATCCGCAGCTCGCTTGTTGCTTGGCCGCTTCAGATGCGACTTGCAGGCGGACTGGAGAGATCTGGCGGTTTTGAAGTCCCCGAGGGCACCCTCAACCACGTCCGGCAGGGCATCTGCAATTTGCTGAATGCTATGAAGCGTCTTGATAAGCAGGCATACTCCAACGCTTTCCGTTACTTCAAGAGTGCCTCCAGAACCTACCTGCGAAGGTTCACAGCCTGGAGTGCTTTGACCTGGCTCATGGCAGTCATCATTGGCACTTTGCGCGCCGTGATAAGCCGCAGGAGGTCTTGGAGATCCTGCTGAGAAGCCATCCGGAAATCCTGAAAGCTGTTCACGCAAAGGCAGAAATGGCAATTTGACGGGCGTGGTGGACTTGATCACGAAATAGACACTGATGCGGGACTTGCATTAGTTGGGGTGAAGACTTCTCCGTTATGAGGGGCCTATGAAAGATACCTGAAACACCATGCGTACTTATCGTGAAGTCAGGTACCTCGAGATAAGCATTTGCTCCTTCAAAGTACCACATCCGGCTGGCAAGAGAGGCGTCAAGAGAATGAAATGCCTCGGCCCTAGCGCACTTGTGGATGCCACATGAATCAATGCCAACTTGCGCGACAACTCATGGTCAGCCAGACATCACATCAATGCCAAAAGGCTTCCACACGTGCCAAATTCTCAACTCTCGTTATCTTACATTTATGTAAATACTACATCTGCGTCCTTTAGTGTCCGCATGGTACGCCTGTTTAGAAATCATCGCCAGCGCTCCCTCCCAACCCCTTTGACGCCGCTTCATCCTCGGCTTCTCTACCTCACTTTTTAATTACTTGAGAGAGACCTTTTTCTCCGGAATTTCGTCACCTGGAAGCTAGTGCAAATTTGTCAACACTTCCTGGAGAAGATCATGCCCTCTGCAAGACTGCATGGAAGCGTTCAAGAACCTGAAATGCTGCATTAGCTGTCTGTTTCTCAAATCACGAGAAGGGTACTGGCGCGAATGACTTACCTCAGGGGTTGACTTGACGAATGGAAGCTCGAAGAAATTGTATTTATCATTCTTGAGCAGCTCGACAACAGTAACCATCAGACCCCACGGCTGGGGCCAGAATCCGATGAGGCGCTCCCACAGCACGCGAATGATTTGCTGCTGGATATCTGGTTCCTCTGGATCCTTCTTGTACCCAACAAAGGCCTCCAAAAGGACCCGACTGAAGTAGTTGGTGTGGGCGTTGGGAAATCGGAGCTGATTTGTGATGCTCACGATAAGATAGTAACGGGCTTCGGGAGGTAGTTCGTGAATCAGCCTAAACAGAATAGCCACATCTGAGGAGGCGGGGTTGAAAACATCGGTGCCCTTCTGCGTCGCCTGTTCGACCGCATGGTTGCCCAGGTGCAAGGTCACAGCATCAATGACCCTCAGGTTGGCGTGAATAGGCACATGGCCAAAACCTGTCTCCGTACATTGGCTGTCGACTATGGCTCGGGCAACGTGTGCCAACATGTCTTCGGAAGGACCATTGTGCAGCGCATGATCGAGCACTTCAAGAAGTCCCCATTCCCGCAGTTGGTATGCGGAGTTGTCCAGGCCTTCAGGTGATTCCCGAACCTCGTCCATACGATCAACTTGAAGTCCCGGGAATAGAGGATCTGGCATTTTTAGGTGAGCAGCCGGATTCGCTGTCAAGATGGCGTTGAGGAGTTGCTTGCAATGCGGGGGAACGGTGGCTGCAAGCTGATGGGAGTGCGCTGCAAGATATTCCGCGTAATCGTGCTGCAAAATTACCAGCAGCTTCAGCGTAGCGCGGTAGATTTCTTTAGCCACGTTTGATGGCTCTACCGCCTTGACCTGTTCTCCAACGTGTTCCAAAAGCAGTTGAAGTAGTCTGGTGAAGACAACCCAGCCATTGCGGTCCTTCATGATGCCAGGGAGAAACACCCGATGCTGCAGAAGTGACAGCCACCCGAAGACAAAGCCAGGAAGGTATCTGGGGCCAAGATCGGCGAGTCTGGAGCCAAATTTGAGAAATATTTCAGGCCTCTCCTCTTCAGAAAGTTGCTCAGCCGTCGAATTGACCTCGTAGAACAGCACGGACAACAGACGGTGGAACACTCTCTGGTTAAAGTGCTCGGCACGTCGTACGTGGTGATGGTTGAGGACCAACGTAATCAGGGCCAGAATCGAGTCGAGATAAACTGCTCGGCTGAGAGCAGCCGTTGACTCAGGTGCACTGTGCAGCCTAATGAACACGTTGATTATCTTGGCCAGAGCATCAACGGCGAGGAACGCATCGGTCAAAGTGCCGGTAGAGTGAACAAGATGCTCGAAACGATCCACTGACAAGTCTGTGGCAACTCTAATGAAGAGAAATAGATCGTCTTTGCTCTCGACGATGCCTCTAAGTTGCATCTGCTGCACAAACATAACGGCTGAATTATCTGATGCGTTTGGGTTATTGCACAGATGGATCCATTCATCGAAAATGTACTCCATCTGGTCCTGTTGCAGCGCGACTCCACCTTCTTGTTGCTCGAAGTGTGGCATGACTTGTCCGGATAGTTTAACTTTGAGTCGCTGTGCAACGGCGGACTCTGAATCTTCTTGAATCCACGTCCAAGCAGCCTCAAGCGTGAGGACAAAGTCTCCGTAGAGCGCGAGAGGCCGATTGCCAAGGAGAGTGAGATCAATCATCTGCTCCAGAAAGTCGAGCGAACCTTCCTTTCTTGCCTGCAGTGCCTTGGCCATTGACGTATCGATATTCCTCCAGTCCAGAAGATCGGTGCGTAACAACGCAGCCAATAGGGGAATATGGAAGAAAGAGGTGCCAGGTTGCTGTCGGAACAATGCTGTCACTCTGTTGTTTAGTGTCAGACCCGAGATTTTTCGCAATGTTTCCAAGACGTGCACCAGGCTCTCAAGGGCGAGATTGTCATCAATCGGGCTGAAAACAAGCTGGATGATCTGGTCTGCAGCGAAAATTGCGAATTCCTCAGATGTCTGCGAGGCCTTGATCATATGCTGTACCAAAGCGTCCACCACATCAAGGACAGGATGGGGCCTGGGCAAATCGGCGAAATGTTCCTCGCGGGCTTCTGTCGCCACACGTTGTAGCTCCAAAAGTAACTTCTGGACGCGCTCGACCAAGGCGCGACCATCCATCTGGAACGTCTGCGGCCTCGCGTTCGCCATGTTTCCGCTATGGACGGGACCGTACTGCTGCTGAAGTTGAGGGTTGATATGCTGCACAGCCGGTGTCTCCGAGCTAGCTGCGAGACTGGGTATAGCCGAAAATTGCTCTTGGAGGACCTCGTTGGCGAGCGAACGTGTCGCATCGGAGGCAGACGGAACATGGGAAGGGGCATTGGATGTGGTTGTCCGAGGCTGACGAGCAAAGTCGTCGTAAATTGCCATCTGTTCGGGGTTCAAACCTCCCATACTAGGCGACAACTTGAAAGGGTTTGGAATAGTCCAAGCCCATCGGCTAAGGGAAGCATCCACATACGGGTCGGCAGGCCGTTGCACCCTATGACGACGTCGTGCTTCTAGCTCGGGCTCAATCATTTCCTCGATCTCTGGAATAGCTCTTTCTTCGGCCTGTTTTTCGATAATGTTACAGGCAAGGTCCAGATTCGAGTTAACGCACATGATGATAGTGCCTTCTGGGAGGCCCTGAGGAAGATCGTTGGACAAGTTTCGCATGTAATTTGTGAAGTTGGCCCTCAGGGGCTCTTTCGATGTCACCAAGGCTAGGCTGCCGGCAGTAGCTTTGACCATGTTGATTGCCGATGTTCTTACCCTGTTCTCATCTGGCTCTGTCGCGAAGTCTTTGTGAATCATCTGCTGTGTGGAAATAGCAGCGATGGTAACGGATCGATCCACAACAGGTTGTATAATGTCTTGTAGTGCTCGCGTCAGAGCGGTGCGTACAATTTCATGAAGTCGAGTAGCCGTAACCACCATCTCATTCGTGGGCGGGATGTGGATGAGAGGTCCGAGGTCCGGTATCGAAGCTGCAGCGACCTGAGGAGAGAGGCTGGCAGTAACTCCAGTGGTGATGCCGTTGAGTGATAGACTCTCGAAAGTCTCCAGTGTCTCTTGTGGGAGCAGCTCTTGGTTTTCTTCTACCACAGCGCGGTTGAGAATTTCCCCCGAAGGCTCGATACTTTTGTGATCAAGATTGAGCCCCTTGCACAAGACCTCGATCTCGAATTTCAAGTTGAGTTTGAGTTCCGCATGATGGTACAGTTCGATGAGCAGGTGGATGATATCCATTAGCCAAGGGTTGGGCGGGCGGAAGACGGTCGAGGTTGCGCCTTGAATGAGGACCTTGCAGACGAACGGAATTACTACAATCAGCCTCTTCGTATCATGAGCCTCAATGAGCAACTGCTTGAAGGCGATGTTTCTGTGCTTGATCGGTTTGTCGCGCGCTAGGGTTAAAAGTCCCAGCCAGCCGCCAAGGTTCTTGAGGTGAGATCGCTCGGTTGAATTCTGCATTGTAGCCTCGGAATTGAGCATGCGTGCGACACTAACATACGTCTCTCTCAACACCTCAGACCACAGAACCTTGTCCTCGAAGAGCTTCACCAGTTCAAGGTACACCTGGTGATAATTTGGTTGCATCTTTGCACGCTCTTCGACAAGATGACTGGCAAACCACTGCTGGTGACGCTGCTCGAGAATGTCTCGCAGTTCTTTGCACATCGATTGAAGAGTCGTCTCGGTCAAATTATTTAGGACAAACTGAATCTTGCCCTGAGTGTCGCTTGACGGCTCTTCGAAGTCGACGCCAGGCGAGCGTTCTGTGGCATTGATAGAAATGAAGGGCGGCGGCTGGCGCTCTGCACTTCGCCCTTCGGATGTATTTCCGTTCGTAAGTGGCTCAGCGCTAACCGAGGACCTGTGGGCAGGCGCTGCTGTGCCATTGCGCGATCGGGCAAGTTCGTCTTCATGATCCCGCACAACGTCTTCAGCCTTCTTCCATGCCTCGGTGCCTTGCAAGCCAGGGATCTGCAGTAATTGCCTGCAAAATCCCGGCCATTCCCGAAAGCGCGAGAAGAGTTGCATCAAAGCCTGTAGACCAAACTTATACATCGAGTCCTCCGGCATATAGTCTCTCACAGCTTCTAGGATCATTCCCAGACCGATTTTAAGGGGGAGATCGGAAATCAGCTTGTGTGAAATGATACCGCCGAAGAGAACAGCAGTCGTTGCAAGCGCTTCCAGTGGGTAATCGACGTAGTGCGAGTACTCGTCAAATAAGCCGTGGATCATGCAGGCAAACACGTCCTGATCCAAAGCCTCGCGAGAGTGCTTGTACCGATCGAGAATTTCGACGATATTTCGCACTTGTATCTCGTCGCCGTACATCTTCTTGTAGTGCTCCTCCATCTTACTGTTGGCGGCAGGGGGCAAAGCATTGCCGTCCTTCCCATTAGCATCAATAATGTCATCGAAGCCCTCACCATAGTTGATCAGCCTCGGGTAGACAGTGATGCAAGAGCGTTGAACCATGATGAGGTCCTGAAGTGGTGTCTTGGGAAGGAAATCCTCTAGAATTTGGAGAAAAGCGGCAACAGTTCGAACCTGCAGCGTCGTGCTGGACTTGACGTGAGGTTGTCCATCGGGGGGGCGCTGAAACTGCAACTCAAGGTTGGCCTTGATCAGCAAGAATTGCAACAGCGATCGCGCAATCTCATTGCTCCTCTCGGCGTTACGACGGGCCCAGCTCGCGAGGTCAAGATACTTTTCGGCATGTGCAAGAGCCGCGAGATCTAAGCCAAAGCCATTCGGCAAGTAAACCAATTCGTCCAACCACTTGTGCTTGAGAGCGTGGTCGAAGATGAGGGGAAGATCGGTTGGTTTGACCGCATGCGCATCGATCAACCGTTGAACCACCCATTCCTTGTCTTTTTTCCACAAGCTGTCAAGCACGAAGTCGTATTCAGTCGACCGTTTGTAGAGAAAACTGTCAAATAGTGAGTTCAGAGTGTCGACGGCCATTGTGGGCCAGGGTTTTGGTACTCCAAACGCGGAGACGACAAAAATATCCAGGTTGGGAACCACAACTTCTTGAAAAAGTCGCTTAGCTTCCACGCTCTGTGAAGCATGTACCGAATGGAGTGCGACATGGAATACCGCAGATAGTGCCTCCACGGAAACCAAGGCATGTTTCACAGCAAATGATGCCCGTTGCTGGATTTCTGGGGATGATTGCGTATAGGTATCCAGAGTCAGAGTCGGCACCAAGCCCGGTATGGAGCTGGCGTCTAATTGATCAGGCTGCAGAGAGGCAAAAGCGCATATGAACGAAAGTTGTGTTTCTGGGTTTTCCCAATTGCCGCCCCATAGTTTCTGAATATCAAATTCTGCATCCTCCCGCGCAATCGGCAGCAAGGCATTGTAGAGACGGAGGAACTGTCGAGACGAAACCCGCGTAGATCTATGGTCAAAGTACGATACCACGTCCTGCCATCGGAATGAGGCTGGTAGGACTCGGCGGAGAGCTGCGGTCAGAACGGACGGGTCGTACTGTGGTGTCTGACTGATCGTGGCATAGATAAGGGCCATCGACACCTGCTCCTCACTCAGTTGAATTTGTTGAGGGCGATTCTGCAGGTAGGAAACGCAAGCCTCCTCGTCCCGGGTAAAACCAAACCCAGTTCTCTGAATGTAAGTGGCCAGAGCATTCGGTGGCTTGTCAGCTAGAACCCTGACAAGATCCAGAGCGGCAAGGACCTCAGATGGCGGTGGCGGTTGGGCATCCTGCCATCTAGCCAGTACCTTGTAGGTGAGTTCAACCTTCGCAGCGGCGTTGAGATTGGGAGGTTGATATTGGATGAAGCGATCGACAAGCATGGCGATGAAGGTATCGGTTAGGTCCGCATGTTCGTCGTGACCTCGCTGGTTAAGAATGTTGACGAAGGTGGGGAAGTTGGTTGAGAGGATAGCATCCGCTATTACGAAAGTCAACATAGGGCCTATAGAGAAACACCTGGAATAACGAACCTTTGGTCTTGAGGTCAGACCTAGATCCCATCTTGAAAGCCAATGCGAGTATCGTTTTCTCCAGGGCATCTAGCTTGAAAGCCTCCATGAAAGTTGACATATCAAAGTCGCGGAATATATCTTCTGTGCCCGTCTCGATGGACTCGGCAATCTTGTTGGCCTGATTCACATCATGGGAAATCTTCTTCATCTCGTTCACGAGTAGGTGGAAATTGCCGTTGCCTCCGGGGCGCGGTTGACCATGAAAGATGTGTGCAGCATGAGCCGCGACGAGGCGTGTGAAGTACTTTGCGAAAACCTCCATTCCGTGTTCATCGATGAGCTAGGAGCGACAGAAACCGCATTGGTTAGCGAGATGGAACAGCGTATGTGAAACTGCCTAGTTGATGGAAGGCGACGTAGTTGCGTGCGTACCTTTCGTAATTGCTCTGCCTGCGTCTCCCACTTGGCGCGGTCCTTATCCTCCTTGATAGCTCCCAAAAGGAGGTAGACTTGAGCGACGGCGATCTTGACCACGGGATTGGGCCCTGTCGGACTACTCGTACTTGGACTTGCGCCCGCACTCAAGGCGGAGGGTTGCGATGGATGGGGCGAGTGCCCAGCCCCGGTCTGCACTGTTTGCGAAGGATACGGAGAGAATGATCCCGATCTTGGATGTGGGACCATGGGATAGTATTGCGAATAGGGAGTGCGCAAGGCGGAGGCGTCTGTCCTGCAAGAGTTCAGACAGGCTTGCCTTCGCCAAAACTTCCTAAATCGTGCCGCCCGTGAAGACTACCGTACCCAAGACGCCCACATGAACGACGGGGAGGTTCAAGAGCTGGGCGACAGGTGGCTCAGGCTGGCCGAGGCTGACGACAGAGGAAAGACGACGGAGCTGCGGGATGTTGGCTAAAGCGAGAGCGGTGTCGAATATAGGTAGCGTGGGAGAGGGTTTGCTCCGGATCTGGCCAAATGAAGGTTGCTGCGGAAGGAGAGAAGAGGAGGGGAGAGAGCTTGGTTCGGCGTCAACCAGGCGCAATCAAATTGAGGTACTTGCTGGTATGTGGGCGGGGATTGACACAGGGACGTCGAGGTTTTCCGTATTGATTTTCTTTCCCTCCAAGGTCTGCTGGAAGTGCAGACACAGAGACAACGTGTAAAGTGAGTGGGCGAAAAGGTGCGACGCTGTTCAAGACGTCTGTCGTGAGGAGGTATGTGGTGCTGCTGAGGGGGGCAGCTTCGCAGAAGAAGAAAATAGACTTTGAAGGGTTTACGTGAAGACGTGGAGGCTCCAAGTTGCAAGCAGGGGGTTGGACTGTGTGAGTGTCCTGGATGCACCCCAAAGGTCGGCAGACTGTCAGGTAGGTAGGTGCCTGAGGTAAGGGTGGTACGTGCCTGTGCTGTCCGTATCTCAGCCGGATTGGCACCTGAGGGTGAGGTGCCTGGCACGCCAAGTATTAATTTGCCTTAGTCACGAAGGAAGGACGTCAATTCAATTGGAATACCTGAGGTATATAGCGTGCTAGTGTGGGGAACAAAGTCAAGGAAGACACGAAAGACACCTTCGGTGCCAGGTTTGACTTGACGTTCTGGACAGGACAGTCTAACTTCAGCCCGGAGAGCACGTGATGTGTCAAGTGGTCCCTGAACTTCCTGCTTGGACGGCGAGCACCTGACTGCCTAGGTCGGTACCCACGGATACCTATATGTATTATTCACTGTGGTAGGTGGCGGGAGCGACGGACTAACTCCACTAAGGTACGCTACCTAAGGTTCCTACGTATGTAGAAGACCGTACCTTAGGTGCTCGCTTACCTACCTACCTACTCCGTACCTTAAGGAGCCTAGGTAGGTACCTTAGGTAACTACCTTACCTAGGTCGGGTAGGTATGGCCCCCCGGTCGGGTTAACAAGATCCGCCTCCCAATGTTGGAGCACCAGCCCGGCCTTTCGCCTGACATTGTCTTGCCTTACATAACATACCTCACATGTAAGCATCACGTGCTTTTTGGAGGAGGCAAGGGAAAGCTGAGTACCTAACAGAGTACGGGTCCGTACCTCAGGTAATTATTCGCAAACGCAACCAGGATGGCCTACCTAGTTACCCCGGCAACCACCCCAAACAATAAGGCACCACCCACCACCTGCTCCCGACCTACGGATGCCTAGATTCATCATTATATCGGCGGCACGAATTTGGCCATCGCCAAACAGCCTTTGGGAACAGTTTTCTTCCAACCACAGGTCATTCTACCTGCCGGCGTTGCCCACGAACAGCCTCAGAATCGACGGATATTCCACAGGCCGGCGACAAAACCACGACACTGCTGGCGTATAGACCCGACCAACGCATCGCAGGACATGCCTGCTTCTACCATGGAAAGCCCAGCGGTGGCTTTGTCTTGTATGTTGAATATAGCGGTCATCATATGTCGAATGTTGCTGATATGTGCAAGTCGCGAACAACTTCTGGGGTAAGGAAGATGCTGGCGTTGGACCTCTTCTCGATCGTATGGCTGCAGCCAAGCAAACATGCGATGAATTGAAAGCATTTTATAGTGGTTAGTCAATCATCGCCGGCTTCTTCCTCTCAGAATTTGACGAAGTTAATGAATCAAACAGCTCGCGCCTCTATCGAAGACGAATACGCTCGGAAGTTACTGTCTCTGTGTCGAAAATCACTAGGCTCTCAGGAGATGGGAAGCCTGAAGAACTCCCTGGATACTGTCAGGGGAGAGGTAGAATCAATGGGGAAGCAGCACCAAAATATCGCTGCTCAGATGAAGACCGAGCTGGAGGAACCGCTGGCCGCCTTTGCTGGCGCAATGAAGGAAAGGCGCAAGATTGTCCAGAATGGTATCGAAAAGATTCTCAAGACCAAGATACAGCAGACGCAGCATGTCAACAAGGTCGGCCTATATCTACCCAGAGAGCCCTAGGAAACCCATGGAACATTCGTGCTGACTCGCGCATCAGACTCGGGATCGCTTTGAGCAAGAATGCCTCAAAATCAAAGGTTACCTAGCACAAGGCCACATGGTCATGGGCCAGGAAGAGCGAAAAAATAAGGCAAAGCTGGAAAAGACGCAGATTAGCGTTGCGACATCCAACACAGAGTATGAGAACGCAGTGAAGGCCCTCGAGGATACCACGGCGCGCTGGAATCGCGAGTGGAAAGCCGCCGCAGACAAGTTCCAGGATCTGGAAGAAGAACGGCTGGATTTTACCAAGAGCAGTCTATGGACTTTTGCCAACGTCTCCTCTACGGTCTGTGTCAGCGACGATGCGTCATGCGAAAAGATTCGTCTCTCTTTGGAAAAGATGGATGTTGAGACTGACATCGTCGGCTTCATCAAGGAACGGGGGACAGGGCAAGAGATTCCAGATCCGCCAAAGTATATCAATTTCTGCCGGGGTGATGTCAACGATACTCAGTCAGAAACATCTGACGACGACAACTATTCTGTCGCGCAATTTCCGAGGAGCATCAACCCAGCCTTTCGCACTTCTTCGCCGCAGCCGTCAACCTACGAATCGCACCACGATCCAAACTCCAGTCTTGCTCAGGATCTGGGCCACAAAGAGCCTGCACCTGCAGCAACTAGAACGATCGCCACGGACGCTGGACGAAAAGAAGGGAACTCATCTTCGTCGAGGCACATGGCACAGGACATGTTGCGAAAGACAAGTCCCCCTTCTAGGAGCTTTGCGTCGGATCTAGACCATAAAGATTTAAATCCTACCCCGAGAACCTTTTTGTCAGACCATGGGCATAAAGAAGTCGGCTCTTCATCTCGAGGCTTCCTAACAGACATGAGCCACAGGGAAGCAACGAGCTCTTCATCAAGAGGCTTTCCGTCAGATGTTGGACCCAAAGACCCTATTCTTGCTCCCCGGAGTCTTGGGCAAGACTATGGGCTCAAAGATGCCGGCGCGTCTGAGAGGAGTCACACTCAGGAAATCTCACTGGCTAGGGAGATCATGCCTCCCGTTGCCCGGGAAGCCCCAAGCCTTTCCCAGAGAATGCCACCACAGCTTGAGAAGCAACGACAAGTGGCGCCAGTCCCGCCGGCATCTCAGCCGCAGAGCCGTCTTCCTCTCGATATCAAGCAGCACGGTACTTTTGCTTCAATTCCCCACGACCCATACCCTCTCGATGGCATGACAATGCTATGTCGAAAAGGACCTCCATCGGAACGCAGCTCGCATCCTGCGTCGGCAAGACCGTCCAGCCGCGATTCTCAAAGTGACTACTCCAACCCAACCTCGCTCTCTAGTCAGGAGCCCTCGAGCGGTAAGGTCTCGCCGATCAAGCACGAACCAGTTAGCGTACCCGCATCAGTACCGGCTCAAGCACAAGCACCGTCACCGGCCTCGGCAACGGCGGAAAAGCAGGTCCTCAAGAAGAAAAGTGGTTTCTTTCAGAACCACAGCCCGTTCCGTCGCAAAAGCACCAAGGAAGTTCAGGGCACTACCACAAACAGAAACACTTGGCATCCTGTATCTACGCAAGGAAGCCCCTCACGTCGACCGCAGGTATACACGCAAGACGCCCCGAGTCTGTTGGCGGGCAGATCAACGATAAGTCCTGAGCCGATTGACGCCAATGCCAGTCTGGCGTTGAACGTCGGACAAAATGTATTCTCTGTTACGACGCCGGATCTCGAGAAAAGAAAAGGATCAAATACACCGAGCGCACAGCCTGAAACGGATCCTATTGCGCTGGCCCTCGCCGAACTCAAGGGTGTTGGTGTAGGCAAGCAGTCTAGCATCCGTGTCTCGGCAGACCGCTACCACGGCATTGCAACACCCACTCCTGGCTCGCAGCCGTTTTCTCGATCGGTGCCGCCAGCTGCAACCAATGCCGCTGTCACAGCAGGGCTTCGAGGAACGCCCCCTCCTTCTTACGACCAACAAGTGGTGCAGAGACTTGGGGTTCCGCCACAGGCCGTCACGGCCAAGGCAATGAAGGAAACGTCTCAGAAGTTCGCCGACCAGACTCGCAGCATGTTCAACCCGGCGAATCGGCCTGGATCGGGAGGATATGCGGGCTCATCTAGTCCTCGGCCCATGACCAGGGGTAGTGACGTTCCACGAGCAGCATCTCCAGCGCCACTTCGCAGTGCTTCCCCTAGGGCGCCGGCGACAGATGACGCGCGAAGTGGGCACAGGAGCTCTCCGCGCAGTGCGTCTCCGAGGGTCGCGCCAGCAGACGATACTAGGAGTAGCTATAGGTCGGCGTCGCCTAATCCGCACAGCTCTCTCGGTAGAGGCTCGTCGCAAATGAGCAGTGGTGTGCCTAGACGAGGCTCGGAGCAACCGTTTCACCGCCAAAATTCGCCGAGCAACATGTCACGAACAGCTTCGCCGGCACCATTCAGGGAGCAAATGCGACCAAGCAGTAGTCATGTCAGCAACGATATGGCAGTTCAGCTTGCTCCCGTGGGTGATGATAGCTATGGCTCGGTTCGTGGCCGAGGTGGAGTACGACCCGGAACGAGCTCAAGCAACCGGGCTATGGGCTTGTATGATGGTGGTGGGCCACCAGGACAAGGCGAGTCGAGACAACGGAGTAAGAGTGTTGCAGATCCATCTCGACAGTACACACACGACGGCCGACCAATCTTGCACTTTGGTAAGTACATTGGGAATCATCAATAGAATAACCTGGCTAACAAGATCAACAGCCAAAGCACTGTACATGTACCAAGCAGCGATCCCGGAGGAGCTGGGCTTCTCCAAGGGAGACTTCCTTGCAGTGCTGCGGCATCAAGACGACGGTTGGTGGGAAGCGGAGGTACACGGGGGCAACGGCCAGATCGGACTCGTTCCGAGTAACTACCTCCAGCCTTGCTGAAAAGATTCGTGGCCATTGGCTAATGCAGAGGGCGCAAAGTAAGGCACGATCTGCGAAAGCTGTGATGTCATTCTTGCAAGTACCTTACGAGACACACGTTGTTTGGTCGCCGTGTTGATGAGTGCTCATGATGCGGAGGACCGGTTTTGGGCTCTGCTTATTTGCGGATTTGTGATGATTTGCCAGGAGTTGGGGCTCATAGCTGTCTGAAAAAACGTCACGTTCCAAAAAGGACAATAATTGCATTTCTTCGTACCAACCTTCCTACTTGCATAAAGAGGTCAGACCGGGTGTCATATGCGGCCTTCCATTAACTGGGTCTTAGAGGAGGCCCCCCCCCCCCCCCCCCCCGCCCCCCCGGGTCCAGTGCCTCATGTCATTGCGCAAGGCTGAGCTAGGTGGCCCATGACCTTAGAAGCCTGTCCAATTTCCCCAATTCTTAGCTCATACTTGCAGTGCATATCTGCCATCGTTTAGTTCAGATAAGGTAGGTACATTCGTGAGCACGGTCGCAGGTGCTCCTGGTCGGGGTAGGTACGTAGAACCAACCCCACTTACAGCCCTAGGTTCCTTAAGTTGTGCTCTCCCTTGCTCCCTAGTCTACATCATCCTCCCCCGGGGCATAGTGATGAGCTGCGACGTATCCCTTGCTCAGAACAACCATCGACCGTGACTGCACGGCTTAGGGGAGACAGAGCGAGAGGAAAGGGAACAGCCCAAGCGTCTTACGAACCATGGTATGAAACCGCACTTCTCCGTATCTTCTTGACGTCGACACATGCCGATTGTGTAAGATACACAGGCTAATCTTCTATCGGGCTTGCCAGGAGGCTCTTAGCAAGGCATCCCGAGCAGCTACCTCCAAGACGGCACAGCGAACTTTGGTGAACGTGACTCTCCTGGTAGGAACGTCACTATTACTTCTGCCCCTCGCTGCCACCGCCTCTCTCCTCTTCTTCCGGAATTATCTGCCTGACCAGGTCGTGAGCGCACCGGTTCATCTTCAGTATGGGTACGTTTGCCGGTCACTAATCAAGCCGGTCTTGATCCCAATCCCTCTCCTGGCTGCCTTGGCTTACAAACGACACAGCTCGGGGATCAATCCGTTTGGAATAGCCACCATACCAAGCTCCAGTCTGAGGACACAGCAGGAGTACGATGTGTCTATCACTCTATCTCTGCCTCGCTCGCCAGCCAACACGCATCGGGGCAACTTCATGGTAGCTCTGTACCTGCTTGATGCCGGTGCTCTGTCAACCGGCAACAGCCAAGTCCAGCCTCAAACCCCCCCAGAGCCTTACGGCCACTTCGACGGCAAATCCATTTTGTTTTCGTCACGACGACCCACCCTCGTGCCGTACCAGGACCCATTGGTCTCACTGGCCTCTCGTGTCTTGTTCATGGTTTACCATATTCTCTTCTCGGACTCCCAGACATGCGTGTTAACGGTGCCGATGGCCGAACGCGTCCAGCTGGGCAAGGGCTCATCCCTGCCGTCGTCGGCATATCTGGAGATCCAGGGCGGCCAGAGCATTGAAACGTACCACGCGTCAATAACGCTCACGGCACAACTGCGCGGACTGCGCTGGCTGATGTATCATTACCGATTACCAACATTGACCGCGGCGATAATTCTTTTTTGGTCATCCGAAATTTTGTTCATGGCAGGAGCCTGGTTGGTCTGGACTGGACTTGCGGGCTCAAGTTCCAGATTGGCCTCTGGACGCGGGGAAGACAACTCGAAACTTGGTATGCGGCTCAAGAGAGAAGAGGGGAGCGGGGTGGATGAGCTGTCAGATGCGCCCCGGACATTTCCTACCTATGGAAACCAAGCACCGCTCAGATACGAGCCTGAGGTCAAGGAAGAGCCACAGCCAGGTCTTCGGATGGAGGACCTCGTCCCACTCGGAGGTGAAGCTGACGATGAAGAAGAAGACGACGGACGGGCAAGTTTCAAGGGTGATTCGGGCATAGGGACAAGTTATAGCGAGGGAGGATCGGGTAGCGTTCGACGTAGGTCGTCCCACAACCGCTAGCAGTTTTATTAGCGGGATGTGGACGGTGGATGGTGGGGTATGAGGTTTTGATGTTCGTGGTGGGCACCTTAATTCTTGGTCTTCGCTTGTTTTCACCATCACACGGCCCCCGCGGCTGCTAGACGCCGGCGAGAATTTGATGCGGTTGCAGGCTTGCAGGCTTGCAGCTGAGCTTAGGTCCCAGCTTAGGTAATAATACTGATCCACTTTGATTTGCCCGCCCGTCCCAAACCACGTCAGTACCTTACCTAGGTAGTGCACCGTGGTCCAGCCCCTCCACCCTCCTCACTGTTTTCTCCAGGAGCTCTACCCGCTGCAGTGTGCTTCGCTACCTTAGCGTACCACTCACTCACCGCACTGCTTCACACCGCACGACAGGATGCGAATTCGGCCTGTGTAGTCCTTCTTCTTCGTTGACCCTCTCTTTTTCTTGAGAGGGAAAAAAAAGAGTCTCTTTTCTGCTGGATTTCTTCCATTATCTCTCGCATCTCATCCTACCTGAGCTCTGCTCCGCCTTTCCTTGCCGGTCGTACCTGGGATCTTGCTATTTACGTACCTACGTACTTAGAAAACCAAGCCTGGCTGAGGTACTTGACGTACTAACAGCGCCGAAGCTCACTACACTGCTCTGCTACGTACCCAGCTCAATTGCCTCTTCACCCGCCTTGCCCGCACCGCACCCCTCACACACCGCCGCCAGTCCTGCCACTGCTCTCACAAAGAAGAAGCCTTGTCCTTGTGTCGACCAAAGTAGCCACAACCTTCTCTCAGCCTCATCATTTGCCCTCCTTGATATTCTGTGTGGTCGCTGACAACGGGACGTCAACCAGATTGAACTGCCTTCGACCCCAGCCGCCGGGGGCATCATGCACACCACTTACTTCTAGGCCCCTCCGTTCAAAGTACCATAGCCTGCCAGGCCCACTCAGGACCCAAGCCAACGAACCGAGAGACGGTGAGGGCTAAACAAACTTCAACCATATCCTCCCGCCTCGACCTAGGGCAGTCTCTACTCACGCTTTGGTTGTGGCGCTCATTCTTGCTTCGGCTCTTGCTTCCTATCTTTACCCTTTATTCTCCTCCGTTCTTCGCATTTCATTCTCTTGCGAGCCTCAGCTTCTTGCCCCTCACGCCGACGTCCAAATCCATCGAACGACCGAACCCCGCTGGCGCAATCTGCTGTCCGAACAACAACGACAGCCTTGACCGATATCTGCTTGCAACTGAGTACGTTGCCCAGACGCGACCGATCTCCCACTCAAACATGCCCTGCTTCAAGGGCATCGCCGTGAGCATACACGCAAACGGCGCACCTCTCCCCGAGTATGGCATGCAGAAGCAGTCGCGCTTGTCCCGCATCAGCACCTACATTCCCGTTCCACAGCCAAACATCAACCCTGAATCCAACAAACCGGAGCCCGCAAAGTTCGCCATTTCCATCACTCTCCTGACACCAGGCCTGCCCATCCCCTACTCGACACCGAAGCCCAACGAAAGCAACCCTTACCCGAAGCCCCAGTTCGTCGGCGGTCTGCCAACCGTCGCCCATGGGCCGTCAAAGTTTTCCGGCGTCGTCAACCCATACATACCCATGACCAACTCCGAGAACGAAACGATAGCAGCGTACATCTATTTTGATGGCAGAACTAAGGAAGAGGTTGCAACGCTGCTGAGGCCGGGCGAGGAAACATGGGTGAACAGTCGCTGGGTACAGGTTCCCGACTCCGAAGGCGGCGGTTTGGCGGAGCGAGAATTCCTCTTTCGCGAAGTTGGACTGGAGCGTTGGCTAAATGGCTTGGACCTTCAAGGCCATGATGCAGCCGAGAAGTTGGAGCGTCGCCGGCAAAAGTTTGAGAAACGCCGTCGGCGTCAAAAGGCGGCAACCGGGTCTCCTGGTATGCAGACGGAGGAAGGGCCCAACGGACCTCGAGATACCCTTCGGTATGGCGCTGATGACGGCTCCCCCGTCGAAGCTGTGTTTGGCGAAGACGATTCTGATTCCCTGTCTGATGACGACGAGATCCCGGAGGCGACTGGACAAATCAAAGTGCTCATGTTTCGGGTACTGGCCTCCGGCGAGATCAAGAAGGGTGAATATTCACCACAATTCGACGCTCATGACGATGACGACGACGCCGACGCCTCGAATCAGAGCAATGGAAAATCAGGCGTTGATGCAGACGTTGAGCACACGACGAGCTTTGCCAAACCCAAGACGTTGGACCCCAAAACCATCAGCACGCAAACTGTGACGGGGATCGACGGCCCGGACAAGCCTTACGCTTCCTTCACTTTCTTTTACCGCGGAGAACGTAATAACACCCCGTCCTGCATTGAGCGTCATGCCTTGGTGGCTCTCAGTCTTGGTCCACGAATTGCTAATCCTTCCTAGGCCAATTGCAAAAGATAGGCATCATTGCCTCCTCCAAGGCAGCACAGACAACGCCGGGTTCAGTCAAGAGGCGGTCAGGGCAGTTGGATTTCTCCAACTTGGGCCCTCTCAAACCCTCGGGTACCGTTGGTTTCTCTGCTTTCAGAGACCAAGACACGGAGGCCGCCAAAAGACGGAAGGCTCGCAAGAAGAGCAACGGCAATGTCGGAGGAGCTCTCAACGACGACAGCGACGATGAAGACGACGAGAACGAGCTCATTGGCAAGATGCAAGATATCGATGAAAAGGATGTGGATGATAAACTCGCCCCTGAGGATGTTAAATTTCAGGGGGAGCTAGCCGACGGCGTAAATCGCATTCATGTGAGTACTTGTTCGGTCATGACTTTCACTTCGGTCCATTAACAAAGTTTGAATAGCTGAAGAGGGCACACTCAGCTGAGCCGGACCGCTCTGTGTCTGCGGGTGCTGGAGGCAACCATGCCTCTTCTAGTCTCGCTGGCCTCTCTTCTGCGACGACGGCCACCAGCGGCGATGGTCAAGTGGCAACAGGCACTGATGAGTCGGTGCGATCGACCATTGGTAGCCCATTGAAGAAGCACCGCCCTAGCATCAACGCGGGAAATGAATCGGCGGGATTGTTGCCGCCTGGATCTAACCCCGGATTCGGTGAAATCTTGAAGCAAGCACCAGCACAGACGACAGTACCGCCCGCCTCGACTGAAAAGGACGAAGAGGAGGAGCTGTGAAGCGCACTGCCTCGGACCGAAGCCCGTACAAGGCTGTAGACGACACGGCCTCGCCTGTACCCAAAAGGGATGCGCCGAGAACCGATGCCAGTCGTCGAAGGACCAAACTTGGCCAACAAAGAAGGTCAAGAATTGTATCGTATAGATGGCGAATGGATCGTCAAATGGCGAATACTGGCAGATTAGAGAAGGGTACAGTGCCAGTTGGCTTGCTTTGGCCGAACCATCTCAGGCCCATTGGATGGCTGCGCTGGCAATTAGAGTGTCAAACCGACATGGAAGCTGTTAGCCTTCAGAGTCCGCGAATACACGTATTTACATGTGAAGACCGTGTCTAACGAGGATATAACGCAGTCCTTTGCGTAAGCCCCTCGAATACGGGGCATTTGTTTTCGTCATATTGGTACGCGTCTACGAGCGGCCTTAATGCTTGCCCCGGCTTCTCCTTTGTTACATTCGCGGAGACGCTGCGGTCAAGAGCATCCTACAGAAACAAGGCGTGGTTTCATTGCATTTGCAGACGAATTAGAGGAAACGTTTACGGCACTAATTGACACAAGAAAAATGGCATTGGAATATGTGATCTAGCAAATGTATGAGGAAGGCTACGCAAACCCTGCTGCCGCATGGAGTGACAGTGAGGTTTCCTCACTCGCCCCGCCAACTTTGACTTCTTGTGTCATGTCGGTCAGTCTGCAAACTGTCTTTGTATCGTTAGCACATCTTGTCCAAGCAGGTAACTTTCTCAAAACAAAGCAAGATAGCTACAGTCAGACTGTTGAGCTTGATATAGTTTGGATCAACATTGTAATTCAGTTGGCCGTTCTTAAGAAGAGATAATCATCATCGTAGCGGGCTGCGGGAGGCAGGAGAACAGGAGAAATAAAAAATCATGCTTACCTAGTGTGATGAGCAAAATTTTCCAACCGAGAAAAGGCTAGAAACAGCTGAAACGTTGATTAGTGCAGCCATGAGCAAGAAAAACATAAGCTCCAAGCCCAGCCTCAAATTGAATGATTTGCGACATCATGCTACTTGGCTGTGTGCGTTGAGTGAGGGAAGAAAATCCCCTTGACCAGCAAGTCCACGGAGAAAATTTGTAGCTGGAGGAAGGCCCAGCCTTGAATGACCCACACGACCAAGCGACATCTTTTGAGTATTGCATAGCACATGCATCTATACGAGTGCCCATCTCAATCGCATATCGCGGAGGAGCCCTCACAGTGCGTCACTCGGGCCTAATTAGGGTGTCGTTGCCCACCGCGCCAAAGACACAACACGAGCTTCGGCCTAAACCTGCTGATGGGGCGCATTGTATACCTACCTTAGGTACCTGGTGGTACCTACATTCAATTCTTCTTAGGTTACCTAGTAATGTTCTGCCCTACCACCTGCGGCCTAGCCGTAGGTAGGTAGGTGAGGTAGGTACCTCAAAAGGCAGTTTCCAGCGGTGCCATCGCAGCGAATCCACGCGGTGAGGGCACACACTTCTTGTCTACAGTCCTCTGCGCAGCTTCAGGCCCCTGTAAGTACCTATGTATCCGTTCCCCTCTCCTCACCCACCACCAACGGCAGACTCACCCCTCTTCTTCCAGCCTGACGATAGCTCCCACCACCAAAAAGTGAACCACAAGTCTCGTCGTACACAAACGTCTTTCGACCCTGGCTTCGATTGTCAACCTACCTTACGTATTTGGCTTCCCACGGAATCGGACAAAATGGCTTCTAGTAAGAATCTTCCCCCCCCCCCCCCGCCCCCCTAAGTCCCGTTGCCCTGTGGGTTCCAAGCTTTGCGCGCTCGATTTAATGCGCTGCGATGCGCCCGCAAGCTTCAATCCATTGCTTTCTCCCATCGCGCGGTGTCTTCCAACATTACGGCAAGTAGCTAACAGGGACGATGCAGATTTCGAAGAGGTCGCAAGTAGGTTTTCTTCCTGGTCGGTCACGAGTTTGATCATGCTTCTGGAGCTCGCAACGCCCGACCTGAATCGGCCAGAAAACTGATCAGCCTCGTCAAATCAACAGAGCAGTTCATCGAGTTCTACTACAACCAGTTCGACTCAGACCGCAAAGGACTCGCCAGCCTCTACGTGAGATATTCTGCTTCTTCAATCGGTCGCTCGACCCCTCGAAGCTAATGGTAGCAACAGCGCGACCAGTCCATGCTGACTTTCGAGTCCGCTTCTGTGTTGGGCGCCAACGCCATTGTCGAGAAGCTTTCGGTATGTTTTGCTCGCGCGAGTGTCCCCGAGCCTCTGCAGCTCCCCGATGCAACCTGATCACTCACTCTTTCACCTCGCAGTCCCTTCCTTTTGAGAAGGTCAAGCACCAGGTCTCCACGCTCGACGCACAGCCCTCGCTCGAAGGCGGCATCGTTATCCTCGTAACCGGACAGCTCTTGGTAAGCACGCGATTCTTGTCTTTGGCTTGAGCCAGCTAGCTAACTGCTGACCATAAAGGTGGACGAGGAGCAACGCCCCATGAACTACACCCAGGCATTCCAGCTGATGCGCGATCCCACTGGTAACTACTTCGTTTTCAACGACCTTTTCAAGCTGGTCTACGGTTAGACAGCTTGAACAGTGACGAGATACATGCGCTCTATGTTTGAGCATGAATTGCAAGTCGCGGAGAAGACGCGTACTGGCAACGGCAGAGACGACTTGACGAGGGTCTCACCACCTCGATGGTGTCTACGTATGGGTAGATATAGGACATGACACTCCTACGGTCCTCTTTGTTTTGTGTTTTCCTCCCCGTGCGTGGGGCTAAGACGCGCATGCCGACAAGTTGCCAGCCGTTTAGAAATCAAACACGCTTCTTTTGAACTGCTCATCTATAATGGTCGAGCTTCCAAGTCAAACAACACCGCATGCTTCCTTCGACGTGACGTGTTTTTTTCACCCAGCTTTCTTGAGTCGGTTCACGCGATATGGTTTGTCCTCTGCATGTCGTTTGCGTGCTGGAGCATCCGCTCATGGGTCTCCTACCCTCCAAACACGGCCAAAAGTAAAACACCAAAGAGCGCTCGAGGGACTATTTCGTCCCCTGTGCTCGCTATCATTGTTGTTGTCGTCGTTGTCGTCGGCGTCGTCGGCGTCGTCGGCGTCGTCGGCGTCGTCTTTAATCGTCTCCATCCTCATTATTTTCAATATTTTCCCCGTCGTTGTAGTCGTTCTCTTCGTCATCCCTGATCGTTGTAACTCATTGTTGTCCTCGTTCAACGCCGTCTTAAAATCTACCGGTACAGAGCACACGGTAAATCTAGCCGCGCAGACGGGAAAATTAGGCGGTCTCTCAAGTAACGACACGTCCTCCCCGCGGCTGTTGCCAAACGAAAGAAGGCTGAGAGAAACGACTCTGACATCTCATTTATGCAGTATATACGCCCTGCCTCCCTCCATTTTCTCTTATTCTGTTTCATTGCACTTGCATTGAGGCGTCTCCATCGCGGAAAACCAGCTGAGCATGTTTTCCGCGAACAATGTCCTCGTCGCCGTTCGCAATCATGCCTCTCCCCTCTACGCCACGTGTGCCAAACCCTAAATCTCTGATCCGGCCACTGGCAATGTCAAAAAGACATCCGTGAACTGTAAGACCACGCTCCTTTACTGCCTCTTGAATAGCGAAGTTGGCCATCAGAACTCGGACGCCAGCTTCGACATTCATTTCGGCAATGCGGATGGCGCGTATGTCCTCATCTTTGATAGCGGCAAGTTCTTCGATATTCTGAGCCCGCACGGCCTTCAGCGGTGTCAACCATGTGTCGAGCACACCTCCAACGCGGGAATCACCCAATGCCGCCTTGGCACCACCACACGCCGAATGACCACAGAGAACGACATGTTTGACTTTGAGGTGTGTGACGGCATACTCAATGACGGCTGAGGTATTGATGTCCGTCGGGGCAACGATATTCGCTATATTACGGTGGACGAAGACATCTCCTGGCTGCAGACCAAGAATCGTCGTTTCCGGAACCCTTGAGTCGGAACATCCCAACCACACTGTCCATCGCATGTCAGCTAGCAAAATTGAACAGCACCAGTAGAATGCCGGGTTGGAGTCTTCTAGCTAGACGAGGAAGAGGGGGAGATAGGAGCAGACAAAGAAGGATACAGCAAGGGAGAACCTACGGATAGAAGGGGACTGCCCTGTTGCCAAGTTTTTGAAAAAGGCTGGGTTCTGGTGCGACTTATATCCAGCCCAAGCTTGGTTGGAGCTCAACGCGTATAGAAACTTGTTCTCTGCATCCGACAAGCCGTGTTAGCTCCCAGTGATGGCGCCTATTTTGCTCGATTGCTCGCATCGACAGCACTTACGGTCCTGGAACGCCATGGCGACTAAATTCTTGAGGCCTCAGCGATTGAATAAGAAGAGAAAGTGATAGAAAGTGCTGTAGAAAGACCCAAGCACGATGGGAGCAGTGAAGACCCGAAGAGGCAGATGCAGAGCTGGTGAGGATGGATAGTAAGATGGTTTCCGTCCCCCGAGTGCTAGCTGAGACCTGCAAAGCTGTACTCCTTTCTCGACTGAGTGATTTTGAGAACCACTTGCTTAGATATCTCTCGGGGAATGGAAGATAACCGGGCCGGTCTCCAGATGTTGGATTCGGTCTCTCACACCGGAGTCGAGAGAAGCTCACGTATGAAAGGGGTTCTGGGGCAGTGAATTCCCGGTCGCAACAACTGGAAATCCTGCGGTTTGGCGTTGGAGCAGGCTAGGCGGCTCTCACACAGCCGGTGCTAGCCAAACTATGGGACGCGGATAGTCGGGAAGGAGGTCGAGATATAACTGGGCTGCGAGTTGTGGCGGATGCCGAGCGCCGTGGTGTGACCTGGAGATTTCTCGTGAAATCGTCGTTCCACTTACTGGAAAGCTGCAAGTTTGGACTGGGATAATCAGCGTCTGCCATTCAATTCCGAGTCTTCGGCGGAGAGACCGAAGGAGGGTGCGCGTCACAGCAGATTGGATGAGCGGAGGGGAGAGGAGGGCGGGTGGTCAGGAGGAGGCATTGTGTATAATACAGCGTGCGTGTGTAAGTGATCACTCATGTGGCATGCAAAGGGATGGTAGCCGGCTGCGCTGAGAGTAGGAACTTGCATTAATATGGGCAGAGACATGCAGCCGAACGTGGGATGTTGGGGAAGAGGGGGCGGACCGACTGAGTGGTGATCCAATGAGAGGAGATCGGTTGAGACAGGCAGAACAAACCTAATGGATGAACTGAGGCAAGGAGAAGCGCCTTTGCCAGAAAGCGCTTCCGAAGCGATGAGGACAGATCCTGCAGAGAATAGCAAGATGTTACCACGCAATAGTCGCGAAGATGAGGAAGAGTGATGCGTTCGCCGAAGGCTTTGGGTGGGGAGGGGCGGGGAGGGGAGGGGGCATGCAGATAATATAACTAGAGAATGTCACTCCGTGCAGCTAACTATAGAGACAGCGAACCGCAAGGAACCCAGCTGTCTTCGCTCTCAAATGGCCGCAGCAACAATAGATGCAACAGGGGATGGGCATACTTCTTTTAGACGCAGATTCAAACGGAGCCAAGACTCGACGAGTCGCTCAAGACACCTTAGCACGAGCAGAAGCTGTGCTATCCCAGCATTGCTGCTCCGTATCCTCCTCATGCCTTGGATCTCATCTTGTCTCTCCGCTCCTCTGCCGACGTCCTTCGGTCGAGTAACATCCCCAGACAGCAGCTCGGATACAAGTCAAGTGCGTGCTCGTTCTGGTCGTCAAAAGCCACGGTCGGCTTGCATGTAAACCTTTCGTGTATGTGATTGCCACCCCAGGTTTGAATGTCTGTCGACCAGAGGGCGGCTGACCGCTCGGCTCGCATTTGGCCTGCACACAACGACGGACTTGATCTTCGACACAGGCAGACGTGGGCTACAAGCATTGAACCTAACCCATCCATGGATGCTCAGTAACCTACTTGAAGCATACGGTGACTGATCAGAGTAGCGGACGTAAAGCCGGGCTAGGGGCCTCCCCCACCCTGAAACGGCACATCTGGAAGTGCCAACGCTACCAGGTTAAAGAGGCAACCATAATAGAATTTGTGCGCTTCCAATGCACCATGGTGCTCCAGCCTCTTCTCTTCCTTCCCCCCTCACATTTTGGTCTTGCTTCCTATTGCTATATACATATTCCTACTACATTCTGCCACCTGTGGTCCCTCCATGTGCCGTGAGCTTGTCTGCCCCGCCAGTCCCGTGCACCGCTTTTCCTAGTTTAGACACGCTCAAATCTAGCCGGACAGTGCGTCGACAGGGGTCGTGGACAAGGATGATCTGCCTCAAATTACGACATACCAGGATTGCAGAAGAGCGAGAAGAGTAGTATATGAAGAACCTTCCCCGCAGTGCGTAGGCATGTAGGCAACTGGCAAAGTGACCCCGGCCCCTGGACAAGTTCAAGCTGTCACTGTCAGCGCAATCATCCCGTCCTCGGGGAAGTTTGGCCAAATTAGCAAAAACACAGAGCATGCCTACTCGGTTGTCATGGTACACAACATGAGCGATAGTGAGGAGGAGCCAAGTTCGTGCCCATTTCTGAAGTTGTGCTACGAATATCCGTTGGAACAGGCAGTGTATCGACATAGAGGACATAGGACAGAATCGGACAAGAACCAAAAAAAAAAAGGTTCGGTGGCGAGGCGTACCCAAATCTTTAGCTGAAGCCGTATGTGCATAGTGGGGGATCTTTTACGAGCAGACAGTTTCTTCGTGCGGCTGTAACCCTGCCGCCGACTAACCTCCACAGAGAGTTGCGCCACAATACGTAGCAGTACAAGGTTTTCTCGTTGACTGTCGCCCATATGCACCAGTTATGAAGCTGTAATAATGAGCTGGTTGATTCACGTCATCTCTTTGGCAGGCGGAGATACCGCCGACGACCGGACAAGTTCGGATACACAACATTCGGCTCGAATTACTGCTTGCGCTAGGTGATGCTAATACACGTACGCGTGGGCACATCTGATGGACGAGCATGATCATCTGCGTCCCGAACTGGAACCTGGTCAGGACACGACAAACATTTTTCGGTCCTCAGAGTTAGATGCGAAGGGAAACCTGAAGCGTGAACCGAAACCCAAATGAATAGTCATCCCGACGCCATGCCAAATTTTTGTAATCCGATAACCTCGAGTGGCCTAGTCTCCTAATGCACTAAAAGCAGTCCGGGTATTTGTCCTTCTTAGACCTTGATAGCGGTCTCAAGCGCCTTCCTCTTCTTCTCGGTGCGCTTCTGTGCCTTGGCACCCATGATACCACCACCCCACTGCTTTCTCGCCTGCTCGGTCTTCTCGATGTAGCCATCCTTGATGGCAGAGACGAGCTTAGACAGCTCGTTCTTGTCCTCAGAGCGAACCTCGGTGAGAGCGAGGACAGCGGCGGTCTGCCCTTGATCAGCATCTCAGCAACCACGATTCGGAATTTGCTTACCTTCTTGTGAACAACGGTACCGAGACGAGCCTTGCCCTTGATAATGGCGAAGGGGACGCCCATCTTGCGGCAAAGAGCGGGAAGGAAAATGACCAGCTCAATGGGGTCAACGTCGTTGGGGATTAGGACGAGAGAAGCCTTCTTGTTCTCGATAAGACCAACGACGTGGTTGAGACCATACTTGACAGTGTAGGGCTTCTTGCTGACATCCTCCTTCTTCTTGCCCTCCTTGATGGCAGTGGCCTCCTTGACGAGACGCTCCTTCTTCTCGGCCTTGGTCTCAGGGCGGTACTTGTTGAGGAGCTTGAAAGCCTGGGCGGCAGTGTTGCGGTCGAGGACGTGCTGGAACTGGGCAATCGCAGGGGGGACCTTGAGGCGCATGCTCAAGATCTTCTTCTGGCGCTGAAGACGGACGTACTCGGGCCACTTCACCATACGGGACAGGTTGCGGCGAGGCTGGATGTCCTGGCCGATGCCGAAGTTGCGGGGCTTGCGCTCAAGAAGGGGGTTCTGAAGAAGTAGTCAGCCGTCACTGAGCTAAGCGGACAGGGTTGCGAATTTTGGTACTGACCTTGGGAGCCTTCTTAGAGCCAGCCTTTCCCTGAGGGAAAGGGGCGGGTGCCACCTTCTTACCGGACTTGGGAGGCTGTCATTGAGAAAGAAAGACATCAGCGAGTTGTTCAAATCAACTTGTGTCTTCCCTGAACTCTAAAGAGAAGGACGGCGAGAAGAATTGATGCCTCACGGCAAATCAGTCCTCTGCCGTCCTCTCAAGCCAAATCATCATCATCGCACCGTCCTGCGATGTGTGCGTGCGAGCAACGCAACGACAGGCGGGCGGATGGAATAATCACAATGCGCGCAGGCGACATTGGATGTTCTGGCCACGAGGGCAAACGAAGGCGTCGACGTTCGGTGTGCACTTACCATTTTGTCGGTTGTCGTGATGCTGCCGTGGAGGGGGGATGGATGAGGGACGACACAACGCTGCGAAGGCTCAGAATGGCGGAGACGAGAAAAGGTCTGCTCCAGAGTGTGGGCTGGAGTTAGGGCACAAAAAAATTCTGGCTGGTGGGTTTGCGATAAGGCGTCAGTACAGTCCGTGCTGCAGAAGAGCGCTATCACCACGTGACTCTTCACCCCCGGCTCGAGTTTTTTTTTGGAGAGGTACCCATACTGGCTCCGTAAGGTATCTAGGTTCCTACCCCCTTAAGGTAGGTACTTTGGGTGCAGGTCTTGGGGAAGGTAGCAGGGTCATAAGGAGGTAGTGTTGCTTTGATTGGTTCTTTGACCGAGAGCTCACCGAACTGCCGGTTTTCTGAGCACCTGACGCTAAGGTACTCACCTACCTTCCCTGTTGACGAATTGCCCGTACCCAGTTACTCTGTGTCAGCCGAAGGGGGATTTGTGTTTTTCTCGCAACGCTTTACGGGATTCTATCACAAGGCCAGTTTCCCCGCGGCTTGAAAAAGCTGGGTTTTCCTTCCCTCGGCGCCTCTGATTTGGGCCGGTAAAGAGTTCGCCACGCTCGTAACTGTCAGCGTCAGCCGGGCCCAGGTCATCGCCATCATGGCCCCTGTCCTTTGCGCCAACTGCAAGATAGAGCGTGCTCTTGTGAAGCGACCCAAGAACCACCAGAAGCTCTGCAAAGCCTGCTTCATATCAGTCTTTGAAGAGGAGGTACACCACACCATAGTGTCCTCCGCTCTCTTCGCTCCCGGTGAAAAGGTTGCCATTGGCGCATCTGGTGGCAAGGACTCGACAGTACTGGCAAGCGTGCTTAAGACCCTAAACGAACGATATAGCTATGGCTTGGAGCTTGAGCTTCTCAGTATCGACGAAGGAATCAAAGGCTACAGAGACGATTCACTGGAGACGGTGAAGAGGAATGCTGTCCAGTACGACATGCCGCTGACCGTCGTAGGCTACGACCAGCTGTATGGTTGGACGATGGACCAGGTTGTCGAAACCATCGGCAAGAAAGGAAACTGCACGTATTGTGGAGTCTTTCGCCGGCAGGCGCTGGATCGCGGCGCCAAGATGCTGGGCATCAAACATCTTGTTACCGGTCACAATGCCGACGACGTTGCTGAGACCATTCTCATGAACCTCTTGAGAGGTGATTTACCTCGCCTTGGTCGGAGCACTAGCATCACTACTGGCGACGATTCCAGTGACGTCAAACGCAGCAAGCCGCTGAAATATTCGTACGAGAAGGAGATAGTGTTGTATGCTCATCACCAAAAACTCGACTACTTCAGCACCGAATGCTTATACAGTCCTGAAGCCTTTCGAGGCACTGCACGCACCTTGATCAAGAACCTCGAGCGGGTGCGTCCCAGCGCTATTTTGGACATAGTTCGGAGCGGCGAGGACATGGCGCGACTCGTTGCCGGCGCATCCAGCAACTCATGCGCGTGCAAGGGCGACTCTGGTCGGGTTGCCGAGGACGATTACGCCAGTGGCTGCGGCTCGCAAAATGGCAACGGGTCAAAGGGGGAGATCGCTCGGCTGGACGCTCAATTGAGCCAGACTACAGACGACGCAGACCTGGTAACAGACTACACGACAGCGGTAGCCGGAAAGACGAAACCCCACGCAGACATAGTTGTTGGACAGCCGAAGCCCTCAACGCAGCAAGCGGCGACGAACGGTCCCCTTCAGAAACTGGGCAGTTGCGAGAGATGCGGTTACATGTCAAGTCAGGCTGTCTGCCAGGCCTGCCTCCTGGTAGACGGGCTCAATAAGAATAAGCCAGAGATCCGCATATAAAACAGGCAATTTCCATCCTATGCGCCCCTCTTCATGTGCGCCACCCATCAATCGCGGACAGGAGAAATCAATGAGGTTGGCACACCCATATGTAGCTGGAAGAATAAGGTTTATTCCTTGGCCGAGATGACCAAGGCTATCAGAGTACGCCTGAATTTGAAGTAGAATACATTTCTTGGTATCATCCCGTGCATTACGAGAAACGCTTCTCTAACTGTGCCTTTGTCAGTTGCGATGCCCGAACTTGGTTTCCAGAGTGAACTTACCCTCCAAGGGTTGTTAAGTTCGAAGCCTGGAGGGGCTTCGGCGTTGTCGATTTGACCTCGCAGGTCGCCCGTGAGTCGACGGTCGCGATCCATCACTAGTGGACATGAGGTTAAATATCACGCCAATTGCAAGAAAAAGTCATAATCTCGGAGCGGTGCGTACTTTGCTGCAGCCCGATTGGTTAGCGTTGGCCATGGCGAGACGCGCAGGAGAAAATACTAACTCTGTCCCATTGATCCAGCCCCCAACGAGGTTTCTTTCCACCATTCTGGACGTATTTGATGACGTGCAAGCCGGTGCCGGTAATGCCAAACATCTGGACTGGTCTTAGCGTCCGCAGGTATGATCGAAGTGTCCGCGTCTGGGTAAGCATGGGTAGCTCTCACGGCAACCATGATTCCATAGGGAATCAGAGTCTCGAAAGGAACAGGCATTGTCGCGGGCGACCTTCCAATCAAGGATGCTCAATTGATTTCCTGTGTACAAAGAAGGAAGGAAGAGGCAGGTAACGAAATCAATGCTTGCGACTGTCGCGACTCTAGGTCGAAGCCGAGGTCGAGGTCGATGGTGGGATGCGGCGTTGCAGACTGCCGGCTTCTTGAGCTCAATATACTGGTTGACGATGAAGCCGCTGTCGTCGTTGACCAGCGGCTGGTCCAGATCAATGGCACCACGTGACTGTCCGGACATCAAACAATTAGAAGCGTTTTGACTGGTCGCGGGCATCAGATGTGGATACCAGTCTGCACTGTCTAAATTGGCACAGCTCTTACTGTACGTTATACAGGCCAGGCAGGTACCTAGGTACCGTATGTACCTGGCCAATGTAAGCTCTCATTTGCTACAGTCGCATCCCTTGGGAACAGGCGGCGAGTACCTCAAGGTGGTCGCTCACGGTTGAGTCGCCAACGTGTCGCCCCTTTGCTCGCGCATAACTCGACCTAGAACTCGACCTAAAAGTCAACCTAGCATCTTGGAGCTACCACCCGCCTACTCAATGTCAACCTAGACGAGATAGATTGACGTCAATACCCCGCGCAACGCGTTTCTCGTCCATATCAAGCACCATTCTGATATTCACTGGGCCGCTCGTATCTCTGGTGTATATCGCGCGCGCGCGCGCGGGTAGTCGATCCCGACGCATCAAACGAACCGAGCCAAACCGCGTCGACATCGCCCAGCGCATCGCCAGCCTTAGCCACCTTTTCTCCCCTGGGTAGCTATGGGCTGTGGGAACCGCCATTGTGTTCTTTGTGGACGTGTTGCGAAGCAATAACTTTTCGTCTCGAACGATCCGTAACGAGCGTTGTGCGACAAAATGGCGAGTACGCATCTTACCGAAGAACAGCTGCAACAAAGTGCGGTGTTGTCAGAAGAGGAGCTTCAGAAGAGCGCTACCCATTCGGATGAGGATGCTGAGCATGAATCGGCGCCCCCAGATGCTGTCGAAGATGGTCTAGGGAGTACTGAGAGCCCGTTGACGAACCCGAATACCCACGATGACGGCTTTTCAGACGCATCTGGCGATGGGGACGAGCAAAGATCCGTCAGTGCCCTGGCAGACGACCTTGAGATGGGCGAAAACACAGACGATGCCAGCGATCTCTCTCATGCGTCTCTTGAGGATAATATGGATAACGATTCTGAGGAGGACATGGGTGCGCGTACGGAGCGCGACGGTGATGACGCCTCAGCTGGCGCGCGAAGTCGGAGCAGTAGTCTTCTGGACGATATCGAAGAAGATGAGGCTGAAGGCGTCGGTGCTGTCAAGATTCGACCGGGGGAGACGGATGATGAGGCGGAGCTTGATAGCGAACACTCGGACTCCCAGAGCGAGTCTGGAAACGAGTCTGACGGTGCCGCAGCATGGGAAGACGCTGCTGGGGGCGAAGAAGACGACGAGGAAGAAGGCTCTGAGGATGCTGCGCCCAACACATGCATGTTCTGCAGGCAAGACGAGGACAACGATCCTGGAGAGGACTTTGAGGAGTACCTAAGCTGCGTCGTGTGTGGCGAAAATTGTGAGTGGCTAGGCGTGTCTTCGAGGAGAACCACGAAGCTGACTGATTGTGTAGCACACCAACATTGCGCCAGAGAAGCAGATGTTGTGAAGGAGCTCACAGGTAAGCTCCTCAGCTATTTGCCTAGTATTTCAGGTGCACTGACAAGACGATGTCTCAGATCTTCAGCAGTGGAAGTGCCCTGAATGTGCTGCTCCCGATGATGAACCGTCTCTTGCGGCCTTGGCCGATGTTTCTCGTCGACCTGAGCCCGAGCATGAAACTGAGCTTGAGCTATCGCCTTCTTCTAGGAGGTCAACGGCATCTCAAGTGGCGCGCGACTTGCTCCCCCCTCAGAAGGGGCCTGCGAAACCTGACTCTCACTCGGTCTTCAACCAACTTCTGCTAGACGGCGACCCTATGGATGGATCACGCGTTCTTCGAAAGCGAAAGACCTCTTCCGTCGAGGCGGATGAAATGGTGATGTCTCTTCGGAAACGTCGCAGAAATGCCTCCAAAGATCGAGAGACCAGCCATGGCTTGAATACGAACCAGGATGCGTCTGACGGTCCTGCAGAAAAAGAAGTCCGCCGCAAGCTGCGACTGAACCCCGCTAGGAAATCCCAGGCTGTTGTCGTTACCCGTCGCCAACGCTCAATAATCGTCAATATGCGAGTAAAGCCATCCTCACTTCGCCGCGTCTTGTCCAGAAAAGCAACATCAAATCGGAAGAGATCGGATAGGAGAGATGGTGCCTCGTCGCGTGGTGGTGTTTCAACGGTCGTGCCATCAACTTCCACTGCGACAGACTATTCACATCCCTTCTATTCTTTCTATGACCGCGAGACGGATGAAATGAAGACCAAGCCGTACGGAGGGATTCTCAGCGAGGCAGAAGCCGACACATCCAGAACCTTGCCTGCCAATGATGACCGTCGGCGATTCGACGAGGCGAAACAAAAGGCGGAAGAAGTCTGGAGAGCTCGTCTTCAAAGTACTCAGGCTATCTTGGGAACACCTGCCAAGAAGCCAAAGAAGAATGCTGGACCGGCAAGCCAGATCGAGTGTATCGATTTTGGCGGTTGGGAAATCGACACGTGGTATGCGGCACCCTACCCAGAAGAGTACAGTCGGAACCGAACTCTGTACATTTGCGAGTTCTGCCTCAAGTACATGAACTCAGATTATGTAGCCTGGCGTCACAAACTTAAGTGTCCGGCCAAGCACCCTCCGGGCGACGAGATATACCGACATGGTTCTGTTTCTGTTTTCGAGGTTGACGGCCGAAAGAATCCAGTCTACTGCCAGAATCTCTGTCTGCTGGCCAAGCTCTTCCTTGGATCCAAAACACTCTACTACGACGTCGAGCCTTTCCTCTTCTATGTGTTGTGTGAGTATGATGCTCTCGGCTATCATTTCGTGGGTTATTTTTCCAAAGAGAAGCGGGCGAGCAGCCAGAACAATGTTTCCTGCATCTTGACCTTACCAATCCATCAACGAAAAGGCTATGGCAACTTGTTGATAGATTTCTCATATCTGCTTACTCGTGTCGAGCGCAAGACAGGATCGCCCGAAAAACCACTTTCCGACATGGGCTTGGTTTCTTATCGCAACTACTGGAGGCTAGTGCTTTGCCGTTATCTCTTGGATCATATATCGGATGCCAAGGCAGCTGCTCATGGCTTGAGTGTCCGGCAGATGTCTGATGATACGGGCTTGACACCCGACGATGTCATATCGGCTCTCGAGGGTCTTCGGTGCCTCGTTCGCGACCCGCACACTGAGCTATACGCTTTTCGAATTGACCTTGCATACTGCACCGAATACATCTCCAAGTGGGAGCGCAAGAACTACGTCAAGCTGAATCCGGACGCGCTGACTTGGACTCCGTATGTTATGGGCCGAGGCAATGCTACCAACTTTGAACTTGGCCCAGCTATCAGCGCCATCGCACCCCGCGAAGACGATGAAGCCCAGAAGCCGGCTGAGGAAGCAGTCTCGGTTCTCTCCCAACATGACCCTGCTATCAACGGCAATTCTGTCATGGGAACAGGAGAGAAGGCCACGGCGATTGAAAGTGCGCCATCAACCAATGAAGATACCGCAGGAGACGAACTGGATGAAGCCGAGGTGCAGCCGGCGGTTTACGAATCCATGGAGTTGCACGAGGACGATCTTTCAAATGGCGACAGCGGCTTGGCAGCGGCTCATGAGGAGACATACCAAGAAGTCCAAGCGACACAGGCCGACCTGGATCAGGTTTCCCTAGACAACTGGACGCTTCTGTACAGGGATGTCCCGCCGTCGAGGTTCGAGGTGTACCCGCCTCCAGGAGGCCGTCGTGCAGATCGGCCGCGGTCTAGCGTAACGCGGCCGACGGTACCTCCAAGCAACAGTAACAACTCGCGACCACGACGGCCGGCCGGTAGCAGCAGCAGCGTCAGACGGCCAACATCAAGCCGGCCCAAGAGCTCTTCGTCATCGTCGCGTAGGAAGACGGGTGGGACTGGGCGAGGGCCTGGACGATGGCCTAAAGGTACCAAGAAGAGCGACTACGGCAACGCTGACAGCGGACCTGGTCTTCCGCCGGCCTGGATTAGAGAAAGGACGCGGCTGGCGGCTCTCGGAGGTACAATTGGAGAGGATGAAGGGTCGAGGCTGGAGAACCAGGAATCAATCGATGTGGCTCGGGTTCAACTCCAGACCGGGGCACAGCCGCCCACCTTGATGGAAGAAGCTACCGGAGTTGAAGACAGCGGTCACGGAGACGCGGGTGGCCAAGCAGAGGATAAGTAAATGCCACAGCTGATACCCCTAATTATCATTTCCTAGGCGTTTGGTCGACATACTGTGTGGTAGAAGATATAGCAATTGAAAACTTCAAAAGCGGTGCTTGTTCAGCAGGCGACCGGAAGCAGGCAGTCGCTGGCTTAGTGCTGCTACGTGAGATCAAAGGAATGCAATATTACATGGATTGGTTATCTGCTTGCTTGGACGTTTGAGAAGAGTGTTTGAGAACGCGGCGACTCCAGGTAGGCGATGGGAAAATGCGCCGGGTTAGGCAGGGTTTGGTGGTTGGGGTCCATCTCAGTCAGTTAGGTACCTAAAGGCCAGGTCAGGTACCTCCCTCGGGTGGTTGATGCGTCGCAGAAGCACAGCAAACGCAAAGCACTGCGCAACTGCTACCGTGCCACGGTACCGCAAGGTTAGTAGGTAAGGTAGATAGGCAAGGTAAGAAAAACGGCAACGGAACGAAATAATGGCGGCTCAGCTTCCAAAACGGCCCCAAGGTAACCCTGCTTCACTTCGCTGTACCTAAGGCACCTTCCAATTTACGACTGGGGAGCAGGCGCCAACGCGGGTCGTGAGGTGAGGACCTCAGGGACTTCCATACCTAACCTTACCTTACCTTAGGTAGGTGCCTTAGGTACCTTGATATGCCTTGGGCACTTAGGTAACCATCGTATCCACATACAACCTTAAGGCACCTACACTCCTCCTGAGGTAGGTACCTTACAATGATGGAACCCATAGCCCAGTAAAGTACGTAGCTAAGGCCCTACCTAGGGTGAGGACCGTAAGGTCATCAGCCAGCCATAGGTGCGTATTTGGCCAGCTCAGAGCCAGCATACCTTGGGCACCTATCCGATGCTAAAAGCCATAGTCAGGATGTTCACCTCGCCATACGGGTTTCTTACTCAAGACCCTAGAGGTTAATCAAGACGTCTTTGGGCGCGACGGTGATGGTCGTCGGGATGCTTGTGCGTTTAGGCGCCAGCTCTCGGGGGCGCGCAGTGCCGTTTGATTGATTCCAAGAGCCCATTCCCACAGGTTGCTGTACCTATGCAGAGAAGGTACTGGTAAGGTGCGAGGTAGGTAAGGTACGGTAGGTGCAGGTACAGGCCGAGTGCAGGCACAGGCGCAGCGAGCACAGGTGCTCTGGTGCGTAGTCGTGTCTCCGCTCGCCAAGTCGCATTACGCAGCACCCTTCGCCGCACATACTGGGGCACTGCCAGAGGCGTGACACTCTCCATTCGCAAACCAAACTTGACTTTTGGCCTGACCTGTCATCTATCCAACTTATCTGTAATCACCTTACCCCAACCTCCCCGACACCGTACATCCAAACATCGTGCCTGTGCCCGATTTTTGGCCATCGGCACTCCTAGCAAAACAGGCAAGTCGGACCGTTGTTACCATATCGCGATTTGCGTGCTGTACAGGATTGATAGGAAGCTCTGCCCTGTCAAGCCGCCTTGCCGTGTCATTCGGCATCGCCTCTGGCCCTTTTGCCGCCATTCTTCGTCCACTTGCCTCTTTCGCGCCCCCTCTACCCTCCCACGACTGAGCGTCTCGACCCATTCAATCATTCACTCGTTCACCTCCTTCCGGGTTACAAGTGATCGACTACCAAGGGTGCTCAATTTCCCACAGGCGTCCAGTAACAACTGCCTTGGCCTCTGCAACCAGGCCCGTTTGCGACGCCGAGCGCCCCATCAACGGTCATTTCGATTACTCGTGGGACCGGCCCAAAAGGTATTTCGTCAACCACAACCTCTATCGTCGACGAACTGCCGACCGCAGCCCCTCTCCGTCTTCAGCTACGTTGTAATATTGCGGTTCTCGCTGACCGCATCGATCTTGCTGCCTTCAGCACCCAAACATCACCGGCGAATACAGGTGACCTTGTCTGTCCGCCGACGACTCGCCTGCGTTGGGCCCAAGCGCTTTCTCGCCCGACTGCGCTTGGTAACTTGCGCACTCTAGAACCTGTCGGAAGGCTATCTTGCCGACTTCTTTCTCATCGGCCTCCCGACGCTCCCGATAGTTTACCGGAACATCCTACCAACGGCCCCGATATCGCCCAACAGTCTGTTGCCTGGTTTACGAAGCGAGCTTAATTGGCCATTGCCTGCCATCAAATTACGATAGAAACCAGCCGTCAAAATGTCCAAAGTCATCCGCAGTGTCAAAAATGTGACCAAGGGCTACTCAAGTGTCCAAGTCAAAGTCCGAGAAGGTGCGTCCTACACCGCGTCATTCCATTTGAGTACACTTGTGGCCAGTGGCTAACTATCATCTTTTGTCTAGCCACCAGTAATGATCCATGGGGTCCGACGGGCACTCAGATGAGTGAAATCGCTCAGCTGACATACAACACGTGGGTTTTCTCCCTGCCCATGAATCAGGCGTCGCATTAATGGTTATCTACAGATCGACCGAGTTTTACGAGATCATGGATATGCTAGACAAACGTCTCAACGACAAGGGCAAGAATTGGCGACACGTTTTGAAAGCCCTGAAGGTGCTTGACTATTGCCTGCATGAAGGGTCTGAGCTTGTCGTTACGTGGGCGAGACAAAGCATCTATATTATTAAGACACTGCGCGAGTTCCAGTACATTGATGAAGACGGCAGAGATGTTGGCCAAAACGGTATGGTTCTTCTGTTGAGCAGATTCTACCGTGTATTCGTTGACTAACTGGGCGGACTAGTCCGTGTTGCTGCAAAGGAACTGACCGCGCTCATCCTGGACGAAGAACGGCTACGGGCTGAGAGAAGTGACCGCAAGTCATGGAAATCTCGCGTCACCGGCCTTGAGGAGTTCGCACCTCAGCAGATGGGACCCACGCAGCCGCGGCCTCGTCGTCGTCAAAGCAATGAGGACGACACGGAGTACAGGCTCGCCATTGAGGCCAGTAAGCACCAGGAGGAGGAGGATCGTAGAAAACGCGCGAGCCGCGCTGCGAACGAAGCCGAGGACGATGACCTTGCCAAGGCTATCAAGCTTAGCAAAGAAGAGGACGAACGACGTCGGCGAGAGATGGAGGACAGCAACGCGTCTTTGCTATTCGACGACACACCGACGCAATCGACGCAGCCGCAGTACACTGGGTTCAACCAAGGTTATCAGCAGGGCAGCGCTGTTGATTTCTTTGCCAATCCCATCGATCAAAGTCAGTTGCAGCCGCAGCCCACAGGCTTCATGCCGAATGCCTATACGGGCTACCAGCAACCGCAAGCGACTGGATTCCAGAACGGTTACGGCGGCGGCTTCGGAATGCCACAACAGGGCATGAATATGGACCCTTACGGGCAACAACAGAGTATGCAGGGGTTCCAGCCTCAGCCGACAGGCTACAACCCGTACGCCCAATCACAAGTTCAAAGCCCTGCTCCTCAAGAGCCTGTCGCACAACCAGGAAGCAACAACCCTTGGTCGACAGGCACCATGAAGGCGGGGAACCCCATGAAGCCTATGCAAACAGGGTCGAACAATCCATTCGCATCGTCATTTGGTCGCCCGCAGCCTCAAAGTCAGCCTCCCATGCCAGCGATGCCATCTCTTGGCAGTCTTCCGGAACAAAAGACACTCTCGACGTTCAACCAGCCGAACCAGGGATCTGCTGCCTTTGGCGCTCCGCAGAAGGAGTTGACGGAGCATGAGGCGAAGTTGAATGCACTGCTTGCTGGTGGTGATGGCATGGATACATTCGGCAACACGGGTCAGACGCGTATCCCAGCACAACACACAGCGCCTGGGACATTCGTCAATAGTGCTGGAGCAGGTGCCAATCGCCTGACAGCGGAAGCGACGGGAAGCAATCCATTCCTTCGATCCCAGTTTACCGGTATGCCCAATATATCATATGGCGCTCAGATGCCTGCTGCGACAGGACCGGCGGGAATTAATGGTAGCAACAATCCTTTTGCAGCGACTCGGCCGCAACAGCAGAACACCCAGGCGCAAGACCTCATACAATTTTAGTCCCTTTTGTCTTTTTCTTCTTTTCTGCTTTCGGGTCGATTGTACGGAGTGCGCCAGGAAGATGTGCGGCCGGCAACTGCTGCCTACGTGTCATTGGCGTTATCAGAACAGGCTGCAGGTAGCGCGACGAGGAAAATCAGATTATCATTCGTATCGTATCGTATCTTACACACGTTCTCTTACTTAGAGGTTTGGCGTGGGATAAATTTTCTTACTCTTATTGGGGTGTGATCCCCTCCTTCTGAGGCCAAAATCCCAAACATCCGTGCTATTTATCACTCTTATTATTGCTTGGCTGTCTGTCTCTCTCCCTCTCCATCTCTCTCTGCTGTCTGGATTTGCGGTCAGTGATCTTTTCGTGGTCATCAGCCACTCGTCATCATGTTTTGCGATACCTTGTGCGCATAGTGAAGGGTTCCCACTGGGGAGAGAGGACGGTCTGTAATGATTATTGCTGTAAGTAAATCGCAGAGTCAGGCCAGATAACATGCATGCAGGTTGTGGAGATTCAGGGTGACGGTTGTAGAGCTATTGGATGCCACGCTCGTATGGCCTGTGAAGTCGCTGGTAATGTGTAATTGTAAATATAGCTAAGGTACCTTTGGTCAGTTGAGGCAGGATGAAGCTGCACATGATCGCTCCTGCTCCTGCCTGAACTTCGCTGCCAGCTTTGCTATTGGCTCAGCCGGCAAGCTCTTTTGTCTGGCCCAATCACAGGACATTGCTGTCCTCAGGCAGCAACGTCGAGTAGCTACCTACGCCAGGTGGATGCTCTCGGTCTCCACTTCAATGGTCGAAAATTACTAAGCCAGTACGTGCCTAGGACTCAGAACGCCCAGTGAAGGCGACGGCATTCCGCCCAAGTTCATAAAAAGTAGCAATCCCTTTGCTTGCACCTCACTCATCACGGACAACAATCTGCGTATTCGACCACTCTCTTCTAACTGACTGTTCATCTGTAACATCGAGAGTAGTTTTGCTGCTTCTAGGTGATTACCCATCTCCATCGCGGCTCAGCTCTTCTTTACCCTGCCCGGTTTGATTGGTTGCCGCCCCACCCCCGGTCCCTCTGGCTAGATACAGTACTTCTGTACCTTCCTGCAAGCGACGCGCTGTAACATCCCTTCTACCCACCCCAGCCATTTTTTCTCCACGTACCTCTTCTTTCTGTTCCGTGCCTTTGCGCGACACTCAAAGGGAGAAAAATCTCCTCGACCAGCTGTATACAACACCACAGCTTCCCACGTCACGTCGCCAATCTATCCGCTCGACGCGCCCACCGGTCATCAACACCGACGGCCGCTTCCGATCCGACCGCACTGCATGACCGTCCATAATTGATTGTAGGCGATTTCACCTGCGTCCGCGACTCAGATCCCCTAGTGCGCGTTCTCGCACTCATTCTCCTCATCCTCAACCTCAGCACCAACAGTCGCTGCTAGCCTGCATCCATCATGTCTGGCTTTGGCAGCGGCAGCTTTGGCGGCTTTGGCCAGAGCAACAACCAACAGTCAACTGGCTTTGGCGGCTTCGGAGCCAACAACGCGACCAGCACCAGCACAGGTAAGGCAAAACTTGCGTCGTCGCAACCACCAGCGATTCTGTCGCAAAGCTTCATTCAGACTAATCAACCATCCCCACTAGGCTTTGGATCTGGCACTGCTACGAACAGCGCCTTTGGGTCTACCAACAATACCAACACGAGTGGTGGCCTTTTTGGCAACACTACTGGTGCCTTTGGCGGTGGTGGCACCTCTTCAAGTGAGTTTTACATCCGACATGCTCCTTTTATCTGCATTGAGCAGTATACTAATTATCCATTACCCTAGGTGGTTTCGGTTCTAACACCAACACAACCTTCGGAGCCTCAAAACCTGCTTTCGGAGCTTCTACGTCTACTGGAGGCGGCCTTTTCGGCTCCAACAACAATAATAATACCAACACTACTACCCCTTCTTCTGGGTTTGGAGGCTTTGGCGGGAATGCAACTGCAAGTACGTCATCTCCCTTTGGAGGATCTGGCGGAAATTTGTTCGGCGCCAGCAAGCCTGCCTTTGGCTCCACGACGAACAACACCACCACTGCCACCGGCACCACGTCCTTGTTCGGCGGAAACTCTGGCACCGGCTTCGGTGGCAACGCCGCCACCACTGGAGGCTTTGGCGCATCTCTAAACCCGGGCATCGGTTCAAATGTTGGCGACCCTCCTGGCACGGCCATCACACCGTTCCAAGCGCACCAGGAAAAGGAAACTGCCGGAGCCGGAAATCAGTCAAACGCGTTCCAAAACATTCTCTTCCAAGAACCGTACAAGAAATGGTCTGCGGAAGAGCTGAGACTGGCTGACTACGCACAGGGACGCCGTCATGGTAATGCCAGCGGAGCAGGCGCCTTTGGTGTTTCCAACTTTGGCAGCACTGGTTTTGGTGCGACAAACCAGCAGTCTGCAGGTTTTGGATCGGGTGCTTCGACCGGAGGTGGCTTGTTCGGCGGTGCCAACAACAACACGAGTGCGACGACGGCCACGACCACCGGTTTCGGCGGTGGTTCCGCTGGAGGGTTCGGATCCGGAGGCGGTCTGTTCGGCAACCAGCCCAAGCCAGCTACTGGAGGCCTGTTCGGAGGCGGCAGCACGACAACATCTCAGCCCGCTCAGTCGGGCGGGCTGTTTGGCACAAGTTCGGGGGGTGGATTCGGTACCACAAACACGACCAGTGGATTCGGGTCCACTAACAATAATGCTACCGGAGGAGGACTCTTTGGATCGAACAATACCGCTGCGAACCAAGCCAAACCCGGCGGCTTTAGTTTCGGCAACACCGGGGCCACGACCGGCGGATTCGGAGCGAGTAACACGACCAGCGCATTTGGTTCGAACAACACCACCACCAATAATACGGGCACTAGCGGCGGGTTATTCGGCAACGCTGGCCAGTCCAATGGAACTGGACTTTTTGGCAACAATCAAGCCCAAAGTCAGCAGCAAGGAACTGGATCAGTCTTTGGCGGAGGTGGGTTTGGCGCGCAGAATCAGCAGCAAGCGGGCTCGTCTCTTTTCGGCAACCAGCAAAAGCCGGCCACGGGCGGCGGTGGTCTTTTCGGAGGAGGTGGAACGTCGACTACCGGCGGACTCTTTGGCGGTGGAGGCGCCCCTAATAACTCCTTCGGCGGAGCAGGCACGAACAACTCAAGTGGCGGTCTCTTTGGATCCAAACCCGCTGCTACCGGTGGTCTGTTTGGATCCAATGCGGCAAGTCAAGGCACGAACGCTGGCGGGGGTCTGTTTGGCGGTATGGGCACAAATCCCCAGGCGCAACAGACAGGCCAATCTTCTCTGTTCGGTGCCGCCGGTCAGAACCAGGCAAAGCCCGGTCTGTTTGGTACTTCACAGCCCGCTGGCAACAGCTTGTTTGGTGGACAGAACACCCAACAGCAAGGCTCTTTGTTTGGCGGCAATAACGCACAGCAACAGCACCAAGGCTCTATTCTCGGTGGCTCCATCATGGGCAATACTCAAGGAATCAACTCAGGCCCTCAGTCGCTGACAGCCAACATCACTGATGTTTCGGCCTTCGGGTCGCCGTCCTTGTTCTCCAATCTCTCAGGTGCTGAGACGCCTAACCCAGGACCGTTGGCCACGCCCCTGTCTAACAAGTCAAAGCCGAGACGCAGCTCCATCCTTCCGATGTACAAACTCAACCCTGCCTCCGCTGCCCGCTTTGTCACCCCTCAGAAGCGTGGGTTCGGATTCTCATACAGCACATACGGCACTCCTGGCGGTAGCCCATCCAGCGCCGCTAGCACTCCGGGAGGAGCCAGCCGCAGCCTGTTGGGGTCGTCGAGCCTCAATCGAAGCTTAAGCAAGAGCGTGTCGACTAGCAACCTGAGGAGAAGCTTCAATGCTGAAGATAGCATCCTCGCGCCTGGCGCTTTCTCGGCTAGCTCTGGACCGCGCTACTACGGGAGCAATGGCAGCGTCAAGAAGCTGATAATCAACAAAGACATGCGTAGTGACCTATTCTCTACGCCGACCAAGGACAAGCCGTCTGCAGATCAACTCAATGGGTCTCGGAAATTGTCGAAGCGCGTAAGCTTTGACACCAGCAACGTGGAGGCTCCGGAGGCTGACGACGTTGAACCCACCAACGCCTCGACGCCCAGGAGTGTTCTTCCCCAAGACTTGACTACTGCTAGCATCAGTGTCAACGGATCAAAACCCCCTACCGGAGACCCGGAACAGGTCAAGGGCAAAGAACTCGCCATCGTTCATGAAGAAGACGTTTCGTCTCAGATACCGGAAGTGGCAAACGATGGTCTCGATAAGGCCCCTGGCTCATACTGGATGAGTCCTACCAAAGAGACTATCGCTGGCATGACTAGAACGCAGCGGCAGAGAGTTGGAAGCTTCACCGTGGGAAGAGATAACGTAGGATCTGTCAAGTTCAAACCCGAGGTTGATTTGACCAACATTGACCTCGATGAAATATTCGGAGGGATCGTCATTCTCGAAACCCGCTCTGCGACTGTATATCCTATCGCCGCCAAGAAACCTCCTGTTGGCAAGGGCTTGAATGTGCCTGCTCTGATCTCCTTGGAGCAGTCCTGGCCACGGGGTAGAGAGAAGCGCCCTGGCCATGATGTCAAGCGAGTTGCCAAGCATGTCGAACGTCTCAGGCGCATTGAGAACACCGCTTTCGAAGAGTACAACCCCGATACTGGCGTTTGGAAATTCTCGGTCGAGCACTTCACTACGTACGGTCTGGACTACGACGAGGACGAAGAAGAACCCGAACAGTCGGATGATGTCTTGGTTCGCGACAACCAAAGGCACGGCGCCCTTCCCCAGCTACGTTCTCGTGACTCCGAGGCAAGCCCTGGGGAGATTGACACATTCGACTTTCGCAGAAATAAACGACGCGCTCTCCCTGGTGCTTTTGAAGAGAGGGATGAAGAGTACACGGGAGAGGAGCATGATGATCTCACACGTCCGTTCCAACCCCAGTCTTTTTTAGAAGATAGCTTCGCGGGTTCGACCTCGAACGCTCTGGTTCTCTCAACGGAAGATGAACCGGTTGACGAGCATGATGTCGAATATGGTATGTCTGAGGAAGAGGATACGGCGGGAACTCACTTCAGACGCCATCTTGCTGCGGAGCAGACAATTGACTCGCCAGATGGTGACATGGTTGCCCCAGCCAGCGAAACTCCCGGAGGCATTCTGCGAGCCAGAATGCGAGCGCTGAAGGGTTCAGCCACTCCTATCAAGCTGCAAGTTGCCGGAGGAGACGAATGGATGAATATGCTGCAAAGATCCGTTAGCCCTCAGAAGAGAGACCGAACGTTCTTGCGAAGTGTGAATGAGATAGCATCGCGATCGCACGCGGCAGAAACAGAGATGGGCCAAAAGGGGCGTGTTGTGTCAGACGGACGCGGTTTTGCGACGAGCATCGATTTGATGAACTCGCTGTTTGAGAAGGCCAAGGCTCCCACCGCCGCGCCCTTGAGAGGATTTGTTCAGGTTGGTGAATACTTCATGGTCTAGGGACCCCCCTCTCATTCGTTGTTCGCCGTTCAGGCCAGAATACCAGGCGGCTTTGTGTAATTAATTTTGAGATCTTACTGAGGCAAATTTTCGTCTAGTGGCCCTATGAACGACAGACCAAGTCCTTTGCTGACCAGTCCAATATGAGTGAAGCCGATCGCTCCTTCCACAACGCCATGAGACCAAGCTGGGGACCAGATGGAACTCTGATCTTTGCAACGACTCGCGAGCCTCTTGGTGCACCATCCAGGCGCACCAAGACGGATGATCTCATGTTGACGAGGAACGTTGTTCAAGCACGAGGACGATTTATTGAGGCGGCCAAATTCTCCAATGAGGCAAGTCAAAGGGGAACGAGATAATGGCATGGTTCATGGAGCTAACTGGTCCCAGGCTTCTGCAAAGGCTCTCAAGAATCAGGTGAAGATGACGCAAGTAGAGCTCACTGGGGGCGTACCCGGAACGACTCTACATGCCGATACCCTCATGTCTCTTTTCCACGACCAAGACACCACCAGCCCTGCCAACGCACATGAAAGGTTGGTTTGGGAGCTCGCCAGCATTCTTTTCGACGGACCCGCCTCTGCCGATGAAGATCTGGGGAACGAATCTCGAAAGAGTCGTTTGTCCAAGTTTTGGGCGGCGCTCGTTAATTCTGCATCATCTCGATCGGTTGCGCTTGCAAGGTCTAGCGAAGAGAAGGCCATTGCAGCTTTGTCAGGGCACCGCATCCAAGACGCGTGCAAGTACCTCTTGGATGGGAACAACTTTCGCCTCGCAACCTTGGTCTCGCTGATTGGCAGCAATGATCAGGCTAAAAAGGACATGCGCGAACAAATTAATGAGTGGCAAGACGCCAACTTTCTTTCCGAGTTTGCCGACCCCCTACGCGCCATTTATGAATTGCTGAGCGGCAATTCAGGCGTGTGCGAGGGAAAGAAAGCAGTACCTCTCGAAGACCGCATTGAGTCGTTCATCATCTCACAGCGTTTTGGCCTAGATTGGAAGCAGGCCTTTGGGCTCAGGCTCTGGTATTCTATTTCACGCAATGATCACCTTTCGGCAGCCGTTCGTCTGTTCCGGGAAGACATAACTCAAGACAGAGAACAGCGTCCTCAGACATGGTATCTTGAACAAGGCATACCGGCACTCTGGAACGATCGACATTCAGAAGCTCGCGAGGACCTTCTGTGGGGTCTCCTGAAGCTGTATTCAGATGCCGAGACTGACTTGGAAGCTGTACTGCGACCGGAGAATAGTCAGCTGTCGCCTCTAGACATTCGGCTGTCTTGGCAGCTCAGTCGCGCCCTGCTATCCACAAATAAGGTATCCTACGGCCACAACGCGTCTGAGAAGGCCGATGCTTCGACCATCGCTTTTGCCGACCAGCTCGTCAGCGAAGGAAGCTGGCTGGAAGCCACGTTTGTCTTGCTACATCTCGGCAACCCAGACATGCGAGCGAAGGCTGTGCAGGAGAATCTTTGTCGGCATGCGGCCCTACTGGGATCCGAGACGGGGAACAATTTCACAACTCTTACGCAGACACTCAAGATACCGACTTCTTGGATCTGGGAAGCTCAAGCCCTGTATATGAGAGCTGTCAAGAAAGACGCGGCAGCCGAAGTACATTGTCTACTCCGAGCCGGTTCGTACCCCGAGGCACACAATGTGCTCGTTCACCAGGTCGCGCCATCGGCGGTTGTCAGCCGCGATTACGACGAGCTGGCGGTTACTCTCTCCCGTTTCGAAGGCCACGACCATGTCATTCCTGGTTGGACCCTCGGAGGTGAGGTCTACAAGGCCTTTTTGGAGCTTGTGAGCCGCCGGAAGCAACGGCAGCAAATTTCCATACAGGTGCTCGATAGGCTTCTGTCCGGCCTGCCAGCTCTGCGAGAGAGTGCCGAGAGTGGAAATATAACCAGTCTGGCAGCAATCTCTGAGATGGGTTCACTCGTGGCTAAGGTGACGGCGGAAGTACCGAGACATGATCAGGTAAGATCTCTCTCTAAAATCAGTCTTGTATCAATGGCCGGGCTAACATGTTGCAGGATAATGTCACTCGAGTATTGAGCCTTCCCCTCACTGAAGACGCCCATCTCAAGCATGCGCTTAACATGAGCCTTTCCTACTACCAAGGCTTAATGGCGGGGGGCAGATGATGCATTGTGGATGGGGTTTGAGACATGGTTCACTGGGTTTGGCGAGCGGCATGGTATTTCGACTGCCCTACGAGAAGTTTCACGGGCATTCATGTGTTTTTGTGTTGTCTTAGTATCCACGCTCTGATTCCAGAGCATAATTTGTATTAGAACATTCAATCAACATACGGCTATAAGTTGCCGTTGTTTCTTACTGTCACTCTTCTTCTTTCCGATGACCCCAGAAGCCTTTTCCGTAGCTCACAAGAATCTCATCGCCTTTGCCAATACCGCCTTTCCCGCGGCCATTCTTCCCTTCGGACAGCACAAACACAGCCATACATCTTTGCTTGAACCTGTGACACCAAACCTCACGAAACTCGGCATTTGGTCGCTGGGCAATGCCTCGGTAGTCGTTTATGAATCTGGCCTCATTGCCGCCCGTGCTGGCGTCAACGGCAATCTCGGCGTCCCTGTCCAGCCATAGATCGTAGTCGGACTTGGATGGCGAGTCTGGATGGACCGTTCCGAGGTAAGGAATGATGAAAGCGCCTGGTTTAAGATGCCGGGCGGCAAAAAGACCGCATTGGCCTCTCGCCGGATGGACGCTCTCAAAAATGGGAGTGATTTTGACCAAAGGACTCGGTAATGCCGTGTCTTGCACCTGAACTTCAGGAAGCCCTGCTGTCTTTTGTGTTATCGTCTGTCGCTGCGGTTCGCTAAGTGAACGGCAGTGGACTGGCGCCGTGAGATAGACTAGCCCTGTCGGCCAGTTCTTGGGCTGTACCACTACCATGCCGGCACCTGGGCAAATTGTATGTCCCGAAGCCCTTGATGTCGCTGAAGACTAATAAGTCAGACCATTCCCAGGCACGAAGATACGATGCTGAGCCAGCTAATGTGGCCCGAGCTCGAGCTCAAGCTCGTCCTTGATGGCTGACATAATCGAAGGAGTTCTAGGTGCCCGGTCTCCGAAAAAATTTCTCCCAGCCCGTGACGTTGTGTACAATAGCTGAGGAGCAAGGTAGGTAGCCCTGACACTGGTGGCGCCCCACGTGGAGTTCCCCCGAAACCTTGAGCCGACTGAGGTCCCCATGGTCCCAAGGTCAAAAACTCCAGCGTGTCCCCGGATCAATCAACGCCTTTCCAACCTCTATCGGCAGCCTGGTTCTTCCTCTTCCGTCCACCAGATCGCCCTCTAAGCAGATCCATCACGAAGTCCGCGTCGGATTATTTATTTTCTGGAAGAGAGCAGAGGTCAGTCAGCCCAATTACTTGCCAACCCCCACGCGCATTGCCGCCAAGCTGTTGTTCCGTCTGCATTGCACCTTGCCTGGAGATGGATGCTGCAGAGATGCCCATTTTTGTCGCAATGTTTCGACCGCGTCAACAACAACGCGTCCAACCGTTCACCTTCATGGCTTGATCGAGCTTCAAGCCGGAGTTGGACCTGGACGTGTAGCTGTCGCGGGACAGAAAAACAGACATGAAATTACAAGCGCAGACAGAGGAAGAGTGCCAAGTGCACCTCGGAAGAAACCTGTACTAAAGCATGTAAATTTCTGCAGAGAACATCAATTGAAGTCGCCCTGCCCTCCAGGACTCGACGCGTCGTCCCGCAACGGACTGCCGACGTGTTTGTGGATGCGCAAACCCGAGTTGCCTTTTGACACACGAGTCTTTCGATTTTTGATCTGGAGCCTGCGCGTCTGCGTCCATTGTCGCATCATACGCGCGATACCGACGGGCGCCCTATAACGCTTGTCAGCGCCGCTCTCCGCGGAAGCCCCATCAACCACAGATCAAGCGCTACAATCGAATACAAGTTGCCATGAGCTCAATTCGGGAAGGCGAGACAGAGGAGGAAAGACTCCACACGCAAACGCTTCAGGATGAGGGTCTTGCCACAGAGGGAAGGATTCCAGAGGACCATGTGTCGGAAGAGCGCATGCCAGAGGATCGAATGCAAGATGATCGTATGCCAGAGGATGGGATGACTGATGGTCGCATCCCGGAGGAGAGAATGCAGAGCTATCCATCACCCACGGTCGATGCTCAGGATGCCGGCCCATACTATCACTCAGCTGCCAGAGACGATTCTCAACAGGAACCTCCTCCCCCGCCCACGTCCCAGCAACAGCCGCCTCACTCCGCCAGCGTCGAAGAGCTGCAGCTGGCTGCTCAGCTCGGCCAGGATCTGGCCGCCGAGCCCATGATGCACGTCACAGATCCTAGCATGAATGTCGAAGACCCCAATCTGCGGAGCATCATGCCACACCCTGAGCAGCCTCAGCACCAGCCTCCTCCCCGACCCTATGTGCCCGAGGAAACCTTGCCGGACTCCCTTCCTCAGCATGTTTCTGTTCCTGTTCCAATGGATCACCACCACCTATCCCAGACCTATGCTCTGGGAGACAGCACTCCGCCAAGGAAGCGATCCAAAGTGTCTCGTGCTTGCGACGAATGTAGGAGAAAGAAAGTTAAGTGTGATGCCCAGTCGGACTCTGGAGACAACCCATGCTCCAACTGCAAACGGTCGGGAATTTGTTGCTTGTTCAGCCGTGTCCCTCAGAAACGCGGTCCTAGCAAGGGGTAAGTTTAGTTGGCATTAACCTCTGAGCTGTCGCTGACTGGATGTGATTAGCTATATCAAAGAGTTAGCCGACAGAATCAACAGTATTGAGGGCAAGCTGGAGATTCAAAGTAAGTTTGCGAGGTTTCGATAGCAAATGCCACTGTAACTAACTAATATTTGCAGGTCCTGGCGAAGATGCCAGCCGGAAGCGGCCCTTCTCGAGTATATCCAGTGCGGACTTGTCCACTCCAGCACCCACGAGACAGACTGCCTGGGGTGCTGAGCATCGTCCTCTTCAACCTATGGCAACTCCGTCCGACAAATACCAGTCCTCTCCCTTTTCCACCAATGGCCTGGCTCCCCAGCCCCTACCCATTAAGAATGACATGCAGCCGCGGCCGCCGGTGGCTCCGATGGACGGTCCTGTTGCCGACTTGCCCGACATTGATCAGCCGCGCGACGTAGATGATGCCGTATTTGATGGGTGAGTTTTCTGTCGCCGCCAGAAGGCCTTGGATTTGTGGTTTCCGTTACTGATCTCGAATCTTAGGTACATCAACATCATCCATCCTTATCTTCCAATCCTCCCAAGTAGCAGAGCTCTCGTCCAGGATTACCTGGCACAGTGTCCTGGCCTTCTTCGCGAAGCGTTTGTCGAAGCTCTTTCCGGTACCATGCACTCGTACCCGACTTTTCAATCTGGAAATCCAGGCGATGTCCGGCTTGCCCACACCCTGCTTGTTGAATGGGAGGCCGGCGACTCGGCCTTGCGCAGTCCTGCAGCTAACATCGTCTTCCTCCAAACACTGCTCCTCATGATCATTGAAGCGGACAATCGGCAACTGGGTTCCATCGGTGCGCCGAAGGAGTCGCTCCTAGGTAGAGCAGTAGCAGGTGCCAATGCTCTGAAACTGTACCAGTCCAAGTTGGAGCCATCCGAAGCTGAGTTTGGAGTAGACACGGACAGCCAACTCCGAGTCAGAATTTGGTGGTCACTTGTCCTTCTTGACCGATGGCACGCAGTGGGAACAGCAGTTCCTTGTTTGATTAGGGACGAGAGTGTTGTGGTGATCCCTGGCCTAAAAGCAACTGTGGGCGAAGTGCCGCTTCTTTTGATCCGTATGTTCGCTCATAACAAAGCTCGAAAATTGACCAAAGACGCTGACAATCTTGCAGGGGCCTCTAAGTTCCTGGGCCGTGCCTCAGTGATGATTGCAAACTTTCAAGAACCATTGAACCCATCATTCGGAGACCGAATGATTGGTTCGTTCATGGACGCATGGGTTGAGGACTTCCGTGAGGATTTGCCGCCTCACATCGAGGCAGGCACGTATCCTGTAATTCATCTTGTCTACTGGCACTGCCGGCTGCTGGCATATCTGCTCAACCCATCCGCTAAGTCAGCGGACGCTCTGTGGCCCTGCCAAGAAACAATTAGTCTCTTGCTTGGACAGTCGCAGCTCGTCACACCTCTTCACCATCACTTCACAGTACTCACAGTACTGATACTGGTTGAGTTGGCAAAGGTGGACAAGACAAAGGAGGAGGCGACTCGTCTGCTGGGCGACTTTCGAGACTCATCTCTTCCGACATCTGTGTTTGATGGTCTCGTCAGGGACAAGATCGCCGACCACTTGCGGCCATCAACAACCGCAAGTACTACTGCAGCTTCTGTCCCATCGGCAATGGAGACAGCTGCCAGCCAAGGGCTTCAACATTTGGCTGATCTGGCCACCCTTTCCTCTGCAGCTGTGGAAAAGACAGAGGAGCCTCCGGCTTATCGCACGGCTCCAAACTACGAGGATATGGGATTCGATCCCCGGCCTGTACTCCTCACCGGCTACCTTAATGTCGTCCGCGCAGCACAACAGGCAGCTTAGGAGCAAGCTTGTCGCGCCGTGCCGATGGAATACAACAACCTGGCTGAATATATCGACGCTTGGTTTCAGTGATCCAGGCGAAGGATTGGCGACGAAAACGAACGAAAGAGGTAAGCACCGATGGCAGCGCCACTGCGCCCGAGGCCGGTATCACTGCGGTTTAACACAGGCAATCTGTCCGCGAAGGACGGGAGGATAAGGGGCGACAATATTGACCGCCTAGGTGGATCGATATTTGTATTAATATAAAAAAAAGTAATGGACAGTGCTTTACTACCAGATCGAACCTTGCGTTTGTTCTCGCCGTCTCCAGTTGTATACATAAACTATCAAAATGTCACGAGTGAGTGATGTCGCGGGCACACGCGCTTGCCCTCGAAGTCTGGTAGTTATTCTCCCGTCGCCGACAGTATAGTTGCGTGGTAGCATGCAAAGCTACTTCGTGTCCTCGGCGTATCATGTGAAATTAGGCATCACGGTCAACAAGTTGGCGGGTAAGTAAGTGGGTGGCCGCGGAGAATTTGACGCGCCAGATGGCAGGGCATATGGAGTCGACCAACAAGGATGCTTTTCGTGGTCTCTGAGACTAGCAAGCAGTGTAGCAACTTTTTGTAAGATATGCCTGGCTCTGGGGTTTGGTTCTCAAACGCGAAGCTGCTGGTACCAGTTGTGCGGTCTTACTGCACATTCTCAGACGCAGGGCGACGTGCGGCGACGGCCTTCACGCGCACACAGCCACATGTGCTATCGACTATGGGAATGCCACGGCCTGATTTCTTATTCCGTCTTATCCGGCCGGCTGTTCAGGTGCCCCTTGGAATCCAGTTTGCGGGGGCGAGAACACTGAGGAGGGATATTCAGAGGCGACGGCAGCGACTGAAATCAATGGATCGATCGGTGGTCCTTGTCGCTCTGGAGTCATGACTGGGAGCTGTCGTCTTGCGCCTGACGATTTCCAGACTCCAGTGCGGATGCCATGTAGGCGCGATTCAGTCGCCCTGTCGCCGTCGGAGAGAGTGACCTTGTCAAACACGACCCGAGTAACGGAGATCAGCTCCTCCAGCGGAGATTTGTACAGCCCCCCTCCCCAGACTCCAGCTCCAGTTGGCTTTTGAACATGGCCACCATGTCCCTAAACGTGGGAGATGCGCCGAGAGCCGCGCCGGGGCTGACAATACTCGATGACACACGCACACGCACTACCTAACACCATCAGATCATCGTCCCGACAATCAGAAGCCGGGTCACAACAGCAATGAGTAGCAGGCGGCAGACAACACGAGGTTGACAACGGAGCCGGCCTCTATCATCGTTACCAGCACCAGCGCCAGCGCCAGCACGAACATTAAACCTAATACCAAGCACACCGCTTGTATCATTAGCCGCCATCCTGTTCTGATGCTTCTTCTGTTGCTGCTTAAGATCGTAGAGTGCTACGCAAGTAGTATCTCCCACGACAAGACCAGACATCTCCGGATCTCGGAGCAGCAGCGACCATCGTGCACGGACGCATCGGAGGTGGCTGGCAGGAAACGTTGTCAGTGGGGGGGGGGGGCCGACCGACAGACTGCCACACTCCACTGCCCACAACTCAACGGAGGGCGAAATGCCGCTGGGTGCCCTGCCAAACCCTGGCGCCCAGGTGCCCTTCCCGCAAGAGGCACTGCTCGCCGTACCTGTGGATACAGATGGATACCCACCAAGTACCAAACACACATGCACGGAGCACCCACAGCAACTTACTTGCCTGCCTGCGACCTGCCTGTCTTGTGTACCCGGGTCGGTAGGTAAGGCAAGGTGCCTAGGGTAAGGTAGTAAGGTGCGGTACGTGACGTGTGTTGAGGTAGGTCTTGCGTCTCTCCAGGCTACCAAGACCGACCAGCCCGGCCTCATATCCGACCTTGCAGGACTTCGTCATGGCGGTTTACTCGACAGTGACAGTGACAGTGACTGGACAGCGAGTGGCCGATGGCGAGGCGACACAAGCCGATGATATGCAGGAACGTGCAGAAACCACCATCCAGAGAGCCCCATGAGGGCCCTAGGTTCGTGAGCCCTAGTCAGTAACCTGCCTGCACTCTATTGCATGCCTTCTCTGACTGTCAAACCCTGCCCTCATGCCTGAGGTTACATCGCCGTTCGACAGCAGTCCTGTCCTGTCGAGTACCTACGAAGAGCTCACGTACGGATACGCACCTTGTCTGGCCTTCCCTGTCGCTGTGCATGCGCAGCATCTACCTGGCTGTTCGGAGTACACTAGGGAGGTAGGCAGGCAATAAGGTAGCTTTGGCATAGGATGTGACATTCTTGTTCATGTCCTCTAAGCTGCCCTGCTGCACGGGTTGGATCGATTCACCACTGGTCAGAGCCTGCCAGATTGCTCTCAACTCACCGAGATTCACGAGGCCAGCAAACCCTCGTCTAAAACCCCTTGAGCAGAAAATACAATCCCGCATAACTCAATCGCCGTTGCAGGGCCTTTTATCTGATCAGGTGGGGGCTTCATCGAAGCTACGTAGCTTGGTTCATTTCGTTGTTCTGGCGTCTGCCCCTCTCTCATCTCGCTGCAGTCGTCATCCGTCATGTCTCTTTCTTCAATCGCATGGCATCCCGTCCTGATTAGCGGCCATGGAGCTGTTCTCACGGCCATGTCCTTGAACTGTCACTGTACTAGAGGTCGACAGCTCCAAGACGTCGTCCACGCTGTGCGCGCTCGCGCGCGTCTGTGTCTGTGTATGAATCGCGTTTGCGCCAGTCCTCTCTACGCACTACATTCAAGCCTTTTGAGGATTCTATGTCGCCTGAGCCTTCCTATATACAATCATTCCCTGCGCAATAAGAAAGATACATAACTGTCATTATGAAATGAGACAACCCCTGCGAAACCCGGCTTGTTGAGGAGGTTGAGCAGAGGCCGCTGCCGTTCATCATTCATCGATGTCTGTATTCCAATCAACCACGCCTTTAGCCTCAGCAAAATGCTCCCCGTGTGCCAGACGCCATGTCCATTGAAGATGATAATGTCGAGATGTAAGACACCCTCTTTTTTGTGAGCCGACCCCCTTCTTTTTTGTTTTTAATGCCGAAACCAAGTATAAAATAAGAAAACCCCCGTAGTATGCTGCCAAGATGTATAAGGGGGGAAAAAGGGAAAAGGTTGTGCTACGCCGACTCCCGCGAGAGAGCGAGCGGACTCATGGATGACCACACGATTGCGCCGCCCTCCTCGAGATCCTATCCCGCCTATGCTCGAATCCCTTGCGCCTGTGCTTGCCGTCTAAAATCGTTGGGCCGGATATCATGGGCGTGTACGCTTCGCAACATTGCTCATATCAAAACGCCTTATTGCATTGTCCAAGACTCAGGGTTGAACGCCGGCATGCCGTCGGGTGATTCGGTGTATGTGGCAATGCCGTCGTCGAAGTGTTGGCCCCAGAAGACGGGATCATCATCGAAAGTGACAGAGCCACCAGCAACGGGCCCGCTATCATCAAAGGATGAAGCCGCTCCAATGAACTTGGATGACTTGAGGAAGCTGTTATAGTCAATGGCGGTCAGATCAGTGCCCGTGCCATTTGTGAGGTAGCTGCCACTGGCAGGATGAATGAAACTGTTGCTGCCGGTCCCGTATCCGTCGTAGTCGCTGCTGTCGCCGGGCATGAGGTTATCCTCTACCTCGGATACTTCACCCGACGTCGATGTTGTTGCTGCGAGCGTCGGTGCTGGCTCAGATCCGGTAGGGAAATCGAACATTCCGTTGAAGCTTTGAGCGCCTGCTTGGCTGTAGCTAGAGGGTGCGAACTTGTCCGTCTTGTCAGCCAGATCAATGTGGCTCCAATCCACAGACGCGGTGCTCAGGCCAGCGCTAAAGATGGGCCCATCGCCAGAGCTCCCAAATAGGTCGAAAGTACCGTTCGGTTGGTATTGCGGGTATTCGATGGCGGACAAGTCCAGGGGAGGGAGTTGGTTGTTGAGCTGCTGGAAGCTGGAAGAGGCTCTCATGAGCGGGGACGCAGCCTCAGATTTAACAAGCCGTTGATGACGAACAGGACCAGAGCGAGTGGAGGCCGCGTCTTTGAGGCTGTCACCAACATGCTCAGGCGAGTGACTTCCCAGGCTGCTGGTGCTGTGCAGTGAGTTTACACGATTCAGTTGGTACGGCCCGCATTTCTGGGATGCCTTGTTGTGCTTGTGTGCGGGTTTGTGGTGTCCATTCTCATCAAAAGTGAGCATGCCGTCTGAGTGAACAGTATTGGCTCGGCGCCTGCGGATTGGCGGCTTTGGTCGAGGAGCTGTTGCGTCTTTATCGGAGTCGGACTCGGGAACGGTGTCGAGACCAGGCTCCTTTTTGTGGCTGCAAGTGCAACGACCACCATGGTTGCAACAACAAGTCTCTACGTAATGGGGGAAACCGAACAAGTTAGACGAGGTTCATTGTGGTAGTCCGTGTTGTGGAGGACCGCCGTGATGAGCTTGACTTACCTCGGTGGCCCTCAAGAGTCGGCTGCAAGTGAGTACACTTGCTCGTCTTTTCGCCGCAGTCGCATTTAACATGGGCAGCGCGCGACTTGCGCATCGAGCGGCAGTGTTGGCATTGGGAGACGGGGCGTCCCTTTTTGTTGATGTGCTGAAGGGGACGATCTGCAAGCGGCTGGTTAGTCACTCATATTTGGTGTTTTTTGCTAGGCTGAGACTCAATCGCAAAAGTGACAACCAGGACAGCGACAACCATGGTAGAGTCGTGTGGTAGCACAATAACATGAGAGTCGAGACGAAGGTAAAACATGCCGACTTACCGGAGTGTTGGCAGTTGCTCACACGGTGACCCCGAACGCAAGCCTCACAGGCATACTTCTCCCCGTCAATAATCATGACGGGCAACTGCAGCACAAGTCGCGAATAGGTTGGGAGGAAAGAGGGAAAAGAAAATGAATCCAAGTTCCCCGCCACAGGAAAGCGAGAAGGAGGGATCGAGACGATCGGCCAGGCGGTCGGTCGGTGCCAAAAAGAAACACACACACACACACACACACACACGCACAAGTACCTAGAGGGTACTGGAAGGTGGGATTTTCTCCCCCCCCCTTCTTCTCCTTGCCCTTGCGTGGAGCGGGAGCTCTTCGGTCTCGTTACAGAATGTTTGGCGTGGGCTGGGGGGGGCCGTGTTAGGCCCTGGAGAGCGCTGGCTAAATCAGGGCCGGCCGGTAGCGGAAGGACTTGTCTGCCGTCTCGGGGGGGGCAGCAGGTGGAGGGTGAGTGGAGGGTACTGGAGCTGCCGCTGCCGTTGCCGCTGCTGTGAAATTGTAGGTAGGCAGGTTGTTCAGATCCTTACGAGCCGCAAGGGTGTGAGTGGTGGTATGCGTACTCGTCTCAGCAGGATGTGACGATGAAGAACCAGCAGGACCCAAAGACCCGTCAAGAGGTTACGCCGAGAAGGAGAAGGGCTATGAAGGAAACAACAAACGCATAGCCGCGAGGTGTGTCTGTTGAAAGAGTTCAAGTTGTGGAACTGAGCAATGCCAGCGGTGCGCCGGAGATTCCAATGAGTGGGTAACTTTAGTTGAGTGGATGTCGGGTGGGGGGGGGGTTTGATGGCCCGTCGTGTCTTGCCAGACCAAGAGAGAAACAAGTTGGAAAGAGTGAAAGAAAGTCAAATATCCGGTCCAAGAGCTCTGACAGTTTGATGATGCTCGGTAGCCCTCTTGCTCTGTCCGCACAGCTGGCTGGCTGGGTGCCAGATTATCGGTGACTGTGTCCGATGGCAGCCGGGTTTGGCGCCTCTCAGCTTGTCTTTCCAGCCTTTAGTTGGGGGCGAGGGAAAACCTTGCTGGCAGTGCGAATGGGTGTATGGTGGGAGGATCGGAGGGGTTGGAAGCGATGCAACGGGGCTTGCTTCTCTTTCTGGCTGCCGCCAGTATGAGTATGCAATGGAGAGGCGTCTACTTGGAGATTGCTGGAGTTAGAAGCTGGAGCTGATGGAGCTTAAGCTGTGACCTTTGTCCCTACTGACACGAATGCTGTAGGTAATACAGACGGGACGTTGAGGGGCGCGAGGGGGTGCCAAGGTGTGTGAATGTGTAGGTGGTCTGGGTATCTCGAGTAGCTGGCAACTCTAGGTACCTAGCCGATCAGGAATCCGTAGCGTGCTGTTGCTTGGTGCGTGCTGCCTGCAACTGCAGGAAAACGGAGACCCTGCAACCTCGACTAGCCTTGGTAAACCGGTGGGTGATGGGTGGGTGGATGAAGACCAAGCAAGTGTTGGAGCTTGGGGCGACGGCGGTTGGTCGGTCGTTTTGTGCTGTCGGTCGTGAAGCCAGAAGGGGACTCTGAGGTCGGCCAAGCGCGCGTTCAGGGTTCGGGGCCAGCTAAGGCACGGCACCAAGTCCGCCAGTGTGGCTGAATGACACCTTGGGCAAGTCACTGTTCTTAATTGGCTGGACAAAAGAGTCGTGGGTGATGACTCGAGGCAGGTGTCGCAGTGTGTGAAAGAGGTGTGCCCTTGTAGCAGGCCCGCCAGGCTTTGCGTCCTCGTCGTTATCGTCGTGGTCGTCGTCGGGAACCGGCCGATGTTGCTCGCGATTGCTGGCGTTGTTGTTGCTGCTGTTGTTGTTGCTGCTGCTGCCGCTACCAAGGATGATTCAAAAGGGAACAAGCAGGTTCGCCACGTCTTGTCAGTGGTTTGCGAAGAGCAAAGCTATGTCCTGCCTTGGCTTGCCAGTCAAGGAGGAGAGCAATGCGTCTGTCGCCTGACAGAGCAAGAACCGATTTTGCAAGTATGGCAAAAGGCAAGAGGAGGAAAGTGAGATCAATCCAGCGAGCCGTCGCGTCGGGCGGACGTGGGATGCTATTTCAATGCTGCATGTCACAACCAGAATGGAGAGCGACAGGAGAGGCGAGGGCATGGCCATATGACAGGCGCTGCCTGTCAGGTTCTCATGCTGCTGCTTGTCGGTACTACCGTAGCCGCCCGGCGCTGGCAACGCTGATACATACACCGCTGTTGGTGCTGATGCTGATGCTGTCTGTCCATCTGCCCGCCATGGTCGGGTTGGCGGCGCCGGAACTTGGCGATGCTGGGTGGTGGGAGTCTTGAGGAATTGGCCGGACCCAAGGAGAAGCTGGCACGGGATAGCATGGCATTGGCCAGCCATGCGAAGAGAAGCGACGGATTGTGGACGGACTTGGGCGTGAAGAAGATGGGATGAGACGGGCACAATGGGATGGATGGAGAGCTACCCTCTTTGGTTCCTTGCGTCTGCTGCGTCTCCTGCGCATATCCTGTGAAATATGGCAAGGCGGTGGGATGGGTAGGCAGGAGGATGCTGCTGCAAGTTAGGTACCAGGTCTAAGTATCCATAGGGTATGCCCATGGGGGTGGGTGGGTTGGCAGGTGTACACTACCGTGTATCCGTGGTGGGAGGTGCACCTGGTGATATGTGTGTGTATGTGTGTGTGTGGGTGGGTGTGGGTGTGTCTGGGGTGGGGGAAATGGGGACACTGGAGGGGATGGAGTGGCTGACAGCAGGCGAAAAGACTGGGTGGGTCTCTCTCTCTCTCTCGGTCCGTACCTGGCTATGCCCAGCACCACAGCAAGAGCAAGCAGCAGGGCATTCCGAATAGACGACGTGGTGAACTAAACCAGAGACATCCGCAGGGACCCCCAGAGACAGGTCGAAGACATGATGCTCTTCTTGCCAGGCCAGACCAGGCCAGGGCCAAGGAAATGAGTTGGGAGAAGGCACCCCGAAACGTGCCGAACATGATGCGCCTCGGGCGAGCAGTACACATCATATACCACCTACACTACACTACCTTGTCTGTAGGGATACACCACAGCTCTCGCACAAGTCCGCACCGAGCAGCCGGCTGATGAACGGATCCAACCGCCCCGACTGGCGGTCTGCAACCAATGGAAGAGCAGTTACCCATTCAACCATAGGTAGGGAGGCCTGGCTAGAATCTACATGGCTAACTTTACTACGTTCAGCTTCCAACAAGTGCGCCGAGAGCGACTCCCAAGATACAATATACAGACAGGCATTTAACGTCACCGAATATGTTGATATGTAACCTCAGCTGATTCCCAACTTCTCATGATAGTCAAGACGACTGCTCAAAGCCAGGTGCCCAGCAACGGGTGTGTATGTTTTTTTCTATGCCAGGAGCGAAAACACCGACGCCGAGATGAAGTACGACGGTCGATGCCGATCTACGCGAACGTAGTTGCTGGCAAAACGCACTGATCAATTACATAGTGCAAAAGATTGTGAGAGCAAGGGTTTGGGGGTCGTGATGTGATGTGTACACGGAAGCGCGGGGGTAAGTTCGAGTCGGAGGGGTTTTAGCAATGGAACCGTCAAACCAGTGAGCAGTGCGACAAAATTGCAGCTGGCGTCGTTGGGATGGACGAATGGATGGACCATCCGCCAGCGGCGGCCTACAACATATGCAGGCTGTATGATGCCGGATTCAACCCCAGGAATACGACAGAGTGTTGAAGAGCTTTCGGTTTTGTACGGTGAAGAAAGCACAAGGTTGGGCGGGAATCGGTGGTTTGACGCGTTGAAGGATGGAAGAGAAGAGAGAAATTTGATGCGGAAGAGAAAAAGATGAACAAGTCGACAGAAGGTGGGCGGGGCGGGGCACACCGTTGGGTAAGTAGGTAGGTAAGGTATCCGTAGGTAGGTTGGCGACACTACCTACCTGGTGCGTGAGGGTGGGCTCCGAGGCTCGAGCTCTGCGTCTCGATAAGATAAGGAAATGGAAGGTGCAGTGTGGCGGCGGGTCACGGTGCAGTTTCTTGTTTTCTGTCACCACCCCCACCACGCTAAAGAATCGTCCAGAGGTAGGTAGGTAGGTGTGGTGTACTATGTACCTACCCAACCCAACCCTCCCACTCCCAGCTGTGAGGTCCCTAAACAGTGAAGCCAGCCGCCCGCCCCCAACAGGTGTTCCGTTCGCTTGCACGCCAAGCCAGCCGTGGGCGGGCAGTCGCTCACTTCCCTCTCCTCTGCCCCAACTGCAACTGCACCGCGGCGAGTGTGTGCTGTTGATTGGTCGGCTTGCTGGACGGATCGGCTTCTAGAAGGACGCAGGGAAGCCGCTTGGATCGGGCTACCCGGCGGGAGGGTGTGCTCGAAAACCCAATGGCTCGTTTTATTTTCGTTGGCTGCCGCCTGTCCGTCAATTTATCGGAACTGTCTTCCATGCTCTCTGCTCTTCGGTGACGAACTTTCCTTTCCGCAAGGTACTTACCATGCAGTAGGTACGGACGGGATGGATACCTTGCGCTTCCCGCTTCCCTTCTGCCCATGGTCGCTGTCTACCTATGGATCCAAGGACTCGATTCCACCGCTGTTGTCCGCGGGGTAATATGCTTCCACCATGCAGTCTCAGCTCTCGGTGTCCGCTTTGGGGTGGTGGCTGGGCATGCGACTGGGGCATCGCTGACCTGAGTGACACTGCTGAAATGCCCGCTTTGCTCTGCCAACCGCCAGAACCGAGAATACACGTCCATCAGGTAAGCCACTTGGACGACGTGACCATTTGGGCCACAAAACCAGGCTCCCAAGGTACTGCAACGTGCCAGATCAGGACAGGACGTGGTGTCGTGCGCATCCGCAAGGTCCCGATTGCTGATGCTGCCAAAGTAATCCCCCAGACATCTGAATGGTCCAAGCACATGTAGCAATGCGCCTCGGACGAACTCCAACTCCCCACACAGCTTGGTAGCGATGCTGTCACTGTACGGATGTATCCTCGGACATTCAAAGCACCAGCAGAAGGGTCTCGCGCCTAATAAGAAAACAAGGGGCTCACGTACAGGGACGACGGTCAAGGGGAGAGGCCCTGATGTCCATGACATCCGAGCCTGAATCTGTGTGCATGGTCATCGTCGAGTACCGAACTTCATCCGATGGCTAAAGCTACAGTCGATCCTTTTCTCCGGGCGCTTGGAAGGTCTGCTAGAAGGTCTTGCTTATGTATTGCCAATCTTTGGACTACGTAAGGTGACTACAGTGTTCCCAGAGCATGCAGACCAGCGCACTTCCCGCCTGTTCTGGTGGATGGTTTTTTACTCCGCACGCTTTTCGACGGCGCCCACTTTTGCCGGTTTTCGCGCTTAACCCCAGCCGCACTCCGGCAACTCCTAAACAGGCAGTACCGCTAGATCCACGTTTTGATCCGATCCCTCCAATCCGACCTCACTGGCGACGACGTTGAAGCCGCTGGTGTTGAGCAGTTTGTGCCCTGGAGCTTATTGAAGGTCCTGGAGAGTCAGAACAAGGATCATCGATCTAAAGCAAACAGAGGAGCAAGAGGTAGATGACAAGCTTCGAGAACGCTTGACTATTGATACGCGCTTCACGATACGCCGCAGCATGTATGTATGCCAGATATAACATCTCAGATATTCTAAGATAAAGTGATATATACATACAGTAGGTGCCTTCGGTATGGGCTGAATTATAGCCACCACTGTCTTTGCTTTTAACTAAAAAAAAAAAAATAAAAAAAAAAAAATTTAAAAAAAAAAAAAAACCTCATGTACTAGCCTCACGAAGATTTGACGGAAGACAGCGTCAGTATTTGGGCTCCCTTACAAATGACGGACGGTCCAAGTTGGTTGTGTCGTGAAATGCCGCACGGTTGAATGTCGAACGGAGACATTAACTACGGTTGAGTCTAGGCATCGGTGAACGCTCTGTTTGTGGACGCTGTGAGAGGAGATACCAACTATGTTTGACTACGCACCGTGGTGAACGTGAGCCACTTATGAGATCACGGTTGAGAGTCACTGGAGACCTGCTTGGTTTCAAAGCCGGATTAATTAGCTGTTCAGAACTTCGGGTCGTGTTTTTGGTGTCTGGGTACTGTGTCTCTTGCATTCGTAATGTCAACTGGTGAAAGCTTCCCAACATGAGAAGACTGGACTTACCTCCGACGCACAGCTGCTATGTGAAGCACGCTGACTCTGCCACTGGACGATCCGTTTATGACCTTGAATATGCAACCATACAGGCCTCTCTTCGGTGTCGTGTTTGCCCTGTTATCTCTCCGGATAGGTGTGCCGACCTTTTCCTACCTTGGATGCATGTATTGGCACGGAATGCTTCTACCGCAGTGATCTCCGGCTTGATTTGATGGTGGAACAAATTAAACCGAACAAATAGATAGCACGAAAGTGAATAGGCTCATTCCACATCTGACTGACAAATACCAACTGAGTATGCTTGTAGCAGTGGGTCGTGGGTATACGTTGTCACTCAGTAACAACGCCTTTCCGCATAACGAAATACTGGCGTCTGAACTGTTTTTTCAGGTATGGTTTGTCTCGTCGATTATAGACGAAGCAAACTCCCCAAACAGATATCCCTTACAGAATAACCTAGCAGATAAAAATATATGCAATAAATGGACTCAGAAACATAGCTTTCTTTGACTACCTACTCCGGCTTGGCCACTCTCATGCGGTTTGTCGGCGTCTCCTGGCTAGGCAACCTGCGCACTTGTTGTCTTTGATCTGGCAGGACGTAGAAACACGGCAGCTTGCCATGGCGCCTGATTAACTCTCGTGGTGATTGCCGTCCACGTGGCGATCTCCCGAAGGGGAAGCTATCCCGGAGAAAACCCTCTGCATGCGTGATGTCACGTCTTTGCCATTGGTCCACGGCGGCGAGCCTCAGGATTCCGGGACATCTACATATCTCTGCAGTGCCACTTCAGCTGCTATTGATGTATTTATCGCCCGAGGCTGATCCCGGGGTCTTGTTCGGAGAGCCTGTACTGCTGTTCTTCATGTGTATGATAACGGGATGTCTACCTGGAAATTTCTTTCCAAGATCGAACATTCTCACATGTTACAACCCGCACGTCCAACTTCGACAAACAATCTCGAGGAGCAGCCCGCAAAAAAAAAGCAGCAAGGACCGACGACACAACAGCGCAAATGCACGTGGAGAGATAGAGTGGAAGATAACGTGATGGATAGATACAAGCAGCGTAATACGCTGACTAGCAGTGATGACGAAGGACCTGACTGCGGCCCGGTTGCTTTCTGTCTCATACACAAGTCTTACCCGACATGCGGTAACATTCTCATCTTGTTGAGTCCTATGAACTCTGATGGCTTTCTACGAGTTCCGTAACAAACCAATTGCTTCAGGGTCTATCCAGGTCTGGTTTTTCTGTACTGAGAATGAGCTTAGAGTTCGTTATAAGTGTGTAACCAGCACGTGCTAAGGATTGATCTGTAGATTGGTGACGATGAAGAGCCAAAGAGACCAGGAATCACGTCGCATAGTGACATGTAGTTGCGCCCTCGACATTCTAATGTTGCTATGACATCCTGCCCTTTCCAGGCCCAAGCAGCATACAGGTAAATAGTCAAGAATGGGGGCTGTGACCAAGAATCAATCAGAATCAAGAGTAGCATCATGCGCCTCTGTGCACCACAGAAGAAGGCCGCGGAAGTGTTCTGACTTATTGCCTGTATGATCTTACCACCGCGTTATTTCGCACTCATCAGATTTACCATCTGCCGTTCACATGATGATAGGAACGCGACATAACAGAAGCAAGCCCCCGAGCGGCTCTGATCACAGCCGATGCGGGACAAGCAAAGCGAAGCAAGGAGCTTCGTATCTGGGCGGATAATTTTAACTAGCTACCAAGACGCCAGAGTATCCCGGGTACACTATTTGTCGTGGCTACCCTCCTCGCTCTTAGTATTTATGGTCTTCTACCTCCTCTTCGTCCCTACCTGCGCAGGCAGTGAAAATCGAAATAAGCCGCCCGGAACCCGAACATGCAGGGCGATGAGCGAGGCTTCCAACCGTTGCCTGACCACACATGGACCAAGAAGATGGAATATCCCTACAAATTCATAGAAACCCCATGATTTCTTTTTGGCAAAAAGATGCCGGCAGTTTCGGCTCACTCTTGAAAGGGATTGCTTGCCTTGTGACACGGTGAAGAGATGGGTTGACCGTCTTCTTGCAGACTGACCACCATTTGTGGAAAGGCTGATGGCATTATTTAGGAGAATGTGGGAGTGACTGAAGCCTAGGCTGTGGTTTCAACGGGTTTGTTTCCCTCCCCCCTTGACGTTGATGTTCGTGGTCTTGTCACGAAGCACCCGAGTTTCTGCCCAGCTGGCAACAGCTGGGCGCAACCGCGAAGCGCCCTCGATGGCGACATCCCATTGTGGGGCCGACGTATCGCGACTCCACGTCATGATGTCGCGTCAGAACATGGGCACCTTCACCTCGGTCAAGTTCGATTCATGCGGAGAGCATTCAAAGCATTCGACGTACGCTGAACCTCTCCACATACCTACGGTATTGAGTCAAGAAATAAAAGAAAACGGGGTATCCAAAGGCGTCTCGGCCATCTTCTAGTACAATGGACCTCACAACAGCCAAGTCTGGCGACAGGTAAGTATTAACCTCGGCATCATGGCTGCCGTGTCTTTGGCTGCATGACCATCTCAACTCATGCCGGGAACAATGCTAACGCATCAAGCACAGCGCTGTGAACATCATATTCATTGGGGCCGGTGCTGTTGGCTGCTTCTATGCTTCGCGGCTGCACCATGTGCGTCTGCATGCCCCTCCGCGAGAAGGCTCGGATCGTGCTGACTAGAACGACAGCCCAACCGCAACGTCCACGTATCACTGGTTGCAAGATCGAATTATAAAGCGATCAATGAATCTGGAGTCAAGCTGGAAACGCACTCCTTCGGCGATTACGTATTCAAGCCACATGCAGCCTTCCCATCCGTCGAAGCAGCAGCGTCTGCAAAACAGGAAGGATCCAATGTCCAATGGGACTATGTGTTTGTGACGACCAAGGCATTGCCAGACCGCTCAGATGACTCTGCCATGATTGCCCCGGTCATTGGTCCTACGTCTTGCATCGTATTGATCCAGAATGGCGTGGGCGTCGAGGAGCCCTACCGCGAGCGATTCCCTCGCAACCCCATTGTGAGCGCTGTGACGGTCATCAGTGCCGAACAAATATCCCCAGGCGTCATCAGACAGAACCGGTGGACACGCATTAGCATCGGCCCGCACACGAACGGCCTCGGTACGGGCAATGCAGAGCTTAAGCGCCTGGGCACGCAGGCAGTCGAGCAACTGGGCCGGTGGTGGGGGCCTAGCTGGGGTGATATCCGAGATGTTGAGCCTCACGATGAGATCGGATTGCAGACGGTGCGATGGCACAAGCTCTGCATTAACGCGGCGTTCAATCCCAGTGCGGTGCTTAGCGGCGGCAGAGGCAATGCGGACATGGTGATGGACGCCGAGTTGAGGGAGCATGTCATCGGTATCATGAATGAGATCAGGGAAGCGGTGCCAAAGATCTTGGGCCGGGAGTTCCCTGACGACCTGGCAAAGCCTGATCGGATTGTCAAGAGCACGGAGCGAAATACGGGAGCCAGGCCGAGCATGCTGTTGGACTGGGAGGCCGGCAGACCTCTGGAGCTTGAGGTAATCCTGGGCAACCCGGTGAGGATAGCGAGAGCTCACGGGGTAGAGATGCCGCGCCTACAAAGCCTATATGCGCTACTCAAGAGTGCGCAGAAAACCCGGGAGGAGAAGAGCGCCAAGGGAAAGCTTTAGATGCTGTAGATGGCGGTATCCCGTGACACCCAAATCCAGTTACTGGTCAACTTCGCATGCATTTGAAGGCAGCAGTCGAACTTCCCAGTAGGACAATTGCCACCCAGAGAGCACGTGAGCGATAATCTCAAAGGGTATTGGCCAGGATTGGGCTGCCATCGGAGCGTAATCGGCAATTGTTTCGGAGGACTAGTTCAACCGAGAAGAGTACTTGAGCAAGCAGCGCATGGCGAACGCCACAGTCATGATGTTTGACGTCATCATGCGCCGGTGTTGAACATGGCAAATGTGGCGGTGGCGTTTGGAAGATAGGCACGTAGTGGGAATTGCTCGAGTTCTGCTGTACACCCAAGTTCCAGGGGGGGCTGCGGCAGCCCTATCGATCAGAAGTGCAATCAATGAAGTCGTGGATGTATTCGTAAATGGCTATCAACCCGGGGACAATCAATGGTGGAGGGTGCCGGCAGTTGGGGAAGGATGCTGCGTAGTAGAGACGGCCAAGCAGCCACGCAGCTTTCCCTTTGATTTTGCGACCGCGTTCCAGCCGCAACTCTCGAGGTCGTGGCATCCAGGTCCAGGGCTGAGGCATATTAAGCCCGGGCTGGACCTGTCCATGGGCGGAAAAAAACTTGGATGGAGCCTGTTTTGCTTGCATCGGTGGTGCAAATACTACCTCGTCAGCTTGCTCCAGCACGGCGGGATGCCTGCGACTGAAATGCAGACACAGGGAGAGGTCCCTGTCGTAAGCAGGGATCGACAGTCGCACATCCCATTGAAGCATAGGCATTTTGAGAATCCCATTCCCTTCAATCCCGAATTTGCTCGTCGTCTCTTTTCTGCTTTGCCAACAGGAAGTAGCGTAGCGTTATGTAGCTTAGCCTCCACAGTGTGCGAACACTACAGCTTGCCTGTACTATCCATCACTACGAACTATCACTATCAAGCAATACGCAGCAGCAAAATGGTCGTCTACATCATTGATGAGGTGATGAGAGGTGCTAGGTGATAGGGGAGGGGGGACGGGACGGTCAACGCTTTGGTCCTCATCCCGCCCATGTCGTTGTCATCGACTGACTGGTGCTGGTCCGATGCTAACGCTTTGCGCTAGATCACCGATGCAAGTCTAGCAGTAGTGTACTTTGTATCAAGCAGGCCTGGAGCAGCATTCCTTCACTTCTCCCATCGTAGCCCGTATCCAGGTAGGTAAGTACAACGGATCTGAGATACAGGAGCATCATCACGATCCAAGGCGTTACTAAACCCGCCTGTTTCCGCCTACACAGGCAAATGAGCAACAGCGCACAGTCATGATAAATGGTCAGGGGAAACGCGGCGGAAACGAAGAAGTAGGCAATGTTTTTTTAATAAAAAAATCCAAGAGGCAGAGGTAAGATACCAGCAGAACATATTGCAACTTGCAGAGCCTGGGTTGGTGGCAATAAGGCCGATGAGCGGTGGTGACAGAACACCGACATGATGCAGGTTCCACGATTCCCGCCTTTGTTTAGCTACATTGGGATCCCGATCGTCCCAAGCACCCACTCACACTCATTCGTTCCCCTCCAATGCTTCTCTTGGTCCTGCTACTGCGTAGTACCCCTCTTCTCTCCCCCCTTGTGGACACTTTTGATACTTGAATCGTCCCCCGGCACCTTATTATCCTAACTGCGTCTCGCCAAGTGGAGGGAGGAACGGATAGTTGCAGTGGAAGCCGATAGACCGAGAAAGAAGAGGAAGGGGGGAGGGGGCGGCGAAAGACAGAGGGCAAAAAAAAAGAAAGAAGGGAGCCCAGCCAGCCGGATACGATATCCCCCTTGGAACAAACTCCCGCTGCTTGTACGCAGTAGAGCCCCCCCCCCCGGCGGGACAGAACCTTTGGCATTGGCTTTCGTCTCGCTTGTCCAGTGCGCCGATAGCCTACATACGGAGCATAAGTAGACCTGGCCTAGCTGCAGACACTCCATGGAAGAAGAAGTAAAAGCGACTTTGTGGGGTGTAGCTTCGGGCAATTGCCGCTGGAGGGATGGGGCGCGTAGTTGTACTATGTAGAAAATCCGGATGACCTTTCTCCACCGCCAGAAATCCCATCCGTCTTGCTCAATTTTGCCATGCAAAGTCCATGGAAGAAACCCGGTCTCGAATCTTCCCGTAATGACATACGATATTCGGGACCCTTCCCTCCCCCCGCAAGAGAATCCCGGGATGCCTTGGTTGGGAACGGCAGATTCGCACTGAGAAGATTCCCAACTCGCACAAGACATTGTCCTCCCTACTGCAACGGAGAACAGAGGGATCAGGAGCATGCCATGCAGATGGGGAGTCTCCGGGAAACCCTGCTCTTCACGCATTCAGGAATGGAATACAGAGCTAGTGTACGGGTACTGCGTAGGCCCCAAGCGGCACGTGTACCCGCTGCGTTCTAGGCCGCCCAATTCCAGGCTGTCCAATCCCACTTCAGCCCGACCTCGACGGAGAAGAATGCACTTCATCTCTTCAGACTGGTTTGATTCAAGTTGCTTGCTTGCTTTGCCGGGCTCGGGACATTGCAGCAATTCCTGTCAGCTGAGCCCCATGTGGTCCTCCGACAAGTGCCGCTTCTCGAATCCAGCTTGATGGTGCGACCGACTGTGAGGTCGGTGAAGGTTGAAGATCAGACTCCTGGAGCCTACGGATAGATGCCTGTTGGACGTGTGACGTGCGGTGCCTTCCTTCACGGCAAAACAGCCCAGTGCAGCAGTCAGCTTCGGAGCAAAATGTCCACTCGGTTTCCAGTGCGAGGGTGCCCCCTGCCCAAGTCTCCAACTGTCCCATGTCTGTCTGCATGTCTACTGCGTACAGTGCAGTGCAGCGCAGTGGGCAGTACTATGTATGGGTCTCTGGCGGCGCGCATGTGCCTCTCACCTCAGCGAAGGCGCTGGCTGCTGCGTACGTATTCGTAGGCGACGGATGAACGATGCAAGACGTCCTGAATACCTTGGTGGAAGAGGTTGTGCTCGGCCACGACGCTTGTACCCTCGACAAGGAGCGCACGAGAGGCACCCTACCTGACGGCGGTATCCGTACTCAAAGTAAGTACGCAGTACATGCCTCGGATGAGGTGCAGGACGGACTCTACGCAGTACGCAGTAGCGTTACTACCCGTATGAGCATGGGTAATGCCTGAGAAAGGAGAGCAAAGACTGATGGTCAGGCTTAATCCACGATGGGGACCACTTGACCAGTGATCGACACGCTAAGAAAGCCTAGGCCGCACATCCATGATCCCTCGTACCACTCCTGGACTCGAGCTGCCCTGGTCGACAGCCGCCACCTGAGTGAGGGTCTACCGCTGCTTGCTTGCTGCTGCTGGCACAGCGCGTATGCTGGTCTGTTGCTGCTGGAGCTGGCGCACCCGTGGGAGCTGTGGGCTGTGGGTAGGTAGGCATGTAGGTAGGCGTCCGTACCTTACTTACCTTACCTTACAGTTCGACTGCATCATGGGCTGGTTGTATGTACGTCGTAGACTCCATAATTCAGAATGGAATCCAATCCAGAGTCTACCTTAGAGTAGAGTCCGCAGTCCAGAGAGTCCAGGACGAAGAATCCAGCCCGAGAGAGACTGGTGTAGGTATCTTAGACAGGTTGCTGTCCGTCCATGTCTTTCCTGTTCAAGGCTGCCAATGAAGGCTGCCTCTCACCTTGTTGTAGATTCACATTTCCTTCCTTCCTCTTCCCCCCTCTTTTTCTCCGTCTTCTCTTCATCTCTACCTGCCTTGCCTCGTTGATGGTGATTGATTGTTGCCACTCCGGGGCAGGTACTTGCGAAAACCCTCGTTGAAGTCTCTATGCTCGTGTCTGTGGCTTCCTCTCTCTCCCCCTCCCGCTCTCCCTGTTTCTTACACTCTTTTTCTCCCACACTCTCTCCCTACTCCTCTCTCCTCCGTCTTGGACCCTCACCCTTGACACATTAATCTTCCCTCCGTCAGCGGCCTCGATAATCGCCGTTTACGTACACCTACCCCCACGGTGCTGCATTTGCCATCGGGTCGACTCTCGATCGCTTGCGATTAGGATCTCTGCCCCCGTCTCGTGGTACTACGCGACCACCACCTGCTGCCGCATTGTTACAGCAATACACTACACTGCCTACCTTACCAATACTTACCTACCTACCTACCTATCAAACGTTAGTCTGCCTACCTACCTTACCCTGACCCTACCTTGGACCACCGCCACAGAACTCCGTTCTTGCATCACCCACCGCTACGTTGATCGCATACACATGGCCGTCGCCCTGATCTTGCCTTAGGCCCTTCCGTTGCCACGCATGCTTGCCTTTCGATTGGAACTTCTCGGTTAACATACCTACTCTGCCCTAGGTAGCTAGCTGGTGCTTCGTTGACGTTGCTGTATGCGTACTTACCGCGCACGACTGGGTACCCACAACTCCTGCCATTTACCGCACCCCAGACCCCTCAATCACGGCCGCCACAAACCGATCACTAATGTTCGAGGGAAACTGAGAGCTGCCATTCCCATTCGCACCTCCATCTCCGTGTCTGACAGTCATCGAGGTGTCTCTGTAACCGCTGTCCACCACTGCCCGCTATCCCCGGCGCGCCCACTCTACTCTATACGAATACAGCAGCAGGTCCCTGTCCACAACAACCAACCAACCAGCCCCCCGGCTCGCTCACTTGCCTTCGAACAATCGTACAATCGAAGAACCGCAAAACCGTAAAATCGCAAAACCGCATCCCATACCCCGACTTTCCCATCAGGGCTGGCCCTCCGGGCCCGAATGATCGACGAATAGAGCGTCTCGCAGCCAGTCCGCCGACAAGGACACTGGGGGCCTAGTCCTCCTTTCTCCTATCCTTGCCGACGCTGTGTCTTCCTCGACACAAATCCGTTTCTTCTTGCTCTTGGGGGTCATACTCAAACAACAACATCAACAACAACAACAACGAGAGGGTGCTCTGTTTGTCTTGTTGCCTCATGCTAAGCTTTACTGATTGCGGACCTCTGAGCCTCCGGCGAGGTCGCGTCCAGAGCTTACATCCTTGTGGGATTTCATAGACTTTTAGGTCTTTCGCCGCGTATCGTCAAGTATGGACGCCCAATCCGACACCCGCCGGCCTTCCGTTACTTTCGCCGACCAGTCTACAACGGACGATTCGTCTGAGGCGACTCCCATCGCGAGCTCCCATTCAAACCCCGCCGCGCCGCACGTCGACGACTCGTCCACATCTGACGCTCCTGCCGCCTCTGCAGCATCTTCTGCACCCGTCTCCGCCAATGCTGCTACCCCCAGTTGCTCTTCGTCATGGAGCGCCAGCTCTGATCGCCAGCTTGGTCACGGTGCGAGCCCTGACCCTTCAGATAGGGTATTTCCCATCCGCTCCGTTGTGAGTGTCCAGCGCACCGGTAGATCATCAAGCGAACACGACTACTTTCCCCGACTACCCGACCACGGTCAATATCCGGCACCCCGGCCTGGTAACCCACGAATCGATACCACTGCCCTTGGCGCCGCCTCTCGCCGTGATTCCGCCTCTGCCACCACCTCCCATTCTCACCCCTCCACAGTAACTTCGCCGAGCGACCGACAACCTGTCTTGACCCGGAGAAAGAACACTGATAGCGGGCCGTTGTCAAGCGTCCAGGCCGATGCCGTGCGCCATGCGAATTCGAAGCCCCTCGACCTATTTCAAGACACCATCTCGGACGGCGAAGATGAGTCGGTACCAGGGGATGATTCCTCCCAGCGCCCAGCATCCCTCACCACAAGCCAGCTTAGCGAACCCGGGAATGATGGTCTTTTCACGACGCGCTTCAAATATGTTATGACAGACGAAGGTCACCATGTCATCACCGGCACCGATAATGTTTTGCAACGATGCGAAGACGAACCTATCCACACTCCTGGTGCCGTTCAGGGATTCGGTGCCCTGGTGGCCATTCGGGAAGAGGCAGACGGGCGCTTTTCTGTTCGTTACGCCAGCGAGAATACGGAGAGGTTAACGGGCTACTCGCCTCAGCTGCTGTTTCGTCTGAACAGCTTTCTCGATATTCTAACCGAAGAGCAGCAGGATAACCTATTGGATCACATTGACTTCATTCGTGACGAGGATGCTGACCCAGCCATCAACGGACCCGAGGTCTTCAGCCTGTCGATTCGTCCACCAAGGAGGAAGAGCGCCAAGCTCTGGTGCGCTATACACATAAACCCAGCGCATCCTGACCTGATAATCTGCGAGTTTGAGGTAGATGATGACCATCAGTTTCCACTTCGCCCACCAGAAGAGGCTACTCCCAACACACCAGAGGATACACTCCAGTCCAACCCAACGATGGAAGAACTGGCCGAAAGCACCGAGATCTTGAGCAAGCCTTTGAGAGTTTTACGAAGTGCGCGAAAGCGTAGAGGCGACGCCGGGGCCATGCAAGTATTCGACATCATGTCCCAAGTACAAGAGCAGCTTGCTGCGGCTTCCAATCTGGAAGGATTCTTGAAAATATTGGTGGGCATTGTCAAAGAACTCACCGGCTTTCACCGAGTCATGATCTACCAATTCGACTCTTCCTACAACGGAAAGGTCGTCACCGAGTTGGTTGATACCACGCATACGAAGGATTTGTACAAGGGACTCCATTTCCCGGCCTCCGACATTCCACGGCAAGCTCGCGACTTGTATAAGTTGAACAAGGTGAGGCTTTTATATGATCGCGACCTCGAGACCGCAAGGTTGGTCTGCAAAGCCAAGGAGGATCTCGACCTGCCCCTAGACCTCAGCCACTCGTATCTGCGAGCCATGTCTCCTATTCACCTCAAATATCTCGCCAATATGGCGGTACGATCCTCCATGTCGGTTTCCATCAATGCTTTCAACGAGCTGTGGGGCCTCATTGCGTGTCATTCTTACGGCCGCAAAGGCATGCGGGTGTCTTTTCCTATCCGCAAAATGTGTCGCCTGGTTGGGGATACGGCGTCACGGAACATCGAGAGATTATCGTACGCAACCCGACTTCAAGCTCGGAAACTCATCAATACTGCGCCTACGGAGAAGAATCCATCTGGGTACATCATCGCGTCGTCGGACGATCTCTTGAAGCTTTTTGATGCAGACTTTGGGATGCTTTCGATTAAGGGAGAAACCAAGATTCTTGGCGAGATCGAGCAGTCTCAGGAGGCTCTGGCGATGCTGGAATACCTGCGCTTACGCCAACTCACGTCTGTGGTTACCTCTCAAGATATTCGGGAGGATTTTCCAGACTTGCGCTATCCTCTGGGCTTCACCGTCATCGCAGGCCTCCTCTACGTCCCATTGAGTGTGGGAGGCAATGACTTCATCGTCTTTTTCCGAAAGGGCCAGGTCAAGGAGGTCAAATGGGCCGGCAATCCGTACGAAAAGACTTTGCGCGAAGGAACAGCTGCCTACCTGGAGCCCCGCAAAAGCTTCAAAACCTGGCACGAGACGGTGCTTGGTAAGTGTCGAGAGTGGTCAGAAGAACAGGTCGAGACATCGGCTGTGCTGTGTCTTGTCTATGGCAAATTTATCGAAGTGTGGAGACAGAAAGAAGCTGCGTTGCAGAGCAGCCGTCTTACGCGACTTCTGCTCGCAAATTCGGCACATGAAGTACGCACCCCCTTGAACGCCATCATCAATTACCTGGAAATCGCATTGGAAGGCTCTCTGGACCAAGAGATTCGCGACAACCTGGCAAAATCTCACTCTGCGTCTAAGTCGCTGATATACGTCATTAACGACCTACTCGATCTCACCCAAACAGAGGAAGGCCAGAACCTAGTCAAGGATGAAGTGTTTGACTTTGGCATGTGCATACGGGAAGCAACAGAGCCATTTGTCAACGACGCTAAGAGGAAGGGCATTGAGTACCAAGTCATCGAACACCCTGGCCTTCCTCGTCACGTGTGTGGTGATAGCCGACGTCTCAGACAGGCCATTTCCAACGTCGCAGCCAACGCCGTGCAAAATACCGCTAATGGGTATGTCAAGGTCGAACTATACGTTAGCGAAGTTCTTGACCGACGTGTACGCATCGAAATTCTGGTCGAAGACACGGGCAAAGGAATGACGGCCAGGCAGTTGGACACTCTCTTCCGAGATTTGGAACAAGTCAGCGTCGAACTAGATGAAACGACCTTGCCTTCCAAGGATGACGAAGCCGGAAAAGAAGATAGAATCCTGGGCCTTGGCTTGGCCGTCGTTGCCAGAATCGTTCGGAATATGGATGGCCAGCTGCGCCTCAAGTCAGAACAAGGTACAGGATCTCGATTCATTATACAGTTGCCTTTCGATATCCCGGATGACGCGCCAGCACCAGTTGAAGGCCTAAGGCATTCGGAGTCAGCTGCAGCATCCAGCGTAGCATCCGTGACTACTGCGGTCATGCCTGATAAAGACGGCGAACTCATGCTCATTGATCGCGGAAGCAAGCAAACACAACAAAATGATGGGTTTGAAGAAATGATGCCTGTGGATTCGGGTCCAAAAGCGGAAACCAGAAGCCTCGAGAGTCACGAGAGCGTCGCCACAGGGACCAGCAGAGCCAGCGACAAGAGTTCTCGGAGTGATGCGGATCGCTTGATAGACGCCATTCAAACGCCATTGTCCATAGGAGAGGTGGACACGAGCCGGCCAGTTGCTCAGCGCCAATTCTCCAGAGAAACACTCTATCGACCAAAATCCTCAGACGGCAACTCTTCAAATGTTAGCGTCACGGGATCGCCCAATTCGCTGCGGACAAGCCAGAAGAATGGCCCTGCAATAGACTCCTCATCACGGACTGAAGTGGGCTTTAGTAGCGTGAAGGATACGAAAACTCCCATCAGGGCGGTCAAAATTCCCGACGAATACTTGGAACCACCGTCTTCTTTGCCTCAGGAGAGCGCATCATCTCGAGTGCTATTTGAAGTATCAGAAAAACATGGACATGGGGCAGCCTCGGAAAGCGGTACAATTGGAACGACCACAAGTGTCGTCTCAGGGCCAGATACAACCAAGTTGCAAGTTCTCATCGCCGAGGATGACCCCATCAACTCACGAATTCTGCGGAAGCGCCTGGAGAAATCAGGCCATCAAGTTTCACACGCTGTAAACGGTGAAGACTGCGCGACGGTTTATCGTGAAAAGTCTAGTGCCTTTGACGTCGTTTTGATGGACATGCAGGTACGTGCTCTCGGTCGGTCCCTAGTCATCTCCTGTGCTAACAGTCAATTTTTCATCGTAGATGCCGATAGTTGATGGCCTGACGAGCACTAAGATGATCCGAGCCTTCGAAAATTCTGGCGAGCACGGTGGGCACTCTTCCATCGCCAATCATAATGGCAGAATTCCCATTTTCGCGGTTTCGGCATCCCTGATAGAGCGAGAGAGAGAGAAATACGTCAGTGCAGGTTTCGACGGATGGATTCTGAAGCCCATCGACTTCAGGCGTCTCAATACCTTACTCTTGGGGATAGTGGAGGACGACATTCGTGCAACGTGTCTATATGCCCCAGGACAGTGGGAGCGCGGCGGGTGGTTCAATGTCAGAGATTGCTCTGGTGGTGAAGAAAAGATTCTTGGCAAGGAAACATCAGATGATGAATCGGCTACACCTACAGGCCAAGATGGAGTAACGAAAAAGACAGACGGCACAGCTTGATTGTGTCCGTCGTTGTTTCTCATGAGGCTGTTGGTTTCATCTCAGGCTTCTCTGCTCGGACAATTTCGATGAGCGGTCGGGTTGGTGAGGATGATCTGGTGAAGGTTTGCAAAGCTAGAGCAGACTGTACTGGTTTTCACTCAGCATTATGAAGGGGAGGAGTGCCGTGCTGCTTGATGGCGAGAGAACGTGCGCCGAACTGCCTCCATGGGGTCTTGCAATTACGGAGTTCACCGCGAAGTTCAAGAGATGGACTGTATTCAAAATCGGACTAGGGTTTGCTGAAACTTGACGATATAGAGCTCAGGAGGGAATGGACGGATATACCATGACAAAAGCATACGGATTGCATGGAAAGGGTAAGGGCGACAAGCCGGACAATGGTGGGCGTTTTCTTGGTTGCGAAATTACATATCTCCCGGCTTTTTGTCCTCGACGCAATATACCACTGCATGGTCTTCGCCATGCTGAGACAAGGAAAGAGCTTCACGGCATATGAAGAACAAATGTACACAAGCAAACTGATCTCCCGACAGTGCTACCGGCCGTGGCAGATGTACACCAGAAGAACGTGTAGTAATAAGAGAAATGTACTGACGGCCTTGTCCATTTCGAATTCCACGTGGCACATACACCATTGCTGTCGAGGAAGAAATTCTTCTGAGCTAATTCTCGTCACCATGGCACAGCCCTGTTTGCACCATTAGCAGGAGCATGCGATGTTAGTAGTGAAGGAAGGCAGGGATCTTAACTCTGTCTCGCTCATGTGGCATGCCTTCCAGTGGATGTGTACTTTGGTGTTCGTCACATATGTAACATCCTAAAGCTTGTACAAAACATCTTCTCATACCGTGCCGACTGCCAATTGTCACAGACGATGTGCGGAAGACAGAGGAGGAGCCAGGATCCGAGTTTAATCAATTAGGGGCAACAGAGCACAGGCGGGAGACAACAACACCGCGACTGTGCGTCTTCCTCATGAGTAGATCCAAGCATTATGGCGCCTCAGATAAGGTAGGGATGGGACAACATACGGAGTAGACGGGCCTCCCCTCCCCTCAACCCGAGGGCCCCTTTTACAGGTTGGGAGTCTGTTCCTACCTAGGCACCCAAGCTCCGGGACCTGGCCGCTCAATAACGGGCGCATGGTGGGAACTGGCTCATCCAGGACCGGCTACCCTGGAATATACAACTCTCAGTTGCAGAATCAGCGATGTTTGCGACTCATGCTCCGTCCATAGGCTGAGAAGTGTATCAGCGCATTCAGAGAGCAGGCAGGGTTAGGCGAGTACGGCGCATTTGATGATGTTGCCACTACTACGGCTGGCTGTAAGCAAGACCAACTCCTGGTTCTCGTGCGTTTTCCGGTGTAACCCATTGACAACCGATAGTGATGAAGACAGAAAAGTCGATAAAGTTCAGCAAATCAACTGATGATACAAATTCGCTTCTCGACACCCTCCTCCCGTGTTTGGGACCCCTATATCTCATCTTTTCCTATGGCGTTTCGTGACAATATCCTCTTCCGAATGATTTCCGGAAATAGTAAGATCCGGACGGCAGAGACAGCGGAAAAAAACCAAGAGTGGGTGGTAGGACGGATGACTATAGGATGACGAAAAACGCAACTCCAAAGACAGAATACAAAGGCTAGACGGGCCATCAGTTCAGGAGAAAGGACGCGGACTGAGCGTTCAGTCAAGCATCGGACTTTGTATTCTAATTCGCAGACATGGCACACCACCTGTCTGCCAAACAAGGTTCTCCGCTGCCATCGCGGGTTGAGATACCCGTGCGCCGCTCTCTCTCTTACACTCAAAGCTTGATTCACGTGGTTCTTGCTGCTGTCCACCGCTCGTATCCTTCTCTAGCTGGTGAGGTTTGAACTCGCAGCTGAGGGGACCTCTTGAAGCATGGTCTTCCCGGCTCAAGGGGCGGACAAATGTAGGTGCCGCGAAGTAAGAAAGTCAAAGTCAAAGCCCCCCCGCTGTCTGCTTTCTCGATCCATAGTAACACCAGAGTAGTTCACACGCTAAACATCTTCACCCTCCTCGCTCTTTCGCCTCTTCCGCGCTTAATCTTTCTATTTGGTTTAAACTCTGCTTTCCCGCGAACCCCATGCGGCTCTCTTCCATGCTCTGCCTCGCTACGCCCTCCCCCTGGCAAACCTTCATCGAGATGGATGTGAATCCAGAATCAGGGAAAAGGCACGGACTTCACTTCGCCATCATCAAGCAGGCCAAGACAGACAGACGGGCAGCCAACTTGTCGTTGACCAGCTGGGCTCATCCCTAGTTCCATCTGGCGATATTGGTGAATCGAGTCTTTCCAGTTCGTTAGTCTGATTGCGGGTTCCGTTTCGCCGTGCGTGATACTCGCTCATCTGAACGAGGGACGGCCCAGTCGACCTGTTTCTTTTTTCGTTTCCTCTTCTCTTGCCGCCAACTGGGATCAGAGTCTCGGCGGTACGAACCTGTTGGTGTGACGAGAATGACTCGGTCATGATGGCGAAGAATGGTGGTGTGCTCCGCAGACACACTTCCTTCGCGTGAATGCTCTTCGAAACTCTGTCTTCCCCTTCCCGTCATCCTATTTTGAGCCCCTGCTCGCAGCGGTTCATGACTTGTCTTTGGGAAGAGGGGGCCTGCGATGTGCGTCTTTTAGTTTGGCTCTATTCAAAAACGCATTCTTTCCCCCGTAATCGACCTGTTTAGTAGGTGCCGCCCGCCAAGTCAACATCTGCTTAAGCTGGCATGTTCACGCTCTCCCATTCTTCATCTTGCCTTAGCCAAAACTACCGATCGCCGGCGAAGATTAGTATGGCAAAGCTTCCTGCAGACTCGTACGAAGACCAGAGAGGAGTTGTCATCGGCTCCGTAGTCTTCTGTATCATGTTTCCCACCACGCTGGTGGGTCTACGGATTTACACGAGAACAAAGGTCATTGAACTATTCGGCATTGATGACGTTCTTGCCATCGCTGGACTTGTGAGTCCTGTCAACAACGTGCTGGTTGGAAACAAGAAGGACTGACTGTTCTGAGGAAAGTTGGCTTTGATAGGCTGTGGAATTGCTATTGCAGCAAGTACGTCGTGTCACAAGCCTCCTTGAATAAGAGGGTCCTGTTCATGTTGGCTAATACAGACGGCAGTGACTGAACATGGCCTCGGGAGACATATCTCAACACTGGACAAAGCAGAGATCCCAGAGTACCTCCACGTGAGTTTCGGCCCTTTCCCTACCAGATATGTTCAAATTTGATCTGTTGGGTGCTCGCTCACACGGCTCTCCAGACCTTCTTTGTCTCCATCGTCTTCTACAACATTGCGCTTCTCTGTATAAAGTTGTCTTTTCTGTTCCAATATTACCGAATCATGGCTGTTCCTAAGATGAGGAGAATTTACGCTGTCGCAATCGTCGTGGTTGGAGCATGGGCCGTTTCCCAGCTTCTCATCGCTACCTTCACCTGTATACCCGTCGAAGGGTTCTGGGACAAGACCATCAAGGCATATTGCATCCCTAACCAGCCGCAGTGGTATGTGAATGCGGCGGGAAATATTGCCACCGATGTCGCCGTCTTTGCACTTCCTCTGCCCATATTTTGGCATCTTAGTCTTCCCAGGAAGCAGAAGCTGCTCCTCATGGGGATATTCAGCCTCGGATTCTTGTGAGTGGTTACAAATTTTGTCCCCGATCGTTCGACGCAGCATGTCGGTTTTCTAACAGCTACCAGTACTGTGGCCGTCTCTATTGTCCGCACCAAATATCTCAGCATCCAACAGGACTTCACCTGGACAAATGTTGAAGCTTCTCTCTGGTCGCTTGGAGAGATATCTTCGGCCGTTACCTGCGCCTGCCTTCCGACTCTGCGACCCCTCATGACCAAACTGTTCCCGAGGATGATGGCTAGGGTGAACTACTCCTTGCACTCGGACACTCGTGGCACCCGCGATACCCGTGGCACATTCCCCACGAGTGCATATCCACCAGCCATCGTCAAGCCCGACGTGGAGATGGCCACCACGGAGTCGGCTGTCTCAAGCGCGCGGTCGAGCCACGCGAAGGAAGACAAGTCCGCCACCCACGTGTCGCCTTATTCAAACCAACACCAGACCGCTTCGACCGAAAGCATCTTTGGTTTGGCAAGTGTACGAGAGGACGCAATCACCCCCGTCAAATCCAACTTCAGCCCCACGAGCCCCAGACCGACATGGTCCCCTTCTTCCAGCAAAGGATCTCAGGGCCGAAGAGAGATACGCAGAAATGGCTCTGTGATCTGACATGATTCGAGAGTGATGCTCGTTCAACAGCAAAAAGTTTCTATGGGATCTGGGCTGGTAATCCGAAGAGTGAATAATGTATCGTCAAGAGGCTTCCGAGATGCCGGTGTCATCTACAACGTGTGCCAGAGGGTGCCGAACGGGAGGGAAACGTCCACTTTTGATTGAAAAACGAAGCTCTCGATGTCTTGGATACATGATGGCATCTATCGACTTTTTAATACCCCGGTTAATAATCAAGTAATCATCTATTAAGGCCCCCCTGCCTCTCGCATTTGGGTATCTCGTTTGAGTTGTGTTCTACGTGCTCACATCATCTTTCATTTTTGGTGTGTTTCTCACCCACTCATCGCCCAAAACGCCACCAGGACCTCCTCTCCGGCTTTTTATAGCCTTCTTCCTGAACATTGTGCTTTCCAACAATTGTGAGGAACACTTGGTCTAGTGTTGTGGGACTGACGCTGTAATGCATGACACCCAGGTTCTCGCGTTGCTCCTCCAACATGACAGCCAGCTGACCAACGGCGCTGGAAGATACATCCTGGTCCGCCCGCTGGATTTCTTCAACTTTGTGGCCACTGAACGCGCTCAGAACTTCGCTCGCTGGCACGGAGAAGCGCATTTGGCCGTGGTAGGTCTTCTCCTCCACTTCAGCCCCAGGTAGGAATTTCTTAACCCAGTCACGAAGCCTCTCTGTTTCTTCTAGGGTGGTATGTGGCGCCGTCTTACTGATCAGGTGCACGTGAAGGGCATCTCCGAAGCGATGCCGAAGGCTGTCCGTCGTGCCAAGTGCCAGCATACGTTTCGCCAAGATCCCGGCCCGGCTCGCAAGGGCGTCGGCCTCCTCCATGCTGTGTGTCGTCAACAGGAGAGATCGCCCAGGAACCGTGGCCGCTAGCGTCTTCCACATGATACGCTTCGCAGCGGCGTCCAGGCCCGAAGAAGGCTCGTCTAACAATACCACGGTCGGATTGCCCATTAACGCGATACCGAGGCTTAGTTTACGCTTGTTACCGCCCGACAACGCGTGGGCCATGCGCGTCGAAAAAGCCTGGAGCCCAACTGCGTGAATCACGGCGTTGACATTGTGGTCGATATCGGGAATGCCGCGGACGCGAGCGTAAAATTCCAAGTGTTCGCGCACTGTCATTAGATCCATCGCATCGTGTTGAGGGCAGACACCAAGGTGCGCCCGCGCAGCCGGCAAGTCTTGGATCACAGATCTATCCTCGACCAGTATGTCGCCGCCATTACGACTTGATTTGAGATCTCCGCGAATCAGAGAAATAGTCGTCGACTTGCCCGCTCCATTTGGTCCTAGGAGAGCAAAGACTTCTCCACGCTGAATGCCGAAGGTGACATTATCAACGGCAGTGTTCTTGCCGAAAGTCTTCGTTAGATGTATTACTCTAAGCCCATCATCGTTGTTTTGTGTCGTCGTGACTCTGTTCAGCTCATTTGCCAGCTCCTCATCGGACGAGCTAGGATCTTCAGGTTCAGGATGTCGACGTTGCCAAAGTCGCCGTATGGACAAGCCAACAGAACCACTGTCAGCCCATACCAGAATGCCAAAGAGAAGAATGGACTGGATGACTAGGTACAATATGAGGCCACCGTATTGGAGCATTCCGCCCGGATTGGGCGCAAGCTGGCGACCATCACAGGCTGTTGAGAACAGGTTCAGAGTCAAGAACATAGCTCGAACAACCGAGCCAATGGGCGCGACGGCGGAGATGACAAAGTGGACGACAAGCAGATAATCGTCAACCCGAGTCACCGGCGCAAACGTTACCGTACAGAGGTATGCAACCAGATAGACAAGGAACATGACTGCTTGCCCTGCGGCAACCCAGGCGTATGTAGAAAGCTGCGTCTTACAGAAAAGAGAGATGACATAGGCCAAAAGGATAGCGGTCAGCCCGTAAAGCATGAATACGAGAAAGATGTAGCCGACATGATACCAGATGTTTGAAAGGGTCGCCCAGAGAATAGTCACCAGTGCTGTGGAGGCGAGTACAACGATGAAGTCGAATGCGAGATAAGCAAGCCATAGAGGCAATGGTCGAACACCATTGGAGTATTGCAGGCCTCGAACCATCCGCCGGCGTTCCAGACTCGGGTACAGGGCGAAGAACCCGGGGTAAGCCGAGAGAGCTATGCCGGTGTAAACGAGGAATTGCAGGGAGTTGCCGGTGTCAGGGTCCCAAGGAGTGGCGAAGGGTGCCCAGGCCATCATGAGTGTGACATTGCTCAGGAGCATGTTCATGAGATTCTGGGTCAGCAACGGATTGATAAGACCGTTATAGTTAGCCATATAGGCGATGGTAGGTTCCATGCTGCCATCCCCAAACCAAAGACCACCTGGCAGTGTTTCAACCCGTCGCTCAACAATGGTGCTTTTGAAAGAGTCGAATGTTTCAGTAAAGGTGGCATTCTCTTCAAGCAGTTGCCTTGCAAAACCTAGTCCAGTGCCCGTACTGGTTCCTAAGCCACCGCTGCCAGAGGCTGCGTTGAAAACCGGCAGAAGAACGCTTGCGGCGGTGTTCAAGTCCAACTTCGAAGATGGCCCAAGAACCAGTTTCCATGTGAAGTCTGTGAGACTGAAACCCTGGGTTTGGTCGAGCGAACGCTCTTCAGAGGGTGCGCATCCCGGCTTGTTTTGGCCTTTGATGAATAAAGTGACGAGGCCGGCGGCTGCTACGGGGAGAATGAAGGCGGCGAAGTGCGGAATCCAGTTGGTCTTGAGGATGGTGATGCGCTTCCGGAAGAGAACGGCTGCTTGCTGCATATAACCAATGCGATTGCCGTCAAGAAGTTTTAACCCTCCCGAAGATGCGACGCCAGTAGTATGAGCCTCGTCTGATGCTACTTTCTTCTCGTTGTATTCCGACGTCGTGTCAGACGCGGACGGGAAGTCTCCTGCTTCTCCTCGGACCTCCTCTGCCAGTTGCAGGAATACGTCCTCAATTGTAGGCCCAGAGAATCGGTATTTATGGATGTCGTTGGCCTCTAAGGTGCGGATAACCTGAGCAGCCAGGGTTGAGGATGGCGCGATATAACTGACAAGATCGAACGAGATCTTCTTTTGAACACCGTGGACATCAGGGCCAATCTTAATGCCAGTGTCCTTATGAACATGAACGCGATATCCACCGCCAAGACGGTCTTTCAGTTCGACGGAAGATCCATCAGCACGTAGTGTACCTTTCGACAAGATGGCGATGTGGTCAGCCAGCAGATCGGCTTCGTCTAAGAAGTGAGTTGTAAGGACAATTGTGCGGCGCCCTCGCTCGGCCAAGAGAATGTCCCAGAGTTTTCGCCGACTGAGAGGGTCGATGCCGCTGCTGACTTCGTCGACACAACAGACAGCACTTCCTCCCGTGAGCATCATGCCCAGCTGGAGCTTTCTCTTTTGTCCCCCGGACAGAGTCTTGGACATGGCTTTCCGCTTCAGCTCAAGGTCAATCGATTTGATGAGGTCGCGAACTTCCTGTTTCGACGCAAGATCTTTCGGCGATTTGAGCCTGTTAAAGATCTGGATATGTTGCTCAACAGTGAGATCGTCCCACATGACATTCTTCTGAGGCGCAATTCCCAGCCCGCCGGTGCCATCAATGGTGATAGCACCGCTCGTCAGTTTGTTGGTGCCGGCAATGGAGTCTAAGGTTGTAGATTTGCCACTGCCATTGGCGCCCAAAAGGGCGAGGATTTGGCCTCGACGGATGTTCAGAGTCAAGTTGTTGACAGCGACAACAGGTTCGCGAGGGCGCGAAATGAAGGAAAACATGCGACGCAGTGCCGAGGGCTTATAAATCTTGCTGAAGCCATCGATACGGACAGCCGCCTCGGTTGCTGGGTCATTGGCCGAGCCGAACACGACGTTTCTGCCCTGGGTGGTAGTGCCGTGCAGTCTCGACTCGATGACTGCCCCAAGAAGGGGATACCCAAATACCTGGATGACCAGAAATACCCATAACACGATTCCAGTGAGTTGCCACGGGCTACCTGGAGGAACCTGTGTAAGATTCGTCGGAGCGTCGCCTGATTCGTAACGGGCCATGTATGTAATAAAGTACACATAATTACAAGGCGTGAATAGGAAGCTGAGAATACCAACAGTGGCGGTGCTAGGGTAGGAAATGGATTGGGCGAGAATTCCAAGTATGATAATGATCAGAACAGCAGCGATGCCGCTGATTTGGGCCTTTTTGAAAAAAGAGGAGACCAAGATGGAAAGAGAGGCCATGGCTATTCCGTTGAGAACATGATAGACCAGAACAGTGGCCACACTCGTGCGAGCAAAGACACCGGCTCGAAGTACTAGAGAACCGATGATCCATCCAGGAAGGTAGATGAGCACAAATGCGAAATGATAGGAAACGATGCGGGCCGCCTGGGCATGCCATCGTTGCTTGACAGGCATCATGGCGTCGAGGAGTCGGGTCATGCCACTCTCACGTTCGGTCGCGATGAATCCGGTGAGATGGTAAGTAACAAACAAGACGCTGGTCATGAAGGCAACGCCCATCCAGTTGGTAATGGCGCTCTGGTACCGGATACGAATCTGAATGGCACGTTCTTCCTGGGTCATGCTCGTAAAGGGATATTCGGTCACCGTGTTGGGCAGAGGGCCTTGCTGGACTTGCGAGGAGTTGGAACTGGCGACTTTGGCGATGGCAGCATCAACTGCGCGTTGCAGAGGTAAGAGGTAGATCTGAGCGTCATTCCTGTCCGAGTCGACGTCGACGACCATTGATCGCAGTGCGCCATCGCTGCGCAAGGTATAATTCCAGTAATTGCCGGTGCCCTCAGCGGGGGAAGACTGGAAAACAACGGCGCCATAGCATCTGGAAACGCCGCGAAGGTTGCTGCGGCAGTCTGTACCCAGGTCAGCTGTAGATGACCGGCGTAGGGCTTTCTTGCCGACGCTCTCGACGGATTGAGTGAGCGTGTCGATGACTTTGTCGATGTCCCCGCCGATGAGACCGTTGTTCACGAAGACAACGGTCTGTCTACCGGTGCTAGCTCCGGCATCGAGGGCATCCGGTAGAGAACGAATCTGCCTTGGGTCGGAAACGCCGTAGACGGCTGGGGGGACGAAAAGATTCTTTGCGAAGCTGAAAAATGTCGTCAAGGCGATAGGGAGGATGAATGCAATGAAAATGGCCGCGATGGAGTGGCGGCTGATTATCCTCCAATTTTTGACAGTCAAAGTCCAAGTCTGGCGTAGAAGCGCCATCATGGGCGAGAGTCGCCTCGGGCGGCTACGTCGTCGTTTCCCGTTCTTGGTATCGATTCGCGTATTTTGTTGTTTGCGGTGCCGACGTGAGGATGGGATTTCGCGGACGTTTTGGGATGAGCAGAGGCTCGCGATGAAGGCTGGCTAAAAAAAAATGTGCAAAAGAGAGTGGAATTTTCACAAATCCAAGCCGTACCTTCTCTTGTTACTCCAACGACCTCTCGAGGCGGCGTGTGAGCCACGACAAGGGGGTAGGAAGAATGAAGACGAAATGGATGTACGTATTAGGACGAAATAGACGAGACGAACACTGGGACGAGGAAGACCCTTGGAGACACGGCGTAGGCACGGTGTCTTGGGGGTGATGGATCACTCTGGATGAACTCTCGACCTGGAGCAAGACACCTCGGGATTAGGTCAGACTGCCGTCGCGAGCGATGAGGGACCGGAGAAGAATGATTTCTCCTGGCGCCGTGCCGTGCGTGCGTGGCTTGCCTAGGTAGGTAGGCAAGGCACACCGAACTGAACTGAACTGACCTGACCTGAAAAGGCAGCCGACGCGCGACGTGCCAAGGTGGGAGTCAAACTGGGGTTCGCCTCTTCCACCGGGCGTTTGGTCTTCGTAATTCACAGCTGAGGTATCCACTACCTACCTTACCTACGTTACCTTAATAATAAGGTAGTAGGTAAGGTAAGGGAGGCAGTAAACGACGGGAATTGGCCCGAATCCCGGCCGGCGGCACTGAGGTGACACCCGACCCGTCCATGCTCGCGCTGGACCCTGGCACAGATGCCTGGGCCACGGATAGGTACACAATTACCTACAACGAGATGCACATCCCACCCTTCCGCCAAACATGATGATAGGTACTCAGCAGCAACATCATCGCCGCGACTCGAGGCAGCAAGTGTAACATGCAGTCTTACGGCTACCCACTTGCACCGTTGTTGGGCGGAATCTCGCCAACGAAACGGGATCCAGCACAGCCTCCTCCGCTAATCAGACAGCCGTTTGTGTCTCGGGCGTTGATCGTTGCAGTGGCTACTTCAATCCTTCATGTTTCTTGGCCCCCGACGTTGGGCCGGGACTTGGTCGAAGCTCGGTGTGGCTTCGGGCCAAGCCGCACCGTGCAAATATCGTTGACGTCGGTCCAGAACGGTCAAGAATGTCTTGAATCCATCGATTATACCAACCCACCAATCACATCGCACTATCTCCCCAGAGGTCAAGTCTATCACGTCCTCCCCAAAGTGCCAAGTTCTGCCTCGTCGTTGTTCAAAATTGCTGCTGCCCTGGGGTATCTAGACTCATCATCTCCTCTGTCATCGGCTCCCTTGACTCGCCCTGCGATAGTGTAGGTGATCGTCATCTACTCCACTAGGAATCCTCCTCCACCGTCCTCCTCCTCCATGTCATACTCCTCTGTAACGTCGCTCGGAGCATCTTCAACTTCTTCGTCTTCGTCTTTCTCCGCCCCGAGAACCGAAAGGTCCTCTAACCCCATGTCGCCATCCTCGCCATCCCTTTCGGTGTTCTCTTCCCCCTCGTTAGCTGCAAAGCCTCCGCTTTCTTCCACATCCACGTCCTGAGCGGCGAAGCCTACACCGCGGTCGCTGTCGACATCCTCATCCCCAGCAACGAAGCCTCCGTCACCGCCCTCTTCCTCTTCCACTTCCACTTCTTCAGCCACGAAACCCCCACCGCCATATTTGCTCTCGTTACCAACCATGAAACCTCCAGATCTGCCTTGACTCGCATCTTCTTCAACTATAAAGCCTCCCCCAAATGCCTCGTCCTGGGCAAGACATCCCCTACCTTGGTTATCACACTCAACCATGGAGCCGCCTGTTGCCATACTTTCTTCACGCTCTGACATTTCCGCGATTTCCCCAACCATTTCCCTCTCCTCTTCGGCTCTCTCTTCGGGGTCCACTCCGGCCCATACGCGCTCCCGGATCCGGAGTGCCGTAAGAAACCTCTTCCACATTCGGATCGCAGCCAAAGACCTCTTGCTCCGCTCTACTTGTGCTTCCATATCTCCCAAACCCTCCATCACAGCCCGAACGGCTTCTTCATGCTCTCGTGCTACTACCACGCCATTCAGCACAGCTGTACCATGCTTTCCCTTGAAATTGAACCCTGTCAACGCCGGCGCGTAGTCAATCCCTAGTATGTGAGCGGCGCGCGCAGCAGCGTCGAATTCGTCCGTGACGTGAACTCCACCTTGCGGCACCATGCTCGCCACGTATACATCAATGTTGCCAAACTTGTTCTTCGGCACACGACCATTGATGACTGGCGGGGCATGGTAAAGCTCTGTCTGCTCTTCGGTAAATACCGGCATACCTGCCGCGTCTCTCTCATCTCCGCCGTATCCATCGTCAATAAACTCGCCTGGCCTGGCGTTGGATCTTCGAGGAAGAAATTTGACCGGAACTTCCATAGGCTTGACTTCGCGTCCGTAGCTGCGGTACCATTTGTCCCTACTACGCGCAATCCGCACGTCCCTACGCCGGTAGACCTTCTCCAACGGCGCTTTGCTTCCCGCCGAGACCGTCCCGGCGGGCTGCGCTTCTGGTATAAGAACTTCATTGCGCCGCAAATGCCTTTCCAGCGCAAATACCGGGTGGTCCTTGAAGTCTGCCACGTTTCTTGGCATAGGTTCACGGCCTTCGACAGCCATCAATTCGTTGTCTTCAATCTGATCAAGATCTGTTTTTGGACGTCGAGTGAACGGTTTAAGAGCCTTGCGCCACCACCGGTCACCTCGTTCAACAGCAGTTTCGACACGCAATCTTCTTGTCTTTGCCGCATATGCCTTGGCGTACCTCCTGGTCACGTCTCGCGCAGTACCGTCAGATTCAAAGGCAACCACATAGGTCATGCAATTTTCTCGGTCGGAGGCCGGTGGCTCAATGGCACGAGGTTTCCACATCGAATTTGTAACCAGCGGATCCACAGGCTGCCATTTCTGATGAGCAGTATCAAGAACTTCTACCCAGTAAACCGGAAATGGCGACTCGCGGATATTAATCGGAGTATCTTTCAGCTGTCGACCTTTCGGGGGTGATGCTGGTATCGACGGTAAGTGGTAAGCCGCGGCGTTTGGGTGGCCAAGCCGTCGCAGAGGCGAAGCTTTGCTCATATCTGACGACGATGATCCTTCTCCAGCCATTGAATACTTGGCTACCTGTGCCTGAATCTGTTCTGCTCTTGTAGGCTTTGATGGTGTCTTCAGGCTACGGGGTTTGGGGAGCGTTGGACCACCTGAGGCGAAAGAGAGTGGCTGCAGAGAGCAAACCAAGCGGGCGCGGATCCCAGCAGATCGCAGCAGGGCACAGTATAGCTGAGCACCAACATCTCGAGAGCCTTGTAGCTTTCTGGCAGCCTCCCTGAAATCAGATCTTTCCAAGCATGAGTCCATATTGCTCGGCGGTTCGTACTTACAAGGTGAGTCAGCCATGATGTGTCTCGAGACAGTGTGGAAGCGGCCTACGTACCTTGGAGATGTGCTCGGGGTCCTCAGCCCAAAGAGCCCGGCGCAATCCCTTTTCTGTGATATGAAACTTGGCCTTGAAAATGGACCCAGCTTGTTCAAGACCAGTTTTGAGAGATTGTGTTTGGCCAAATTGTGGCAGATCAGATGATGGGTTCAGATAATTGACGATCTTCTTGGTCAAAAGAGAACGCATTGATTTCTGTACTTCTCCATCGTCGCACCATCGGTTTCTCAAAGCACAGTGCAGCATCAGGCAGAGCAGATGTGTCCGGTGTACTGTTATGCGGCGTTCCCTCTCCTCTTTCGAGATAGGCTTTCTTCTATCGGCGCCCTTTTTGGCTGCAGGTGTTGTCGGCGTATGGGCTGATAGATTGAGTGTAAGCTTCTTCGGTTCCTCTGTAACCTCCACATCCGGGTGTACGGCGCCCAAATCGACATCCTCGAATTCGATGTCATCTTCGGATTCTTCCTCGTCTGAATCTCTTTCCATTGTCTGGAAAATAGGTGGGGGGAGAGCGACGTCTTCAAATTCAATATCTTCATCATCTTCGTCTTCGTCCGGCTCTGGGGCCTTGGGCGGATCGACTCGGGCAGTCTTCTCTCCAGGTCGCTTAAGCTTCTTCAACGGCGGCTCGGAGGGAGCTGGAGTGGAAGGACCAGTACCAGCGCCTGCCTCAAGCAGCATCTCTTGGTAGACATTTGGCAGGCCGGGGGTGGCGGGCTGCGACCGAGAAGCCCTGGTTCTTTTGCGGCCAGCCATCATGGCAATCGACCAGGGAAGGAAAGACTTCAACTGGACGGCGGCAATTGCAGGAAAAATTGCATATGCTACGAAAGTGTCGATAGGTCTTCGAAAGACTGCATGACTGGCGGCGATGTTCACTGAAAGCCGTTGGTGATAGACAGGCAAAGCTCGACTTCTTGACTCGTCGCGGTCGCGCCTGCTAGGCTGACACTGGACACTGGGCGCACTAGACAACGTCATGAGCGCACGGGCCATTATCGCGCGCGCGTAGCATACACTACAGGTACGTACACACAGCAATAAATGTGACTCTTATACTTGGGTACGTCGGGTACTTCAGGCCTAGGGCAACCATTCGTCTCCCCCGCGCGCACTGGCCCTCCCTCCTCCAAGTGTCCGCACACTGGCGCCAAATTACTTCCGACGTAGTATCAACATGAGTTCCTGATCTTGGAACGATACACATTTTGCGGATACGCAGGTCTGCAAATGAACAGCTGCTGTCCGCGCCCGGTGCAGGATCAGTCGCGATAGAAGAGAGTCGTGTCCAGAGGTATTCTCTCGCCCATCCAGATGGCGCGTTGTGTGTGGTTGCGCAGCTCAATGGCATTGTGGTTGCCCTCTTCGTCTGTGTTGGGATGGACGAGTACTGACAGGGGCCCTCTGTAGATGGCTAGCCACGGGATAAAGGCACCGAACTGTGCAGGCGTGAAGAGATTGACCTCGAACATGGCGACAGGGTGCGGGCCGACGGGCTTCTCCCAGAATCGGTACATTCTCAGCTCAGGGACTAAGATAGTAATCATCAAGTCGTCAGTGAGAGCTATTTCTACTCGGTCCTTGATCCGACTTACACTCTCGTCGAATGCGCTCCCACAAGTCCTTGGCATGCTTGACCTGGTCCGGGTTATTCTGGAAATGGTAGATGTGGATGTCACTGTATTGATGTTAGTCCTACGAGTAAGGAAGGTCGAAGCTCAATGCCGCTTACAAGCCTCCTCGACGCCCATTCGAAAGCGGAGCCGGGAACGACTCGTACGCCTCGCTCAGCCCTTCACGTGGGGGATTTCTGAAGCTTTTGCCATCTTCGTTGAGATCGCTGGGTAGAGGAGGTGCATTTTCGTAGCCCTCGGATGGCGACACGAAGGTGTAACGCGGGGGATTGGTGGCCATTTTAAGAGATGGATATTAGGTAGTCTGCGTGGTGGCTTTTTAGCTTTGGAGGTTGGTTGGTTGGTTGGTTGGTTCAATCGGGGTTCCACGACGAGGATACTTGTCTTATTGGCAAGACTGCTCATCATCCATGAGGGGTTGCCGACTGCCATATATACTAGGTACTCGTGGGGTGCAAGAGAAGGCAAGCTGCTTTATTATCTGTGCCATTTGGTAATTACTACTGAGGTTTTGGGCCAGCCAACCGTACCTCACTGCATGGTAATTCTGGACGTGTCCAGTTGTTACCTTAAGGTGTGCACTGACGCCATGCATCTTTGGTAAGCACACTAATTTCTAAGCAGCCGCGCGCGCAGAAAAGCGTCAGTCTCTCCTCACTTGGTAGACGGCGTACCGACTCATCCTGGCCGTGTCTCCGAACCCGGGGAGCGAGTCCACCGCGGCCACATGCTCCCACCATACTTTCCACTTTGTTCCCGTCTTCGCCCCCACTTCGTCCCATAAGCGCTGGAAGCTGGCTTGATCGTGCAGGTACATCCGGCGCCCCCTGTTGTCGCTTTCCTTCGGCTCCGTAGTCCCCAGATGCCGTCCGAAGACAAGCCCGTCTTGAAGTCCCGGCTTGAGGAACTTGATGATGCGTTCCGCTGCCATTACCTGTTGCTTCCAGTCGAACAAGTGGAAGAAGGCATTGGCCCAGATGATGCTGATTTGTCCGTTAAGCACAGAGAGACCCGTGTCGGCCGGGTCCAAGATGTCACCCGCCACAAGCGTACCCCGGAACCGGCCCTTGTCCCGGAACAGATCGTAGCCGATGTCCAAAAACTCGCGTTGCACATCCGCTCCGTAAAGTCGGGAGCTATCAACACCGTCGTGTGCGAGTTGCCGGAGAGCTTGCCCGACGCAAGTGCCCAGGTCCAGCAGCGTGTCTCCCGAGTCCGCTTGAGTTAGTCGGCCTAGGACTTTTTGATACAACGCATCCTGTGGATCGGCCAGCAGGAGAAACCGCCAGCGCCCGATGCACGGGTAGTGGAAAACCTTCCACAGCGAGTCGCGCTTTCTTCGTCAGCCTTCGGTCTCATCCTATGATCGCGCCATCGACCTACAATCCTTCGTATGTGGTTGTCCATCTCCCCTGCGGGAATGCCACTGTAGTCTCGGAGAAGAGCGCGGGACGCTTCATACCCCTCAGGCAGCTCTTTCTCGTACATCCATGTTTGCTCTGCGGGCACGTCCGCACTTTCAAAGAATTCTTTTGTCATTTGAGGACTCTGGCTCGTTGGAGATCGCAGTCGTGTGTTTTGAACGAGGGCGCTTGGCCGACTTTATCTTGCTGATGCCCATCTGACATGGCTTGTTTCACTGGCGATGCTCGGTGCGAAACCGGCGACCGCTGCCGATGAGCCGCACTTCCCCTCTTTGCGTCAACAATTCCATCCAGCAAGACATGCACTAGCAATCTCACCATATGCAGCTTGCTGGAAGCCATGAGCTACGACATGCCGGTCCAGATCTGCACGCACAACGTGTGCTTACTCACGTAGTCCAAGCGTGATGGGAAGAGCACATCGCCTCCAACCTTGCTGATATGCAAGTCCTCACAGGTACCGAAGCTCACTTAGGGCGTAAGATACTATTGGTCAATGGCATGTTCAAGTGACAGGGCGTCGCATTCAGCCCCACCTTATTCACATTAAACTTGTTGCCTCCCGAAGTCTGGAAATACCCCATGTTAGCAACCGGGCGGGTTCCATGCAAAAAGAGCAAACACAATCGCAAAGACAAGGGGATAGTGGCGACAGGGATGGCGGAGAATATGTGATTTTTTCTGATTAGGCATGGTGTCCTTTTTCTGTTTCCATCAACAAGTGACTGCAGATGCAGCCAGTACGGACACTCGAGTCCCTCCATCCCTAGAAGATGGTGGACCCCGTATCGGTCACCGCTATTCCAACAGATGGGCCAGGCATGGTCTTTCCAGTTCATGGTTGCCGTTGAATATCGAACTCGAGCCGAGCCTCCTAGTCTCTGTATTGGCCTTGAGGAATGTAAGTCCAGTCTGATATGTATGCTGGTGTTGAGCCAAGCCCTCCATTACTTGTGCAATACACACCAACAAAGACGCCTACATCACATTAGCAGGAATTTTCATCACAGACCTAGATCAAGTACCTGTAAAGCCCCAGCTTAGAGCATCATTCGACGCATACACCAGTGTCTTCATTCGAGAAGCTGCATTGGCTGGGCCGGCCGAAAAAGAATAGTGCGTCAGGTTCGCGGCCTTCACCTCTAGCCTGACTGGCGAGGCTACCCATTCTTCCGGCACTGGAGCTGTGATTTCGTCTGGGACGGGAGAATATGACTCGCCCCGAAATCTTAAATGTAATTCCAGTTTTTCGGAATCATCCCCCGTAGTCAAGTTATACCCCGGAAGCGCCCGCGCGGTTCTGTTTGCTGGCAGTAAGACCAAACTCAAGTCGAGATGATGATTTTGCGTTAGGAAGACAGAGATGCCGGCCTCTTCCTCTTCTAGCGTGGGTGAAAAGTCTATTGTCACGCCATAAGTGAAGAGTGTATCCTGCTGTCGCCTACCCACGAACGTTTGCCCGCCAGGACCGGCGTAATTGCCATTGCGGGCTGTCAAGTTGAGCTTTGACGGCATGAGACGTAGGCTGTTGGAACGCTCAGGTGGTGATACTGTATATGAGCTTTCGACGGGATAACGCCAGTGTGTGAAATGAGCTGGCAGTGCTGAACCAGCCTCGAACTCAACACTATCAGCTGCAACTTCGCCCGACATGACCCAGTGGCTAAACTCGTCAGCCAAGTACCAGAGACAAGAGCCAAATGTCTTCTTACCCAGAGCCCTCAATATCTAGATTTGCTGGTGGCATGGGCCAACCACTCATCTTGCCCTGAATGGGCGACATTTGGGGCCATTCTCCGTCTCGCCAGGTTACGGCGGTCAGGACTGTTTCACGGCCCATGGGAAAGTAAACCCACTCAGGGCCAGATCTTGTCGATAGCGCGACACCCCACCTTATTCATGTTAACATAGGCATCCACAATACTCAAACGACTTACCAGTTCCCTGAATCATCCTGGAAGAGGTCGGCATGTCCGACAGTCTGGACTGATGAGCTTTGGTATGCCATTCAGGCTGCTAGAGAGAAAAAAGCACAGTACAGCTCGCGAAAACTTACAGTAGGAGGTTGTGTTTGCATTGGTGAGAATTGGGTTGGCCGGATTTGACTCATATGGACCCCCAACATTCTCCGAACGAGCTATCGTGACCATGTGGCCGACACCAGTACCGCCTGGTCCATGTCAGCGCCGATTCATACGCATGAATGTTGAGCCATTGCCTTCTGCAGCTAACAGGTAGTAGAGACCATCTTTCAAGTATATGTGTGGCCCTTCAGGCGCCTACAACAGGGTTAACTGTCAAGTGCCTCGATGTCCATGAGTCTGTATAAAGTCACCATGCCACCCGTGCCATTCCAAATTGTTCTCCATTCTCCAACTTCACCAGTATCGAGGTTCGCTTCAGCTTGCTGTAGCCAAGGACTTGCTACTGTTAGTCACACTGCACGGAATTCAATCTTTTGGCTCACGCGTGAGACCTACCCAATCTTCCAGGCATGTGCCCCGTTGATGTAAGTCTTCCCGTCTTTGTCCCAGAACGGCTCCGTGTCGTAGCCCACGAACTCAAAATGGGTTGCATTCGACCACGAAGAATCTTCATACGGATTAATGCTCTTGAAAATTATCTGCGATAAAGTGAGCATAAAAGCCCCCGGGACCAACGGCGAGGGCGGAGTGGACGGACATTATCCCACCTGGAAGCGTCATCTGCTGATCTATCATCGTCGACGAGGGTCGTCACTAGCCAGAAGGTCTCGTCGTGAAAACGCAATGTTGGTGCCCAAATGCCACTGACTTAATTAACACCAGTAGCCATGTACGTTGATGGCGGAGGACTGACCTAGTCGAACGATTGGTCTCGACCAGACGTGGAAGCTGATGCTCTCGATTAAGAGCATGGCCTGCGTCCCATGAGCACGGATTATTGAGATGAGCTGCTTGGGATATACCTATTAGCTTCCAGTTCTGCAAGTCTTTGCTAGCATGGAGGGGAATGCCCGGAAACGCGTTGAAGCTCGAGGAGGCGCAGAAGAAGGTGTTGTCCCATTCCGGGACAAATGTACAACTTGGATCCGGGTGAAATCCAGGAATGGCAGGGTTATAGAAGGTTGAATTAGAAGCCAAGGCCGTCCCACTTGGAATAAGAAAGATACACCACGTCGCAACTAGCCACCGAATACATGTTGATAGAGATTGCATATTGCACATACAACCGCTTCTACGATATAACACAAAAGTTCTTCAATCACGAAGTAACGAGGATATGATTTAAACTTATACCAGCCTGGTCGATCGTCTGTCAATTTGTGGTGCATGAGGAGGAACGCTAAGTGCCTTTATCCAGTGCAGATGCATCACCCCGCAGTCGTTCGTTCCGGGTGACATCACCGGATAAGCAGTCACTGCAGGATTTGAGCTTTCGGAAAAATTTCGCTGGAAATCTTTACTCGACTGAGATTTTTTGCGTTGTTATTTTGCCCCTTCTCTTGAAATTAGTAGAGTCGAGGATGACGGGGAAGCCGTGGAGGCAGCTGCTGCTGTTGCCGGCTGGGGGCTTGGGTGACGACTTCAGTATACTGGGAACGCTGAAGCTCAAAAAGAGCACATACCGTACTCGCAGGCTACATACTGGGGCGAAAAATCGTTGAAATTGGTCCAGATAGAGATCGAATCATCACCTACAAGCTGAGGAAACAGAGTATGATAGCCTTCACCGCGGTTATCGTAGAATACTAGACAGAAGACCGCAAGAGCTGTATCCGTCGATGACGATCGCTCCCTACCTCGGCTGATCCCTCTGTCATTGATACTTGGATGAGATCACTTAGACCAACGGGATTGGGGTGCAGGCTTGGAAACTCCATTCGATTGGTCCCTGCCTGTACTGTCACAGCTTATCTTTGTAGGCCGACCTGTTCCCCACCGTGATGAAGACGCGGGGACTGAGTATTAATCCCGGTCAATGGCGGGGTTTCTTGGTCATGTATGTTGGTTCATTGTCACGCTAGAAGCAAGCTGACCTGAGACAGGGCGGATTTGGACATCTGGCTTGCTGGAGCGATGGACCTCATTGTATTCATTCACGTGGCATTTCCTCTCACCTGCAGAACTCAAATGTTCCCTCGCCAGCTCTAGAGAGGCGTGATCAGCTGGTTCTCGCCTCTATGCTGGGAACCGCGAGTCATCCAGAGGGAAGATCAGCGGGTTGGTGATGATAGTAATTAACCCCCACGGTCGAAACAACGCAATGGGGGCCATGAAACGGAGGGGCAAAACCAAGTTAGTAGTAGTCTTTGAATCGACCGACGAATTACATGCAGTCTATGTTCTGTCTCCAAAGGCCCAGAAATGCAGCGGCCGTCGCATTAAGCCTATACAGCAGGCACTGTTGCCTGCGAAGAGAATCGAATTCCGAACTCATTGACGGCGTGAGAGTCTTTACTTCCGTTATGCACCTTCCTCAGCAAACGCCGTGCCCCTTTTTTAGAGGTTAGGCGGGGGACTGCCTCCAAAACGCCTTCTACCTTATGCAGGGCATCCACTTCGAACTTATCACCTCCATCTCTGCAGTTCTCCTCCATTGTGGGACCTCTCTTCTTCCTTCAGCGTCCTCTTTTTCGGACGTTATTCGTCCCAGGTCCACACAAGCTGTGTGGCTACCGCGAGGCTGGCATCATCTGAAAACGCCTCATCTTTCAGAGCTCAGATTCAGCACCGTTCGTCTCAACGTTCATCGGGCTCCCGTTCTGTGCTTGCCGCTGCTGGCGAAGAGGCGCGTTTCCACGCAGGGCACGGCGTCTGGGGGCAGGTCTTCCATTGCCATTCATGTTTTCGTCCTCCTCGTCCGAATCGGGATGCTCGTCAGCATATAGCCGCGCCTCGTCCAACTCCGTCATATCATCCGGTCGGTCCCTGAGCCATTGCATCCGAGGGCCAGATTTGGCAATCTCTGAGACGCGGAAACCGTAAATGCGAGGCTCATATATCCGGCCCGCTCCTAACCCGGGGGCAATGTTCTTGGAGTACATTCCGTTGACCGCCTCGAGCGAGTCGTCATTGATGCGCGCACCGCCGCTGCTGAGTACTTCAGCTCCACGCTTGGTCAAGTCGTACTCAGGGAATGTGAGAAGAAACAGAGCACCAAAAGTGCGGCCGAAGAAGGCACCGTCCACGGTCTGAAACCTGCTGTTGGGGGGAACGTAAACATCGAGGCAGGAAGGACAGAATAGCTTGACAGTGTCTTCGCCTGGAATGTCGGACAGGCCAACAGGAAGCGTCCTAGCTTGGTCGCAGTTCGTGCGTGGGCAGCAGCCGAAATGTCCCAACTCGTACTTCTCGCTCATTTGCTGTATGCCTGCTCTCGAGCAGATAAAGCGCTGGTGAATCAGGCCATAGAGCATCTCGGAGGAGGACTCGATCACGCTGAGGTCGCTGGCCATCCGACTGTGCTGTCTTCGGTCATGCCTGGGCCCGAGCCGGTCTTGATCTCCCGAGTCGTTTTCTTCCTCGTCCTCGTCGTCTTCTTCTTCCTCCTCATCATCCTCCTCGGGTTCCACGTCCAGAATCATCTGCACAACAGAAGAGTTAGCGTAAGAAGATGCTTGGGGTGCTGCGGGGGTGGCAAATTGGGAAATCCAGGAGAAGCTGATGGATGGTTATGCGTACCTCGAGTGCCTCCTTGTACATCGCAACTTGATTCTGCAAACCCGTGAGGTTGAAGTCATCTTCAATGAACTCCTCCGAGACCTCAGCAAAGTACTCATGGCCGAGTAGGGAACAGAAGGAAGATATCCAAGACTCCGGGGCCCCCGAAGAGGTGGACATGTCGTCGAGGTAATCCAAGGTGAAGGTATTGAGGGGGTGTCGGGTAGAGCAAGGCAGTTATCGCGTGAGCGAACACGCGTTATCCGACGGATGGGATTGAAGTCGCTTCTATCCGTACGAGTTGAGTGTGTGTGATAACCCAGCAGCAAACAGGAGCGGCGCGAAGATGGCGGGGTAGGTGAGCGTCAAAAGGTCAGACGCGGCGCATGTCGAGCGCAAAGCACAGCAAGGTCGGCGGCTGTGATAAAATCGAAGATCGACGTTGGTTTCGCAAGAGATCGGACGTTCCGCGCGCAGCCAAGGTTGGAGTCGAGATATACTTTTTTTCGGGCCTCTTTTTGCTGAGGGAGAACGAGGTTGTATTTTGGGGAGCCTCTCAGCTTTTGCTGAACTTGGTGGGCTGTGGACAGTGGTGCCTCACGACGACGCCCAGCCCGCTTAGAGAAGGAGATTGCGGCCAATCATCGGTGTGGTCTGTGCACCAGATACGCTCGGTAAGCGGCCTGACATTTGTTCCGCTGCATCTTACCGAAGGTGAGCGGTGGCCTCACCGAGATCACAATGTCTCTTCCGTCGAACCACGTGATGTCAATTTGCTCTCCTCCGTTGTTGCAGCCACCGTCTCTCAATCTCTCTTTCCCTCTGCGCATCGTTTTGAGTCTCTGGGAGGGGAACTCGATAGCCGAGGCAGAGACCATGCAACCTCGCCCCATAAGATGCGGCTTGCGATTCGGCCGGGAGAAACCAGCATTCCACTCACATCGATGTTTCTCGACGATCAAGACCCTCAACGCTATCGAAGAGCCATTTGCCTCTGTCGGTGTCCCTGAGTTCAGAAGCTTGGCTTTTGAGGCGGGAAAGCCTCTGGCGTTCAAGCAACCAAATACGATTCCAAAACGACCATCCTTCCCAGCGTCGACGAAGTGGTTCATGCAAGATGAAACCAGCCTATCGCCATCATATCACGGAGAATGTCCCATGAGCTTTGCGCCTTACATGGACCGATTCGCTCATCATATGCTTCCATACGAATTCATGAGCCCACAGCTGTCCGAAGACGCAGGCTTGGTTGTCAACACCACAAGCCATTTTCTAACTTGGCTTGCGTCAGGTTCAGACCCCTTGGGTGCCGTGCTGGCCGGCATCGTGCACGCCGCCGCTTACCCAGACGCCTCAGAGACAAAGTTCTCCTCGTTCAGCGCTCCATTGCTGCTGTTGCTCAAAGCAGTCGAGTTCAATAAGCTGCACGAGAAGAAGCTTAAACAACTTTACGTCGCTCAGGCCCAGCTACCAGACCTACCAATAGAACTGCAGGAAGATCTTCCAGTGCCTCGCATAGTCACAGACGCTGGTAAGGGTGATGTCTACAACTCAAGCATATGGCTCGGCTTGGAACCAACTTATACACCGCTGCATCGCGACCCGAACCCTAATCTCTTTTGCCAGTTGGTTGGCAAGAAAACCATCAGACTATTGCCGCCTTCCTCAGGAGATCGGTTGTATCGACGAGTGCAGACGCAGATTCAGCATTCTGGCAATGGTCGGATTCGAACGTCTGAGATGATGGAGGGTCGAGAGAGGGTGGTTTTGAACACGGCCGTTTGGGGTATGGAAGGCCCTGAAGACCTTGTCGAAGCGAAACTGGATCCTGGCGACGCCTTATTCATTCCCAAGGGTTGGTGGCATAGCGTCAAGAGTGGGCATCACGACGGGCGGCTCAATGCATCTGTGAACTGGTGGTTCCGATAATAAATCTGATCTCCGGGAAACCAGTGGACGATGATTGGATTGACGTCAATTTTATCGTGTTTCAGGCCGAAGGTGAGCTTCAAGACACTTAAAAATACATGAGAAAAAAAATTTAAAAATAAGGGAAAGGAAAGGAGAGAAAAATCACGTAGCTCCAGGCTTGACGTTCACTGACTAGCCTGTGGTTGAAGGTACTCCACCGACTGTGACACATTCTAGACGGGTTTGCCACAACTTTGAATACAACACAACTCCACACTCAGCACAATAGCTCAGGGGTAGAGCGCTGGGCTCATAACCCAGAGGTCCCTGGATCGAAACCAGGTTGTGCTAAATCTTCCTCTTTTTGGCCTTATTTCCCCCCCCCGCTTCTTTCCCTCTTTCTCTATGTGCTTGCTCTACAGAGTTTGCGTCTGTTTGTCACGTTGGAACTCTACTACCGCCCCCTCAATATGGTTGGTCAAATGACTGACAGAATATGTGCTCTGGCTTAAATGTTCATTATGCCAATGTAAGGCTCAGGGCATCGCTTAATATGACATGCCAATTACTCAGCTAAGGGACTACATCGCGAGGGTGCCGCAAACTTCGTCATTTGCTGCACACGTCGTGCCTGCTTCGCACCACGCAAGGCAGGCCGTCCTTCATGGGCAGTGTGAGGCTACTCTTGCTAACTCTTTCAAAGTCATCAACTCTGACGCATTCGAAAAGCCCGGCCACAGTGGCAATGACTTGGACGGCTATAATCTCAGCCATTTTCTTGCCTAAGCAAGTTCTAGGTCCGCCATTGAACACCGGGAACTCGGATGTAGTCTTGTTGAGGACCTTGCCATCAACCAGCCAGCGCTCAGGGCGGAACTGGTCTGCATCTGGGCCCCAGGTAACCCGAGAACGGTTCATTGCCCAAGTGCACCAAACGATGACGGAGTTTTGCGGTAAAAATGTTCCGTCTGGAAGTGTCGTGGCTTGAACGACCTGCTTGATCTCGAAAGGAATGGGCGGGAAGATGCGCAGAGCTTCACAGAAAACTGCGAATGTGTATGGCGTTGATGTCGGATTGCATCGTTCGGAAATGGTCTTCTCAAAGCTTTTCTCGCTGCCTGCCGTGAGGCTGTCGACTTCGTCTCTGATCTTAACCACAACGTCGGGGTGTTTCATCAGGAGGTAGAAGGTCCATGTGAGGGCTTGCGCTGTGGTGTCTCTGCCTGCAGAGAGGTAGTTTAGCGCGGCGTCCGCAACTAACTGCTCATCGCCAATGGCGTCCAAAAAGGAATGGATCAGGCTTCCTGAAATATCGTTCAGTCTATCAACGGCCTCTTCCGCCGAGACCGTATCGACCGGCTTTCCAGCACGCTTTTCACTGTCACCCGTCGCACTTGATACGATTCTTTGACCAAATGACTTGACGATGGATATTGATTCTCGAAATCGCCTTCCAGTGAAAATTTCCGTGATAAACCAGAGAGGATTCTGAAATCTCTCGGCTGTTGCGCCAGATGCGTAGTCAAAAGCCAAGCCAAACTCGTCTTCGGCGTGCATTTCCATCTGAACGCTCATTAGCCACCGTCAGACTCCATCGCAGATTCGTTAGTGTCAGGTTACGAGATGAACATACGTTATAAGCCATCTTTCCCATGAGCTGAGTTGTGATTTCGTGAAATACGCCTTGTAAATCGACCGAGACACCACTCGAAGCCCTTTCTTGTAACAAAGCTACGCTTTGGGACAGATACCGCGGCAAGGCGACGTCTGTGAGAACCCCCAGGTTGGATGTGTTGAGGAAGTTTAGCCCAGCTTTCCGCTGGACCTTCCACAAATCACCGTCTACATTGATGATGCCATTTCCTGAGATGAATGAGCTCACCGAGATTTTCGCCAGAGCCATGTCTCAGCACTCACCAAACAGATCCCGCGACCGTCCCTTGAAAAACTCGCCTTTAGCAAAGATGCCTTCATGCTTGAACACGTATTCGAGGTTCTTAGGGTCACTGATGATGACCCCAGGTGGCAAGCTCGGAACCGAGATTTGCAATGTTTCGTAGCCATGAAGCTGTTCACACTTGGTGAACCAGTCAAACAGCTTCTGGCGATCTCTCAGAAAGTTGATGCCATTCCCAGCCAGCGGTAATGTGTCAGGCGGGCGTCTCAAAACCAGTCAGCATGGCGTTGTATGTCCAGATCTCCACGCCCTTCCTGTCCGGGAATCGCGTGTCATTTTAAAATATGGTTTATAGCTTACCTCAATGGGACGCCATTCCGTCTCAGCTTGGGCTGTCCCAATACGACATACAAAAAGAGGGCGACTACTCCGGCCGCGAGTACCGTTGGGATGTTTAGGTAGCCCATGCTGTGATACTCTTCATCGACAGAGAAGATTGCCAATTGATATCGGTCTAACTCCAGAGATCTGATGAGGTTGAACCTCGTTGAGCCTCGTATCCACGTCAGACGAGTCTATGGCACGAAGGAAGATGCGGGCACAGGGTCGAAGAAGTTGCATCAACCTCGAGTATCATTCGCACGCACAAATGCCCGCCAAAGCTCGTCTTAGTCTGGCAAAAGGGGACTGGTCGTAACAGGGCCGGCCGAATGGTCTGAGCCTTGAACACACAGTGAACGCGGCAGCAAGATCACGGAGGTCGCGGGGGTTGGAGTCTCAAGTGTCGGAATTGTCCAGTGAGAGCGAAGCGATTGGAACTGACTCCCTCTGTTGGGGGCTTTGCCAGAAACCTACCCGACAAGTTCCCGCAGGTCCGGACCACAGCTTCAGTGGGGAGGAGGTAGCTTCCCAGCCCCTGAGGTGGCTCTTTCAAGACCTACACCATGTACCATCTCACCTTAAGGTACCTTAGGTAGCTACCTAATAAATGCGCCGGGGAGGCTGAGTTGCCACCAGCACCTAGGTAAGGTGCCTACCTAGGTACCTAGTTATTATGCTTCACATGCGACCATGGAATGGAGATTGGATCCGACCTGTGCCACAAGGGAACATTTGGAGTTTGATGCCCCGAACCGGGGGCTCTGGACCCCTGTCCTGGGGCTGTCCCTGTCTCAATTGGCAGCTAAGGGCGTCTAGCGAGTGCGATAGCTTCCGTCCCTGCTGGCGGGGAGCTTCGGCACGAACTGTGCAAGGAACCCAACACTTGTTCGATTTACCCTCAACAATACTGGGCGTCGTCCAATCTGCTGCGTTGCTTGCGATCGCGGGCGCTGTTTGGCTTCTCAGTGCATTGAAGTCCAGCCTCGGACGCGTCACATGCCGCGTTGATGCCGAAACTCTCACCTACAAGGGTTTGACGATATATCCTCTGTCACCTGCTGCTTAACATTCTGTAGATTCCCTGCCAACTGTACCGCAACACCAACCGGCCGAATACCGACGTCATCACGATGGCGCCTCTCGTCCCTCGCTTCCACTTGTTCGAGATTGACGACCAGCCATGGTGTGTATAAGAATACCAGTGCGCCTGCGTTCTCCGCCATCAAAAGCTGACAACCCACGCATCTTAAGGTTCCCGTCCTTCCTCCGCGCTCTTGTCCAAGAAGGCCTCCACGCGACCTGGGTTAACAAGTTCCCCGTCCTACAAACGGCCTCGCCCGCACACATTGCCGCCCAAATCCTCCAGCGGACCCTTGGTACACGACTCTCCTCCTACACCTTCATCGACTTTTGTGCCGGCTCGGGAGGCCCCACCCCGGCCATCGAGCGGGCCGTGAACCGCCATCTTACCGCCCAGAAGCAACCTAACGTCGACTTTGTCCTGACCGACCTGTGGCCGAACCCTGAGAGCTGGGCGCGCGCCGCTGCCAAGAGCGAGCACATTGGCTACGAACCCAAGAGCGTCGACGCCGCAAACGCGCCCCGTGATCTGCTCGCTGGGTACCGCGGCAAGGACAAGAAGATCTTCCGCTTGTTCAACCTGGCCTTCCATCATTTCGATGACCCATTGGCCAAAGCGATTTTGAAGAACACGCTCGAGACCTCGGACGGCTTCGCCATTTTCGAGCTTCAAGGTCGCGACCTCTATTCCATCATTTTACCCGCCATCCTTGGCATTGGCGTGTTCCTCCTGGCTCCTCTTCATGCGTGGAAGTTGGGTTCGCTCAACGCGGTCATATTCACATACCTTGTCCCTATCCTGCCATTCGTCCTGGTTTTCGACGGATACATCTCAGCGCTAAGGACAAGAACGCCCGACGAGGTTGAGGCGCTGATGAGATCGTGCGGGGCCAGGATGGAAGGTTGGGAAGTAAGAAGTGGCAAAGACGCACACATCCATGGTCTTGGCTATGTAAACTGGATCGTCGCGGAGAAGATATCATCTCAAGACTGGTAAGGAAGTACACCGGTTGGAGAGACGTGGTACCTGGGAAAATGTTGCCTGCGAGCACGTGGGGTATAATTGAGGACATGTGATAATGACTTGTACCCAAAAGCGGTAGCCATTTGACGAACCAACTTACGAGAAAAACACACACAACCCACTACAACCAGATAGTTCGTCATCGCTGCGGTCCGCACATTAAATATCTTGTGCACAGTGGTGCCCAACTGATAGCCAAGAAATGCATCTTGATTTCAAAACCATCAACAAGTGATCAAATTTCCGAAGACGTCATACCGTCCGTGTCACTTTCAGTACAGCTCGACTGGTTTGCTTCAAATTTGCTTTCATTTTCATTCTATCAAATGAAGCCCAGAACACATGACTCCTGTTTTAACAGTACATAAAACCTCAAGGCCGCGATCCCATCTGCGGCATCGTGATGTGTCGAGAGCTCGTCATCGACATCCCAATTTCCCGGAACCCATGGTAATTAAAAGAAGAAACTTTGTCATAGCCCGTCACATGCAACCCGTGAAATAAGCAACGCTAATATAGGTATGCTCTGTGCTTAAACAACGGGGCCAGCCTTGACGACATCTTCTGTCGCCTCGCTCGCGTACTTCTTGAAGTTCTCGTTGAAGAGGACACCAAGCTTTTTGACCTCGGTGTTGAAGCTATCACCACCCGCGGTCCAGGCGGCCTTGGGGTTGAGCAGTTCTGAAGGAACACCAGGGCAAGTCTTGGGGACCTGCAGGTTGAAGGTGTCGTAGGTCTCGTACTCGACCTTGGCAAGCTCGCCAGAGTGGATGGCGTCGAGAATGGCGCGAGTGTACTTGAGAGGGCAGCGCTTGCCGCCCTGGGCAGCACCAGCACCAACCCAACCGGTGTTGAGGAGCCAAGCATTCGCGTTGTGATGCTCGATCTTGTCCGCAAGCATCTTGGCGTAGCGCATGGGGTGCAGGGCCAAGAAGGGCTGGGCAAAGCAGGAGGAGAAGGTGGCCTGGGGCTCGGTCACACCGTCCTCGGTGCCAGCCATCTTGGAAGTGTAGCCAGAGATGAAGTGGAACATGGTCTGGGCACTGTCCAGCTTGGAGATGGGGGGCAAGACACCACGGGCGTCGCAAGTGAGGAGGACGATGTTGGAGGGGTGTGAGTCTGACTTGCAGGGGATCTTGGCGTTGTTGATGTACTCAATGGGGTATGCGCATCGAGTGTTCTCGGTGAGGGTGCAATCATCATAGTCGACGACACGAGTCTCGGGATCGAAAACGACGTTCTCGAGGACGGAGCCGAAGCGGATAGCGCCAAAGATGTCAGGCTCCTTCTCGGCAGACAGGCCGATGGTCTTGGCGTAGCATCCGCCCTCAATGTTGAAGACACCACGGTCGGACCAGCAGTGCTCGTCGTCACCGATGAGGGCACGCTGGGGGTCCGCGGACAGGGTAGTCTTGCCGGTACCCGAAAGACCGAAGAAGAGGGTAACATCGCCGTTCTTGCCCTCGTTGGCAGAAGAGTGAAGGGTGAGGACGTTGTGCTTGATAGGCATCTCGTAGAAGAGGACGGTGAAGACACCCTTCTTCATCTCACCGGCGTACTCGGTGCCGAGAATGACCATCTCCTTCTCGGCGAAGTTGATGGCAACCGAGGTGCCGGAGGTCATACCCTCGGTGTATCGGTTGGCGGGGAAAGAGCCGGCATTGTAGATGGTGTAGTCGGGGTGGAAGTGCTCCAGCTCCTCGCGAGGAGGGCGAATGAGCATGTTCCTCATGAACAAAGCATGGTAGGCGCGGGCGCAGATAACGCGGACACGAATGCGGTACTTCTCGTCCCAACCGGCGTAACCGTCAACGACGTAGATGCGATTCCTCGTGTTGAGGTAGTCGATGGCACGCTCACGGTTGATCTTCCAGACCTAGAGTTCTCACATGTCAGCACTCGTTCGGTGACTGGTCGACTCGGTGCATATGTGGGCCCAGGGCCGGGAAAAGCAGGAGTGTGGATCTGCAGCATTGCGGGGGAGGACAACAGGGGGCGGTAGAGTTTAGCTCGGCCTGCATCCAAAATGCGGGGCCGGCATTCTGCACCTGCACTTCCTGGGTCGAAGGGGGAAAGCGAAAGGGGCAGACAGGAGGGGCAGCGCCGGCAGCCTGTGACGACACAGCACACACGGCACGAGACCGTATCATCGCAAGACCGGCACGCCCAACTCGGGCGAATCCCACACGAGCCAGCCAGCTCCAGCTTGCTGCCGACCCGCGCACATCGGACGAAAGCATCTCGATGAGACCCTCCAGCACAC